TTATGAAATTAGAAACTGCGAGGGATTTTGAATATCGATACCAGTATGGCAAGCTTATACATTAATCCCAATTAGAATCGCATATCGGTGCCTGTGGTATCCCTTCGTCTCTGGCCAACCGTTTGACCCCGAGCAAGGGGCCTTGGCGTACGAGCTTGGCTGACCTCTCGAAATGTAAATGAATCGAAGGCCGCAGCAATCAGAATATCATCGTGGCATTCGATTCACGAAAGCAAGCAGTTTTGCATTTGGCAGCGTTCGCGGTCTCGGCCACCACCAGACCACAGGCACAAGAGGTATTCCCCAACCCAATTCAAGATACAAATACGGATACATAGACCAGAGGTATGGATGACGCGGGCCCGTCCAGTCTCCTACAACTTGGACTCGGGCTTCGCCGCGGGCTCCCCAGCCCTTTCGAGAATCCAGTTCCCGACATCCTTGAAGAACTCGTCCTTGCACAGGTCCGCATGCAATTGGTGATACGCACCCTCGTACGGCTTGTGGTGACCGTCGTCGATGCTCTGCGCGCCGAGCCACTTCTTGCTGGCGTTGAAGCACGTCGTCTTATCCTCCGTGCCGTGCCCCAGCCATAGGCTCTTAACATTCTTGCTCAGCTTCAGCTTATTCTGCGCCAGCTGGTCTGTTCTCTCCAGCATGCCCGCGAGGCCCTCGAGCGTGCCCGTGTTGTGCATGAGGTCGTCATCCCGGATGCTCTGCTGCGCCGCCGGGTCGCGGGTGAGGTTCTCGGCGGGGATATCGTTGACGAGTTGCTGCTTCGGCAGGACTTTGCTGGCGAGCTTGCCGAAGAAGACCTTGAGGAAACTCGGCTCCTCACCGGGCGTGAAGGCGATGAAGGGGCTCTCTAGCAGCCAACCGCGCACCTGGGCGACAAGGTCGTGGTACTGCGGATTGCTGGCCAACGCGAGGACCTGGCCGCCGCCCATGGAATGGCCCATGACGAAGACGGGCACGTCCGGGGACGGGAGCTTGTCGCGGATGAAGGCGGCTACGTCGGCGAGGACGCGCGACGTTGGGCCTGTAAGGCCCCTCTCGGCCGGCTTCGCGGCGCTGCGGCCCCATCCGCGCTGGTCCCAGCTGAAGACCTGGATGCCGCGGCCGGCGAGGTTGGGGAATAGTTCGTGGTATCGTCCCACGTGGTCACTGAAGCCGTGTACGAAGACAAGCTTGGCCTTGATGGGGCCCTCGGGCTGTGGTGCAGCGTCAGTACGCGGGGGTTTCTGGATGACGAAGGGAGTGAGTGGGTGGATCACTTACCGTCCACGTCGTGCTGTGTAGCTTCTGGCCATCCACCTCAAAGGTGCCCTCAGTTTGAGTGGCCATGATGACGACGATATTGCTGTGGGATTGGCGGCGTTATAGATGCAAGGCTAGCTGACGATACAGATATAAAGCGAATCCTCACGATGAACCACGGACTACGAAAAGTGATGAGGTGAGATGCTTTCACGTGTTATTGTTAGGATTTGATTCAAGACATCCAAGGTGGTGGTGGCGCTGTGTGGCACTGAAAGAGCTGACCTCCGCTTGCGGACAGGGGAGCTCGGAGCTCACTGTAAACTCCTTCTTCTCCCATGGAAGCTTCCGGCCTCCCGTGCGCTTTCCGCTCAGCAACCTGGGAATTCGCATGCCTGCCGACCTTTCGTTCGGAGCGGTGTCAGCTCGAACAATAGCAGTTCTGGAATGGACTTTGCCGGCCCCACAGGAATTCTTGAGTCGCAATACCTTATTTATAGTTCTTGAGTTTGGCAACCCATAGAGTACTTCGCACATCACACTCACATGCAGCTATTTGGTAATCAAACGCATTTGAAATATTGAATTTGGAACACCCCAGACGTCCACCAAGATCGAGCGGAGTTATTCTATGATGCTATTTAACCCATGAATAATTTGTAGTACACAAGCGGCAGCACGAGGTGCCCTGCGCCGGAGCAGTAAGTGATTCACCGTTGCTGCTGAATCGCTCCCTCGTCTGTAAGCAGCCTTTTTGATATGAAACACAAGAACAATACATAACCCCCCTTTCAAAAGCAATTCTACTCTTGTCCGGTGACGGAGTAGTATACGCTTTTCATCGCCGTGTCTCCTTCTCCCTAATCTCCTCCTGCGGCTGCTCCTCGGCCTCCTCTTCACCTTCCTCCCCCTCAAGGTCGGATTCGATTTCTTCTTCTTCTGTAATGTGAGCCCTATCGCTAGAGCGTGGGTCGGGAACGTCGCCGCCGCTCATTTGCCACTCCATGAGCTTGCTAAACGCGCTGTCCTTATCGGCCGACAGCTCCGTGTATTTGCCAATCTCAGCAACTCCGCCATTGTTGGAAAGGACAATAATCAGGTCAGAGCGCTTGATAGTCGACAGTCGGTGTGCGATGGAGATGGTCGTGTTTTTGCCCCTGAGAAGCGAGGCAAGTGCGGCGTTGACGAGCGTCTCAGACTCGGCGTCCAAGGCCGAGGTCGCCTCATCGAGGATGAGAATATCGGGATCCTTGATCAACGCTCGTGCGATGGCGATTCGCTGCTTCTGACCTCCCGACAGCTGCGAGCCTCTGGCTCCAACCTGCGTGTCCAAACCAGATGGAAGGTCACTGATAAAGTTGCAGTTGGCCTTTCGCGCGGCCGCGACGATTTCAGCTCGGCTAGCATTGGGCTTGCCGTATGATATGTTTTCAGCAATCGACCCGGAGAACAAAACCGGCTCTTGCGCGACCATACCAATGCGCCGCCGCAGTGACTTGACATTCATCTTGGAAATATCGACGCCGTTGATCGTAATAGAGCCAGAGATTGGATTGTAGAATCGCAACAGCAGACCGGCAACGGTCGATTTACCACCGCCGGAGGGTCCGACAACACAGACGTTGCTGCCCGAAGGAATCTCAAAATTCAAATCGTTGAAAATGTTGACAGCCGGTCGCGTAGGGTAGGCGAATGAAACGTTTGAGAACCGAATCGGGCCCTGTGCCGACTTCACTTTGAAACCGACTGTTTGTGAGATGCCGGGCTTTCGGTCTTGCAACTCGAACAAGCGGCTGGCAGCACCGACTCCCTTCATCAGCTCCGAGTAGAAGGACGAGAGACCGAAAAGACTAGATCCTGCGAAAGCCGTGTACATCATGAAAGATGTCAGATCTCCTAGCGTCATGGCGCCGTCGCGGACAAAGTTGCCGCCGACAACGAGCATGGCGAGGATGGTCATGTTACCAGCCCAGCCCGTTGAGGCGAAGAAAGTGGCAGCAATCGTTGATTCCTTCTTACCCAAAGCAAAAATCTTCTTGACTTGGTGATTGTAGCGACCGACCTCCTGGACCTCTCCCACGAACGCCTGGCTTGTTTTCACGTTGCCGAGGCGTTCTTCGGCAATCTTCGTCAAGGTACCCAGGTTCTTCTGAATTCCCTTGCTCACATTTCTGATTGCGCGTCCGTAAAAGAAGGCTCCAACTGCAACAGGCGGCAGCATGACGAGGAGAAGTCCAGTCAACTTCGGACTCAGCCAGACCATGACACAGAAGCCGGCCCCTCCACTAAAAAGAGCCCGTAGACCGTCGCTGATGTTCTGGGTGATGGACTTGCCAACGATGACAGTATCGGAGCTGAGTCGCGATATAAGGTCTCCAACTCGGTTCGCGTCGAAAAATTCGGCGTCCTGTACGTATGTTCGTCGATAGAGGGACGATCGCAGACGGGCGACAACCCTTTCGCCAACGATACGCAGAAGAATTACGCGTCCAAAGTTAGCCATGGCTCCGACGGTCAAGATGACACCCAAGGCTGTGAAGAACTGCGGCATGGTCAGGCCAAACAGGCGCGCGTCCTCGGCGGGGTCCTTGGTGGCCATGTCGAGGATTCTGCCGACGGAGAACGGAATAGACATGGTGACGCTGGACGAGATGACGAGGAAAACCATGGCGATTCCCAGCCACCGCAGCTCTGGCCGCGCGATTTTGATCAATCTCCAAATCTCAGAAAATCCGGCCTTGCCGCCTTGCGACTTGCCTTCCTTTGACAGCTTCGCACTGAGGTTGACCTGGGCAGCCTTAGCAGCCCTCTCGCTCTTTTGGAAGTCATCAGGTTGTTCGAGGTCTCGCGACTGCGGTTCGGTCTGCTTCACGACGTTATCTCCCTCACGCGTAGCCTGAGTTGGCGCCGCAGGATGAGAGTCTTGTCGCTTAGAAAACCCGTTCGAAGAATAGCGCAAGATCGCGATCGGTCCGGATAGTTGAGGCCTTTGAGAGGATGGGACAGGTCGTTGTTGCGCCAATCGATGGGTGGCAACAGAACACGCTGCAGATAATGATTGAACGGGCTTGGAGCTGAAGCTTCTAATCTGTGACAGGAGAGGATGTTGTAGGACTGGTGGTGTCGTCGAGGTCTTGCGAAGGCCGGGGAGGGTTGGCATCAGCGACGCCAATGTCGTCGGGCAGCTCCCGACGCGGTGCGGGAGCAGCACCGCGGAACGCACAACTCCCATAGCCATGGTAAATTTGGAAATGGGTTTATCTCATGGGAGGCGCATAGTCAGAAAGCGTTGAAGGAGGGAGCACCATCATACGAAGAAGCTCGACGGGTTGCGCATAAGTACAGCGACGGCTTAGGTAGGTAAGTGATTTTAGGAGAGGACCGGAAAGATACCGTCATCGGTTCGCGCTCGAAATTTACAGCGCTCAATGAACACATAGTAAGGTACCGTAGCCCGTACCCCGAGACGTGCTGACGGCGGACGCTGCTGTACCCCAGGGCCCCTCGGTGATAGTCGGCCCGATCATTTCTTTTCGCCGAATGCTCCAGGTTACTCCGCATTAGCCGAGGACGGAAGGGAACAACCGATACTATACGATTGACGAGTCGCCTGGGTCCAAGGAAATGTCACTACGCTGCCGTGGAAGAGGAAAAAAAACAAAGGATAAATCGAGTGGCTTTGTCAATTGCTTGTCCTGTTTTTTTGTGATCTCTAGTTTCCCAGCTTTCTTACATATACACACATGAGGCTGCAACAAATCTCGAGCCCTCTGAGTCCCAGCTTACTATGTAGACCGTGTCTACGATGAGACATCGCTGATCCTTCTCCCCTGTAGATGGCCAGTGCCATTGGGTTGTTGTTGCTTGCATCAAATTAGGGTTCCGAGTACAGATGCCGGAGTCCTGGCCCCTTCACGAACCCGCGAGCGACCGATCTTCGCAGCCGGTCATAGAAACCGGTGACGCCCCCGGCGTGCTTTCTAATATAGTACTACCTTCCCAATTACCCCAAAACGTCTCCAAGTCGTGCCTGCGGCGAAATGAGTAGCCGAAATGGTGTAGCCTGTAACAAACTGACCCTTCAAGCGCTACCGTTACTCTCCTTACGCAGCATCTCTGCCACGTCGGCATCGATTCCATCATCGCCCCCAAGATCAGGGAACTCGTCTCCATCGAGCCGGCGTCTCTTCTTCGCGCCGTTTGCCGAGACAGGGATGGATTGGTACTGCGAGGCAAGGGCTGACAACATTTCGATGCCTGACGCCGCCGGAGGCTGGAAACCTTGGCTCGATGCCGAACGGGCATGGTCCGCTTCTGTGTGGTGAGGAACAGGCGGCTCGTCGTGGACCGGAGGAGGTGTGAGTGCTTCCACTGACGGCGGTGTAAAGGCCTCCACGGCCGGGGGTGTCAGCGCCTCAACTTCTGGTCTCTCAGGTTCAGGAGTCTTGGACGCCCCGTTGCCGGGGGATTGCGAAGCCTCGTGTGTCGGAAGTCCACGCATAATCGCTTGCTCAATCTCACGTCTCTTCTCCTCCGTTTCCGCCTTGCGGGACATCAGCTCGGCATACTGTCTCTCGTCGGTCGCCAGCGCCTCCTGGCTCGCGCTGAGCATCTTCTCTAACTCGCCAATGAGGCCCTTCCTGGCCTTGACACATTCTGCGACAGCGCCCTCAGCACTGGCCAGGCTCTTAAGCAGACCATTTAGACGTGCAGCATACACGGGGGCGGACGGAACGGGTGTCGATGGGTCTGTGATCTTTTCGAAGTCCTGGTTGGCGGTGCTCACAGCCGTCTTAGTGGGAAGGTTGAGCTTCGAGACATTCGTATACGAGGTGACAAGCGGGGCGAGCTCTGTTGGGACAGAAGGACCACCACCGCCCATTCCAGGACCAGCGAAGGTTGGCTTGGCGGTTCCTCGGGCCTTATCGAGTTCTAGAGCACGCTCAGTACATGTTGCTACCATAGATGGGGAGAATGTATACCATCGATGCCGCGTTCGATAGCCTGTTGAACGGGCGGCTCGAAGATAAAGCGGTCTTTCCAAACGTCAATGACTCTTCTTAGCTTGTTCTGGATCTCAGCCGGCGCTCCCTTGTAGGCCAACGACGTTGCTTCAGCAATGACGGGGGAGAAGGCAACAAGGAAATCGTCCTTGTGTCGGGCCTTTGACTGCTGGGTGACCTCTGTGGATGTATTAGAATCATCATGGTGCAAATAGTTCATTGTCGGGAGCTAGACGATGAGTGTGCAATGCGTCAAGGTGCTTACCGTTTGCAAGATAAACCAAGCTCAATCTCTTGGTACTTGATGAATCCCGGAGACGCTGCATCCATAGTGCCACTGTGCGATCTGCATGTCGCCTGTGAAGCAGCCAAAGTCAGTTTCGATTGATGTGAGAGGTGTGTGAGTTGGAATTGAGCAGCTGGGCTTACTTGTGGAACATGATCCATTGTGCAGCAGTCGCAATGCTGTCATGGCTCTCATTCAGGGCCGACAGCTTTGCCAGTACCGCATCGTCGTTGTATGCCATGTTAGTCTGGCGTACCTTGGCTGTCGTGGGTAGATATTGTAGGAAACGGTCTTGTGACGTTGTCCGAAATGAGAAGGCGTACAATTGCTTCGAGTTGAAGCAAACACAACCTGGAGACCAAAGTTTCCCCCCTCCCCTTTCTTTTGATAAGAAGGCACAAAAGTAGCTGAAATTGAACGTTGGATGAGTATGGTTGTCCTGATGATGACTTAAGAGAACTTATTTTCGTAGTCAAAAGACTCCGAGGTGTTCAGTAGTGCTGGGAAAGGTCTCAAGCGATATCAATTCGGCAAGTTGATAAAAAAGGCGAAAGAGAGTGTGTGTGTGAGAGAATGCGTATGTGAGAGTGAAAGAGTGAGTGAGAGGGATAAAAAGAAGGAAGGAAGGAAGGTATGCAATCAATCAGTCAATGGAATCTCTAGGCCTTAAATCCCAGTAGCAAACACCTGACCTCCCAAAGTTGCTTCTGCACAGGTTCCAGTCCAATACATCTGGCAACACTCTTCCACAGAGGGCCAAAGAGTAAGACAGGTAGACCGCAAATCCTGGAGCAAGAAATTTTGTTTTGTGAGACGCAATGGCTGGCTTTGCTGCTGAGGAAACAGACGTTGATACGGGAGTCAGTTAACGGTGGTAGACCAGAATGAAAACAACGCTGATGGCTCAGACGTGGTCGCTCCTGCTCTCCCTATAGTGATAAGGTAACCTAGGTAGAAAATCATCTGGCAGTATCGAATATATGCATGTATCCATCCGGCTTTTCTCCCACCAGGTTCCCCAGCCACAAGGGGGCTGCTCAGACCATATGGGTGAGACATCACAAGAGGCGCATTCAATTAACCGGTGGAGACAGCTTTGAAGTGGATACCTGTTGCTGCGCACTGCACGGGCACGGTAATCGCCGCCAGACATCCCATCTCAGGTAAGGTAAGGTAGTCTCACCTGCTGTCCCTATCGCATATTCAAAGGACCTGACCTTCCATACATGACCTCGATTCACCCCTCCAAGCCTGCTTTCACGACTGCCTTTGAGCGCTTCCTGACAGAGAAATCATTTTAACGCCCCCGTCGTACAGCTTCGCTTTTTGGCTGGTTTCCATTTCAAACGGTTGACATTCGATCCCCAGCAGCCACGTCGACAACCCGTCTCTCTTTCCCATTTTTCAACAACGCATACACCAGGCATCAAAATGGCCCACAGATTCCCTTCGCTTGAGGACTTCGATTCGGGTGGTAGGTCATATGAGAGCGAATGTGTTTCTTTCCCAAGGCTGACAGCCGCATCCAGCCCAAACCGATATCAAAGACACCGGCGCCGAACCGTCTACCGACGACTTCCTTGCCCGAGAGAAGGCGCTTCTAGGTGATGATGCCGATCAATTTGCTACCAGTGGCGATGCCATCGCCTTCGGAGCTGGCGACGATGATCTCCTGGGCGGTGGAGGCAGCGGCAACGTCATCAGCGAGGAGTCGACATTCGAGTCGCAATTTCCAGACCTTGCCCAGAACGAGGTTCGTCATACCGCCCTCTCACCCCACGCACCGTCTAACAAATAAAAACATACAGCCTGTCAACTCTGGCCAGATTCCCGGCGCTGGTATCACCGCTACTCCTAGTGTAAACTACAACTCTGGCTATAGCGCCTTCGTCGAGGAGGAGGAGGAGCCCGCGGTCATCCGTGAGTGGCGCGAACAGCGAGATGCGCAGAACGAGAAGCGGGCACTGCAATTCGGCCAGCAGCGTGAGGAGACGATTAAGGAAGCCAGAGAGAACATTGACGATTTCTACAATAACTACAACGCAAAGAAGGAGAAGGGCATTGCTCAGACGCGCAAGGACGCCGAGCAGTTCCTGGCCAGCCGTGAAGATACCGTCTCCGGCGGCACAAGCTGGGAGAGAATCGCGAAGCTGGTTGATGTTAGCGGAAAGGGTTCCAAGGGCGGCGCCTCCGGTTCCGGCAAGGAGCGCTTCCGTGAGCTCCTCATCAGCCTGAAGAAGGACGAGAAGGCACCTGGAGCCAGCGGCTACTAGATGCTGTGAACGTATGGATGAGATGAGCGGCTGTCACCGTGCAGGAGCGTTGGATGCCGCGCAAGCATCTAGACTTTGACGCTACTTGCGGTGCCGATGCGCATGTGTATTCTAGATGGCCTTTACTGCTTAAAGGAAGGAGCGGGAAAAGGTTGGCCACTTGATAAATTTGACAGGCATAGTCAAAACGAACCCCCAAAATCGACGTCACTACACTGCCCAATTTGGTGAAGATGACATGGAGGAAGCCTGGCTCTTCTAATGCCAATTCGGTCTATTGATCGCCCTACGAATCATACAGTCCGGTCCCGAGCATTTCGCTGTGTGGTGGTATCCATCTCGAGCACCGTCTATTCCTTGCCGAAGTAGGTGTTGTAGCCGAGGACCTTGCGGCCCATGCCGTAGAAGGAGGCTACTGGATGTAAGTGTTCGTCCCGAGAAATCTTTGAGGAGCTACAGCATACCACCAAGAGATCCCCACAGAAGGATAACGTAGGGGGTCATGTACCAGCGGCTGCGAGGGTTCTGCGATGTCGAGTCAGCGTCCGTCCGTCGGCGCTGGCGCCAGTTGCGAAGGTCAATTGAACATACAATCTTCCAGACACGGGTGTGGTCCTTGTAAGCGGCCTGGTAGAACTTCTGGAGCTCAGGGACCTTGTTCTTCGCGTCGACGATACTATGTGGACGTTAGAAATGCCCTCGTATGATAATTGTTCCCGACTTCGACGCGGACAACCATTGGCGACGGCAGCGCTCCGTCAACCGTCGGCCAGTCTTGCGTCTGCTCCGAAGACACGTACCCCATTTTGATCGATTGAATTGCGGTATGCTTCAATTTTGTGGTGGTTTGCAGCTTCGAAGGCTTTCTCGTATGACGGCTTTGGAGGACGGACGGAGCAATCAGCAAGATGGGCTCATGCCTTGGGTGGGCCGAATGTCCCCGACTGACTCAGCAGGGCCCGCTTTCCAGCTCCCAGTCGACGAATGGGACCGAGCTCAATTCGGTTGACGGGTGGATTTGCTCGGGAACTTTTTGGCCCAAAAATGAACATCCTTCCAACTTGCAATTGCTAATTCCACCCTGCAGATTCAGCCTCGTGATGCAGCTTGCACCAGGACCTTAGCTTTGTTAGATGTGTCGGCTGCTATGCTTGATGCCCCGTCTCAACGCAATTGTGCTTTGGTGGTTCTTCACGCGGGGCAATGCAATTGGCCTCGCAATGCCTCTGTCACTTGAATAGAGCATGCCTCGGCCGGCGGCAATCACATCAAGGACTCGTCGCGATTCGACGAACAACAACAGCCCTGCCAAGAACTCCACGCAGAAGTTTCGTTAAGTCAGGTTCACCACCACGCGCTCCCAACTTTGATCCACGCGCATCTGGTCATTCAAGATGTAGCCCAACTTTCTTACACCCAGTTGTCGATATCCACGACTCGAGCAGCACAATCATCCACGCAGACATTGCGCCGAAACCCTCAGACGATCCGACTTTTAGATCGGGACCTGCCTTTTTCCAATCCCGAATAGCTCGAGGCCTACGAATGCAACGGAAACCCGATTTGAATACCCGCATTGACTCATCAGCAGCCACCTCGCCTCCCGATAAGTTGGATATTGGGCTGGGCGAAATAACAGAGAACGATGACGAGTCTTCACTCTGGCTCCACGTTCTCATCGCCGCAAAGAAAGAGCATGGGAGAGACGGTGTGCTTGCCGTCTGGGAGGCTGTGGAGCGGCGCAGGTCATTTAGGGACGTGACGAGCGAGGAAGCAAAATCCTTTTGGAGCGTCATTCTGGAAACTGTCCTTCACAACGAGGACGAGCTCAAGGACGTTGCGCTTTTTGCAGAGCGTCTGCTCCATGATCACTCCGCGCGGTGGCCGGCGTTGTACATAACGACAGTCACATACTGCCTACGGAATGGCCAGTACCGTCGAGCATTGCAGTGGCACATGCGCTTGATGCCGAACTTTGACCCCGGACAGGAAGCCTTCGGTGCCTTGCTGCGAGAATTTTCCGTGACCACCGAAGCCGATATGCAACAGATACTGCAAGCCCTATATTTTACAGCTATGCACCGCGGGCTATATAACGAACTTATTCCACTACTCTACGAGAACGGCCTCTCTCAACAATGCGTTGGATGGCGCAATGCGTTCATATATCACGACGATCTGCCCCCACCGACTACCGAGTCACAGCCATACCTAACGTTCCTTGCTCGCTATTATCCGACCGTTACTCTTGAACTGGAAGAGCAGGTGGTCATCGGCCTGAACTCCCCAGCGTATTGGAACGCCCAGGACGACTCACTGTGGGAGGCCATGCATGACACGCAGAGCAGTGGAAATGGACCGCCAGGAAGACAGCCCAGCGATACGCTTGGTGCGCGATGGTTTGCAAGCTCTTGGGTGCCGCTAGACTTTGCGATTCATGCTGTCCATGCCCTCGGGGTGCACCACATCGGGCCTCTATCTCTCCAGTCGATTGCCTTGCGCGAATCGACAGCTAAGGGAGTGGTGGCCCGGATTGAGCAGCTGCGGACGGTCAATATTGGCATTGGGCAATCAGCCTACGCGTGGGTGCTCAAACGATTTGCTGAGAACAACGAAGAGGAGTTGCTGTCGGACTTGCTGCACACCGATATACACCCAGACGTCTTTGACGACCCCTCCATGCTAGCTAGCATCCGTGACAAGGCCTTCGATGAGGGAGATTGGAAAACACATCGATTACTGCTGGCGGTCCAACCCGCAATGGTGGAAGATTCTGTTGACTCCACGTCGAATATCTTGTTGCACCATCTCCTGGATCAAGGCAGGTTCAAACAGGCCTTGGCTTTGCTTGATGAAATGCGAACGATGGACATCGAGGTCCATGCATCGACGATACAGCACATCTGTGCGAACCTTCTCGACCCTCTGCCATGGAACCCAAAGACTACCGCAAATAACCAGGAGGCTTTTACCACGGCCATTGCCTTTCTTACACGCCTGGCGCTGCTACAGAAGCCTCTACATTCGCGTTATTGGCAAAAGATACTCTTCGGACTGGGCAAATTCGGCCGCATCGACGTGTTGGAGGACATTAGCCATGGCATCCTGGGCACATATCAACATCTTTGTGTCTCCAAACCCGGGCTGCTGCCAGTCCACCAGCTAGATGCACCACCGTTGGGCGTGGAAAGCTCGACCAGAAACGTCCTTGTTCCAACCGACCTACCCATATCTCATGAGCAGCACCCAATGCGCCAGATCTTTGACAACCCCGCTCTGCACGCGGCTATTGTCCGTTGGGGATTCAAGGCGGGCCGGTCGCAAAGCCTCAATCGCTTGGCCGACATTTCGTCGGAGACGGAGGCTATGGGCGGGAGAGGACCCGCCCGGGGTGTGCGGTTCCTCGCGACACTGAATGAACGAGGCATTCCGTTCCGAACGTCTGTCGTCCAGGAGGAGGTCATCAGGTGCTTGGCTCGGATGTACCTGTCCCGGATTGATGGCGGGCCCAGGACGAAAACGGAATTGGCCCCGTTGAAAAGCATGCGGGAGTTGTTCAACAAGTCAGCTGGACGCAGACTATTGCCAGACGTTGCTGAGTTACGAGACCTCATGGCGGATGCAAGGGGAAGGCAGAGAAGAGGATTGTGACTGCCACGAGTGCAGTCTCTCCTGTAACACAATCCTGTGATAACAGTCACACCAAGGGCAGCAACATTGGATGATTAATTATCATTGCAGGTCGATGATGGATCCCATAATCGCTAGATATTGTTGTAAAATAAGAAACTCATACATTTAGTTTACAACCGTCATCTCTCATTGACGCCCTTTGGAAGCACAGTGTATCAACGCCAGCTCACTCGTCGCCTCCGCGCTTCTTGGGTTTAATGACCAACAAGATGATCATTCCTGCTATAATGAGGAGGAGAAGTAGAATAATCTTCCGCTTGGTGGTTTTCTTCTGATATCCGTCGGCGATCACAAGCTCTTTCTCGGCACCCTTGACGTCGGTGGCCATCCGCTCGACATTGTAGTCTATCCTGTCTAGCATGGTCCCTTGGTCGATGACCATGTTCTGCAAGTCGCGGAATATGTCGGCAAGCTCGATGATGCCCTGAGCAATGTCCTCGATCTCTCGCTCGCGTTGGATTATAGCCGCATCATTTGACTGTAGAAGCTTCTGCTGCGTTGCTTGAAGCATCGACTGCGAGAAGGATCTGTCGGCGTCCGACTCGACCATTGACGGATCCAGGTATGAGTTGAAGGGCTGTGGTGTTGATCCCCTTTCGCCTGGCACGCCTACGCCGACTGCGCCAAGACCGCTCATTCCACGCAGTTCTAACACTCTGTCAGCATGTCCTCCGCGACGTCTACGAGTTCAAGGCACTTACTTTTCAAGTACGCACTCTGTTTCTTTCTAAACATTGCGCTAGCCTCCTGCACCCGAGAAGCTAGTGATATCTGAATATTCTTCGCCATCGTCTCCTCTGCACTGGTTATCGTCCCAGAATGCTTCGAGTCCCTCACCATCTGCTCGACCCGCTGGATGCAACGATGGCAGTCGTGGAACCCTTTTGTGATCTGCTGCGTGAGCGTCTCAATCTCCCTCTCCTCGGCCTTCTTGGCATCCTCGTCGTTGAATCCTGGCAATACGTGTTTCTGGTGCAGGCGCTCGAGGGCCTGGCTCCTGGTGGCTATGTCGGCGAGCAGATCAGTGATCTCGTCGGATATGTCGGCCCAGCGCGGGGGTAAGAGGTCCATCTCTATCACGGCGTCGCCATCGTCTTCGAAGGCACCAGCCGAGAGGAGACCGCGCGTGTCGTCGTTGCCGCTAGCATAGCTGCTGTTCCCCGGGAAGACATCGCCGAAGCCGTTCCCACCGGCCGCGCTACCGCTGTACTTTGTCCGTTTTGTCGGATGGTGCGCGTACGACTGCCGATAGGAAATGTAGCTGCAGGTCGGCCGAAATGTCAGCGAAAAAGCAGGAACTTTTCCGTCTAGCCCCGTGAGCCAGCAATCATGGGGAAGAGAGAGGGTCAGGTAGGAAGAGCGCGAGCAAGGGCGGCTACGTACAGATTCGTGCGGTCTCGCCACATAGCGGTTGCCAGAGTTGGCCGCGATGGCGCTCCTCAGCCTGGTGTCCTTTGTCGCTCGCTGCGCGGGCCGCTCAGGGTCGCCGTCATGAACGAGAGGTAACAATTACGGAAGAGGACACCATTGGCGTGGGCGTGCACAAAGATGCAGCAACGAGGAATGGTGTGGAGGGCGGGCTCGGGGAGTTTATAAGGAAATGTACGTCAGATTAGGTAGATGGGTTAGTCGTGCCAAGGGCGGACTCGGTTCAGCTGTCTAAAAGGTCCAGGTCCGGTTCTCAGCTTCGGATCGTAGTTACTAAATAGCATAAGTTGGTGTGTGGTTGATTGAGGAGGTAGCCGAGTCGAGTCCTCAACAAAAGACAAGCACGAGTACGTAGGGCAGCTCTTGGATCACGAGTCAAAGTGATAGGATGAAGAGTTGAGGTGAGATACGTTGTGGTGGTTGATTATGCCGTGTAAAGATGCGCCGACAAGCTTGCATTAACACGCCGATGAATTGGACAGGTATCGCATGTCAGGATGGGAGCCATTTGGGACGGACGGATTGCGTCAGGTCTGCGGATTGAGCCGCGTGTGGGCCGCGCCAAATAGCTCCGTACTTCCCTACGTACTAAGGTATTGAAGCAATGTGCCTTCACTCCTGACGCGGCACTGCTCGATGTCAATTGGTGCATTGTCCAAGATTTCTTATGTCAGCTTTTCACGAATACTCAATTGAAGAATGGAAGGGACAGGACATACCTACATACCTTACGTACCTAGGCTGTTAGGTTGAGTGGACCAAGGCGTGACATGCTGCCTTCCTGGTTGCCACCTGGCACCTTATGTCTCCTTAATTTTCCTTCATTTAGGGTGCCTTGCTAGTTGGTAATGGAAGAAGGTACATAGCGACCCTGGGGTATTGGGCTGTCCCAAAATTGTCCCGGGTTGGTCTTGACGTGCTGAAAGATGAAGCCAAGGTACCTATTGGAAAGGCGCCCAGTGGTTCAGGATGTCTTCCATCCCTATTGGAAGTCAGCCACAGCCTGAGCATCCTGTCAGCTTCCACCCCTCGACACCCGCGGCCCCCTATCGCCCGACTTGCCCCCCCGTCTGCCCCATCTCTCCCCACGAGCTGCACACTACAGAAAAGCTCGACCCCCCGAAAGGCGTCCAGTGGCATCTAGTCTGGCCAAGACCTACGAATACTTTCGTTAACAACATCCAACCCAAACCCATACGGCTCCATTCGACGTGGACCGCTTGCAGAACCAGTACCCTATTCTTCCCACAAACCATCGCCAACATTCGTCATGGTTAGTTGACCAACTTTCCGAGCTCAATCTTCTATCCCGCATTCATGCTGCGTCTCGTGAGGTAACCCCGCGACTGAGGGGCTGCCGATGCTAATTTCGGCGAGCTGGACTGACCCGGCTACCTACAATCTAGGCTGACTCCCTCACCGAAGAGCAAGTTTCCGAGTTCAAGGAGGCCTTTTCTCTCTTTGTAAGTCACACCATGTCCTTGCGGACGTCTCACGATTTCCTCGTAACGTGATTTTGGACTTTAGCTGACCCGTCAATACAGGACAAGGACGGCGATGGTCAGTACCACCCCCCCTTTCTCTTTCTGTCGATCCCGAACTCCTACTCTTGCGACTTCTCGCGACCGCTTCGATACGAGACCAGCACTGGGACGTTGTCGAAACTTGGATATGTGGCTTCTAGAATACAAGGCTAAAAGAATACGAACAGGTCAAATCACAACCAAGGAACTTGGCACCGTCATGCGCTCCTTGGGACAGAACCCCTCCGAGTCGGAGCTTCAGGACATGATCAACGAGGTTGACGCCGACAACAACGGAACGATCGACTTTCCTGGTACGTTTACACCACAACTGTCAACCACCCACCCACACGGAATCGGCGCGCTGACGAGTGAACACCCTCAGAGTTCCTCACTATGATGGCCCGCAAGATGAAGGACACCGACTCCGAGGAGGAGATTCGTGAAGCTTTCAAGGTGAGAAGAGCTGGTGCAACGAAGTGTCGATCAATATTGACCAGAACAGGTCTTTGACCGCGACAACAACGGCTTCATCTCCGCCGCCGAGCTGCGCCATGTCATGACTTCGATCGGCGAGAAGCTCACGGACGATGAGGTTGATGAGATGATTCGTGAGGCTGACCAGGATGGTGACGGACGCATTGATTGTAAGGAAGCGATCTATGTGTTTTATTTCCCGCTGCCGTCGCCCAAGGTGCTAACAGGAGGCCGCAGACAACGAGTTCGTCCAACTCATGATGCAGAAGTAAGGTGTCAGGTTGGTCGAGCGGCTGTAGGTGGAACCCATTCACGGTGACATTGGCCGCGCAGCAATTTTTTTTTTCTTTGCGAAGAAAGACACGAACGGATTGCAAAGGGTCTAGGCTGGTCAGAAGGCATCCTTTTAGACCGTGGGAGTTGCCATAGGAGAATCACCAGCGAAAGGACGAGTTTGACATTCGGACGATTGGGGGGGAGGCTCTATGCATTCGTCTCGCTGCCAGCACGCTTGCCTGTTTCATATTCCCGTTCTATTACGATGCTTATTTAACGAACACGCTCTCCTACACCGACACTGACGCAAGACTTTTTTGAAGGATACGGGAGTTACGCTTAGAAGGGGATCTCCTCCAGGGCGGCGAATGCAAAAGTCAATCTACCCGCTGCGTTCATCAATTGGCAATGCAGAGCCTGAAGTTGCTTGAGATCTGATGCAAGGCGGATATCTCATGTTTGTGGCTTTTCCGCTTCAAGTGTCACATGCCGAATTATGATGCCACTTGCTGCGATTCCTGCTTTGGTTTAGTCTACCCGGCCTGACTGCAATTGCCTGGCAACCGGGCAAGTGTAAGCTTGTTCAAAAGAACATGGAGTCGTTATTGACGGACAAGTGGTCGTGAAATCATGGTACGCATACCCTATCCGTTACCCATGGCCTGGAATCTCTTGAATATTAGTGCCAGGCCAGCGGAGGAATCTAGCTTGGCAGGGCTGCGGGCACCGCTCCGATGCGCCCCTTCTAAACGCCCAAGTACGCATGAGTTCAAGCAACCCTCGGACTGCAAGCGGTTGTAACCGTCACCTTGCGTACTAAGATTTGGAACGTGTTGGTATAAAGTACGTGGTGTTGACAACAACCAGCATTATGCATCGCCGATGGCCCGCTTCTAAGAACAAACCTGCAAGCCATGGTGGAAAGACATTCATGGCAGTAGATGGAACGTGAATCGGGGGTAGCATGGACAAAACGTCGTCGACGGCTCATGAGTTCTCACAATAGGTAATGCGAGGTATCTGCGAGTCGAATCCCAGCCCACCAGACGGGATGGGATATGGAGGCCCGCTACAGCCCGAGGAACGGTACCCGGGACGCTGAAGGGCCCCTAAAGCCCCCCTACCTTAGGTATTGAAGGCTCGCCGGCCATGTCCCAAATTGGTTCACGCCTGAAATGTACGGCCAATTCCACATCGGCCCCACGCGAGCGACGGCGCTGCACCTCCAATGCGAGGCCACGGATGAATGTCGCTCGACCCGCCCGGGCTTGACATCCTTGGCCCCGTCTATCTGGTCTATTCGTCGGCCGTTAGCAAGTCTACCGCAACACGACCTTTAACGACATCTTCGATAATCGCGACTCGCCCTTTCGAGAGCTCTCGACGAGCTTGCAGGCCCCTCCGTGAACAGCCTCCTCTCTAGACACCAACTGTCTGCCCAAGGCCCTCCGCGGGCCCCCCTCTCCCCGGTTTCCCAACATGAGTTCTCGTGCGATTAAGCCCCTCTGTACCTGAGTCGGTGGCCTGGAGCTGACCTTGGTGACACTCCAGTGAAGCAGTTCATCCGCAACGTTCGTGCCGCCAAGACCATCGCCGACGAACGAGCCGTCATTCAGAAAGAGAGTGCCTCCATCCGAGCAAGTTTCAGAGAAGAGAGCGGCGACCACAGCGTGAGGTGCGCAATGGATTGTGATTCCGACGGAAACCCATTGCGGATCGGGGCTGACATTTAACCACCAGGCGGAACAATGTCGCCAAGCTCCTATACCTCTTCACCCTCGGTGAGAGAACACATTTCGGTCAAATCGAATGCCTGAAGCTGCTGGCCTCTCCCCGGTTCGCCGACAAGCGGCTGGGCCATCTAGCTACTAGTTTGTTGCTTGACGAAAACCAAGAGGTTCTGACGCTTGTGACGAACTCGCTACAAAAGTAAGCGCCATCAACACGCCTCGGCCATTGACACCAGCGCTGACGCACAATAGCGACCTCGCCCACTCGAACCAGTATGTTGTTGGTCTGGCCCTTTGCACGCTGGGTAACATTGCCTCAATCGAGATGTCGCGAGACCTCTTCCAGCAAGTCGAGGCCTGCGTCAACACATCGAACCCGTACATTCGAAGGAAAGCGGCCCTTTGTGCCATGCGGATATGTCGCAAAGTCCCAGACTTGAAAGAGCATTTCGTCGACAAGGTCAGCAACCTATTGGCCGACCGAAACCATGGCGTCCAGCTGTGCGGCCTGACCCTGGCGACTAGCTTCTGCGAGGCCGACGACGAGGAAGATGCCGACGGCGACGAAGACATTGTCGAGAAGTTCAAGCTGTTTGTACCAAACCTGGTCAAGACGCTGAAGGCGCTTGCAACCTCTGGATATGCTCCCGAGCATGATGTCACAGGTATTAGCGATCCGTTCGTGCAAGTCAAGATCCTCCGCTTCCTCAGGGCATTGGCCACGGGCGACGCACACGTGAGTGAGCAGATCAACGATATTCTGGCACAGGTTGCGACGAATACGGACTCCTCCAAGAACGTCGGAAACTCCATCTTGTACGAGGCAGTCCTCACAATTCTCGATATTGAGGCGGATTCTGGTCTTCGCGTGCTGGGTGTCAACATCCTGGGCAAGTTCCTGTCTAACCGGGACAACAATATCCGTTACGTTGCGCTCAACACCCTGATCAAGGTGGTTGCTATCGAGCCAAACGCTGTCCAGAGACACCGCAACACCATCTTGGAGTGCTTGAGAGACCCGGATATCAGTATCAGGAGGCGAGCGCTCGAACTGAGTTTTACACTTATCAACGAGAGCAACGTGCGGGTTCTGATTCGGGAGCTGCTTGCTTTCTTGGAAGTAGCAGACAACGAGTTTAAGCCCACCATGACTAGTCAAATAGGCATTGCTGCCGACAAATTCGCACCAAACAAGCGGTGGCACGTCGACACAATGCTGCGAGTATTGACGCTCGCCGGCAATTACGTCAAGGAGCCCATCATGTCATCCTTTATCCGACTGGTGGCCACTACTCCTGAATTGCAGACCTATGCAGTCCAGAAGCTTTATATCAATTTGAAGAAGGATATTACGCAGGAGAGTCTGACACAAGCCGGTGCGTGGTGTATCGGCGAGTACGGTGATGCTTTGCTGAGAGGTGGTCAATATGAAGAGGAGGAATTGGTACGGGAGGTCAAGCAGCACGAACTCATCGACTTATTCACGACCATTCTGAATAGCAACCATGCGACCCAAGTCTCGACCGAGTATATTGTTACGGCCTTAGTAAAATTGACGACAAGGCTGTCTGACCCTGCACAACTCGATCGAATCCGCCGGCTGCTTGAGGTCCACCAAACAAGTTTGGACGTTGAGGTCCAGCAAAGAGCTGTTGAGTACACCAACCTGTTTTCGTACGACCAGATTCGCTCTGGCGTTCTTGAGAAGATGCCGCCGCCTCAGATCAAGGAAGAATCTCGCGTGCTGGGCGCGGCGACAACCACGAAGAAGGCCAAGGCTGCCAACCGAAAATCCAGGGTCGTCAAGCCGACCGAGCAGGATCTTCTATTCGATCTTATGGACACTCCTCCAACAACAACACCTGCTGCCGGCGGCGCCTCTAACACCGACCTCCTGGCTGATATTCTGGGCGGTACCTCATCGCCTCCCACGTCGACCTCTCCTGGCCCCCAACAATCCCAGACAGCCTCTATCATGGACCTCTTCTCCCAAGGTTCTGCCCAGCCAATGGGCTCTCCCGCACCAGTCATGGGTGGCTCGAATATGGACTTGATGTCGTCCATGTCCGCAGCGGCAACCCCTCCGCCCCAGGCGCAGGCCGCTGCTCAGGCACCGGCAGGCCTTCCTGTCTATGATAACAATGGTCTTAATATCAGTTTCCAGATCCAGCGCAACGCCGAGGGTCTAGTCCAGGTCATCGGCCGGTTCAGAAACTCCGGTCCCGGCCCTCTTTCAAACGTGGGATTACAAGCAGCCGTTCCCAAGACGCAGAAGCTGCAGCTCATGGCCATTTCAAGCACGGATGTTGGACCTGGTGCCGAAGCCACCCAGAGAATGATTGTGTCTGGAGCTAAGGGCGTATGTTTCTTCATTCCTTGCTCTTGGTCTTTTTTTCACATTGCTAACGTACTTACAGCCGCTGCGACTGCGTCTGAGAATTGGATACGGGCATTCATCCGCCGGAGAAGTGATGGACCAGGTGAACTGGACCGAGCCGTCCTAATTTGGCACACGTCTTTTCGGGTGTGGCATGAACTTGAAGCTGGCTTGGGCTTGAATATCTATCATGACAAGACAAGCGTTCTTAACATAGAAAAATCTCAGAGGATGAAAGATTGGGCGCGAAAAAGCACAACGTCGTTGAAACCTCATGACCCTACCTAGTCTCGATTCGTGTTGAAAAGTGTGATCATGGTTTCGACGTGACTATTTCTACCTATCCATCATTGCGTTGCATTTCATGGCCCAGTGCGGGAGAACAAAATGTATGTATATACTGCACTAAGCTCTCCGACCTCGGTGCGGGCATCCATCTGACTTGCTGTGTCATCCACCCACCTCTCACAGCTGCGCCAGCATTGGTCCAAACAGATGAACCAACCGCACAGAGGCTCTCTCGCCTTCAAATTCGGTCGTTTTCCAAGTCCGCTCTCCCCGGTCCGATTCTGTGGTACCAGCTCGGCTCTATAAGATTATGGCTAAGGAGCCAGGCGAAACGTCGACGTCGCATGCCGAGCGCACGGCGGCTCAACCCCGGGATTCTGTAGGAAGCCAGCATATTCACCCGCGCCTTAGGCCGAAGCAGAAATTCTAATTATGGGAAGCAGAGATTGCATAGTGTTACACTGATCAGAGTCCATGCGGTAAACGAAGTTATTCGTCTTTTCCGGCTTGGCATCAAGGCGGGGTCGAGCATTGAGGTACGTGGCGTCACATTACCGCCTCCGGCCGTCACTGAAGAGGTTACACGGCGTCCCCTTTCCCAACAAAGATGTTAGAGCTATTCACTTTCTGAACTCTGGCCAAAATTCCAAAAATTACTCATTCTTTCGGCCAGTTTCTATCGGGCCAGTGGCTCGACACCTATGTCCCCGGCGTGCCCAAGGCAGGCGGCTTCACGCTCACCAGCCCGCCATCCAAGGCGTCGCTCCCCGCGTCAGCATACCTCGAGCTCGCGGTGCAAAAGTCGCCGTTGAACCCGTCAGCCGCCTGGCTATGGGACCAGCCTGTCGACGACGACGAGGACGGGCCCCAGGTGGTCCCCCGAAGAGAGAGACCCGAGCTCCAGGTCCGGGTCGGCGGGTCGTTCGTCTGGCCGCCTCAGGGTGTCGACCTCGCTACCCTCCGCCGTATCGTGTTCATTGCCGGCGGGGTCGGGGTAAACCCGTTGATGAGTATGTTAAGCCACCTGGCCGAAGTGAGATGCCCGTATGACGTCCAGTTCATGTACTCGACAAAGGCGCCCGATGACCTCGATTCCGAAAAGATTTTGTTCCTGGAGCGACTGGTAAGCATCTACGGCCGAGAGAAGGTCCGCGGTCAATTGAGGCTGTTCTTCACCAACGCCGGTCCCGAGTCCGAGTCCAAGCCCGAGTCGGTGCTGCATTTTAACGAGATGGACATCCCGTTCAAGAGACACCGTATGGCTTTGGATGATGTAGCGGATGCCGTGGGGCCCGTTACGGAACACGGATCTGCATTGGTATACATTTGCGGGGTACCGTCCATGACCGATGAGCTAGTAGAGAACCTCACGTCTAAGAGTGGATTCAACCTGAGACCTGAACGGGTCCTTTGCGAGAAGTGGTGGTGATTTCAGAGCTCAGCTTTTGTCTGCATTATATTCCCGGAGGCTTTTGAATCTGGACAACAAGCGATCGCTCAAATTAATCTCAATATCCCACCAACATTGTGCAAAGTTGAAACTCCAGCACGACCCCTCGCTCGTGGATATGTAAGAAGCACTGGTGTAAAGAATTAGCATGGAGTTGGGAAACACCCAAAGGAACCAAAGACCAAAAAAAAAGTGAGAAAGGAAATTTTATGGTATTTCTGGAACGAATGTGCCCACGGTTCATAGAGCTCCGAGAAATATTGCAGTGCTGTTTATCGACCCTGGGCTAGCGATCTTGTCCCGACGGCTCTGCTTCAACCAGCCTTTCTTGAATGCGCTGATGGTTGAGCATTTCCAGTTCTCCGGCCTCATTTCGTGATCTTTCCATCCTCGTCTGCCTCGCTCCCTGTATGAGCCTCCACTTTCTTGTGGCCGGTACATTCGACATCCATCAACACAACCTTGGCTTCTGTACACGAGCCGTGGGCTGACCCCTTCGTGATCAACCTCTTTTCCCTTCACAAACTTAGATTTGTGATTGAAATGGTTCCACAGAAATTCTGCACCCTGCAGCTGGACCCAAGACCTTCGTAGACACTAATTCATCTTTCGAGCATTCCGTCTGTTGAGATCCAATCTGCCATGCCTGCGACGCAAAGGTGATGGACTCCGTCTGAGCCATTCCCCTTCCAAGAGGTTCATGTCGTCGAGGTTCTCGATAGCTGACATTTGGCCATTGTCAGAGCTGTCGCCGTAGAGCTCCTGACTGGAAAACCCCGAAAAATTCCAGGCACTGGTTGACGAACCTCTCAGCCTCATTGCTTCCGCGTGCACTGCAGCTATGTATTCTTGCCGCCCGATCCGAATGTTTACTTCCAAGCCACCCGTTGAAGGAGGCGTCATATTGTAGTCGGATGACGAAGCTGGAAGAGCTAAGGGCGGGGAGGGAAGAGGACGACGCGGATCCGTCTCAGGGAGCTCTTGAGACAGGGAGGGCAGCATCACCCGTCTGGCGATTCCAAGCTCAAACTCTTCACCGCCACTCGACTCTTCAATGTACTGGAAGAGCGATGGTGTGACAGAAGGTGCTCTTGTCGATTCTAATGACACGCTGCGGATCGAGGGTTCAGAATCTGGACGCATTGGCAGAGTTCGGAGGGGTTCTGACACTTTCAGAATCTCTCGCGCTAGTTTGCTGGGCTGCGGCATCCTGGACCGATTCGCGACTGGAGGGGTAAGCTCAGGTGGCGTTTCGAGGTAAAAGTCTCGTTCGACGGCTGGTTTGTTCTGCTTCCCCTTCTTTTCGATCTGGCCCCTATCATTGTCCTCGAAGACCAATCCGTCAACAGAGTCGAAGTCAAATGGTCTCGTTCGAGTGCTAGTAACTTGTCCAGCCTCATAATGAATTGGCGTTATGGGCCTGTTTGGCAGTTGTTCACTCTGTGCATTTGATGCTATCAATTCGTCATAATGCGCCTCTGACACAAGATTCAGCGCCTTCAAGTTTTCCCAAGTGCGGTAGAAAAAACGAAATGTGGCGAACGGAGAGTCAACCGGGTCGACGAGGACCCAGTCATAGAAGGTGAGATCTTGCGGTGACTCAACAAGGCCACCGGTGGGTGATCTGAATCATAAGTATAACAAGTCACTTTATTTCAGTAGAGGATGGAGAGAATTCCTTACGTAATGCCATACTGATCTTGACTGCGAAAGTCACCAAGTTGAGGGGCTCTCCTCCTTCGTCCGTGGGATCGGAATATCTGAACGTCAATAAGGCCGCCGTCCATGGCAGCCGAGGCTTCGGAGCGCGGCACAAAGTGAAAGAAACGTTTCTCGACGCCCTCACGTTTGTACGTAACACCAGACTCTCGATAGTGCCACTTGGTATCAGGCTCGTACAAAGCATGACTGACGATCTGGCTCTGGGCAGCTTGCGACCTCGTACCCCAGGAAACTACCTGACGGCCATTCATGGTCATTTTGAAATACAGGAATTTGCTATTCGCTGGAGGTTTGTTGATTGAGTATCTCAAATGGAACTGGGATCCTGTGTCATCGATGTCAATTGTCGCCAACAGGTTAAGTGTGAAGTGGAAGAAGGCGAGGGCAGTAACAAACCTGGCGACGAGGGAATGTAGACTGACGTTGTCGGTCTACACTTCTCGGGGGTCGAGGTGAAGCTGCAACCTGTGGACGACATCGGGCTCGCTGCATGAGGACCCCGAAGTCGGACAGAGGAGGACTCTGGGTGAGGAAGCTCGGGCAACCCCTCTATATTGGGACCAGGCACGATTGAGACGTCAATGCCCCTGAGGCTGGGCATTGGGGCGAGTCGATTGGTATCTGGTTGTCGCGTGAGAAGGGGTCAGCTGAGGTCTGCTATGCAAGCCGTGAAATTGGCAAGAAGAGCGTGGGTAGTGAAGAAAGAAAGTGTTGGTGGGAAGTATTAGTGTTGCCGCGGGGATATTGAAGAATTAGGAATCCAGTCGATTTGGTGCTTTGAGTGTATGCCTCTGGAGCAAGGTAGTGAAGCGCAGCGAGGTTTTGATTTGGGGTTGATTCGCCGGTGGCTCTTTCTTCCTTCAGGGCAGGTGCGAGTCGGTGAATTCTTGGACTGTACCTTCCCTCAGGATAAGCAACCATCACGCTGTTGCCGCCGCTTCTCAGTGGTTTTGCCAACATTGCCACGCTCACAATAGAGTTTTTCTATCAAATGTTGCATATACAATTACCTACATAGCCTCCTCAGATGGCGGATTGTAGCATACTACTTTGAACACAATATCGAAACACCGCCACAACCATTGCCAATAGGCAAAACCTCAGGCACTCTGGCGACAAAATATGAAGGAGAGGTGCACTGTCTCAATCGAAATCGTCACATCGAAAGATCTCCGAACACGGTGCAAGCGATCCAATGCCGAAGGAATTGAACAGGAAATTGGCGTTGATCGTTTGCTGCTTGCAGCAGCTACCTATTTGGTTCGTGCCATGTACAGGTTGTTTCGCCCCTCTCGAGCCTAGCTTTAGCTTCGTCTTGCTCAACTCGACCCTGTTACAGCCTTCGTGTCGTCCTCCTTGCCGAGTAGTCCCAGGTTGCGTATTTGTCCTGCACTCGGCGCGTTGTCTCGTGCACTTGCCGACTCAGCCTTTCGGTAGGCAGCCTGAAGCGCCCTCGTTCTCGCAGCCTGTATGGGTTCGTGCCATTGGTAAGTCATTGTCCTCCTAGTTATGGTATAGCCGGGGCTGAGGGATACAGACCTCCTTCTTGTGGTGCAGGCACTCGTAGTAGTCCTCCAGAGCCAAGCCACATTTCTTCTTCTCTGAGTGGTCCTCGCCGGTGGTGTTGACGACATAGCAGCCGAGGAGCTCCTGCCAGAAGGGGAAGCACCGCGATGGGCCTAGCCGGCGTCACAGGATCAGTACGGCATCAATGGCAACGTGAATGGAATAGTACCTCCGTGAAGTCCGTATCCAGAGGCCATTATGGATATACAAGCGCCGATTGGTGGGTAGGTGAAGCTTCAAGGTCGTCGGATACTGTCGTGGAGACGCAATCCCGAAGTCGAAAGTTTGGACGGTGGTTGTGACTGTGGAATAGTCCGCGGCTGTCTGGTAAATATCGTCCTATCAGAAGGTACCTGATTCCAATAGCACATCCGCTGGAACCATGTGTTCTCTAGGCTAGCGCGCGCCTAAACCTCCCTGGATCGACCCGCTTGCCAATCGGAGCCCCTGGCATCCACACCACTCAGCAGCTTACGGATACGTTCCCTTACAATGTAGGTATGACGAAGCTAGGTGCATGCACCCCAACTGAACACGCTTCGGGGAGTTGGACCTTGATGCCCGTGCCCACCCGCACTTGCACCTGTCGACTGCTTCGATACCCCGATATACCGACATCGCTTCGCGAAAGCTCCTCTGGCCAGTTCAACGCTTTGTGGTTAACCTACATTGAACGTTCCCGACGATACACTAGATTGGACATGCCTAAAATTCCTGCAACATGAGCCTCGTCCTGTCCCCGCCGAAGCTTGTGCTTTTGGCTGTCCAGCTGGCCATCCACGCCAATATTGAAAGTCTGGCCTTCCTCGCCTCCCGACATGCCACTGTCCTACGCAAGGATCTCGTTTTACGCGTTCTCTTGACCTATCTGCCCGAGACAGTCAGGTCTAGTGACTACCTTTCCTTCTTGGAGGAACTCTCGACTGGCGAATTCAACGACCGCGAAGCTGAGTACATCGACTACTCCATCGTGGAGAACCTATCGGACGAAGATGCTGCGAAAAAGGTTCGCAAACTCCACTTGCTGCCTCTAGCTAGGAAGGATATATCCGTTGATACCGATGACGATTCATTGGCCTTGTTCCTCCTCCATCGAGCTCACCGTGTCGACGAAGAGGCAGGCCTGCTCCATCAGCTACCCGAATTGCTTGGCCCTTTTATACAATATGCTCCTGGGATCCGAGTCTGGACGGTCTCAACTTTGTTGCCGCTGCTGAGGAGGAATTACGAATACTACCCGACCGAAAGCGTGCCTTACACATTGGCTGAGTTCCAGAGTCTCCCGGATGGCGCGGCCATTGATGCTCTTTTATCCCAAACGGGCGTGAGGCCGGAGGAATACGGCTTCATCGGGAGAGATCTCAGAGGCATACTTGTGCCTTGGCTGCATGATGATGCCCGGTGGAAACGCTTAGACGAGACCGACTCGTCAGTCGAGGGCGTGTCTAGTGCGGGATGGGAACGTTTCCTCGAATGGCTTCTCTCCAAGAGCTCTAGCTCATGGAGAGTAGCTGTTGCTGCCGTCGAGCAATGGGGAGGTGCTGTAGACGTGGATCTGGGAGACTTTGATGTAGTATGGCTCAGCGAGCAGCAGCAGCAACATCTCGACCGCCGCTATGCACGGGCGATTATGGGTTGCGCTTACCTGGTACCCGAGGCCAGTACAGAAGCGCTCGAAGGAGCTCACCAGATGTTAAGGAAGGTCATGGACCTGCTGGGGCAGGATGATACAATGTCACTGCGCGAGGGGGCGGACACGTTGGCTGCTGTTGCTTACTTGGAAGACGACGGAATCCTGAATCACAAGAATACAGCCTTCATGCGAGACGGTCTGCTTAAGGATTCGAACCCTCTTACCAAGCCTTCGAGAAAGTCAACGCACCTTCTCCATGCCCTGATCCTCAGCGCTTTCATCTTGACTCAATCCGGACTACCCTGCACCGTCAGGAGGGCCGGAGCCCTGGCTTTCATCCAGGATGAGCGAGACCAGAAGGCTGAAGTGGTGCAGTTGATCCATACACTGGCCGACAGAACTCCCAATAACGACGAAACATACTGGGTCAAAGCACGGAATGAGGTCCTTTGGCTCAGGAACTGGGGCATTGCCCCCTCGCCGGAGGGCAAGGTGATGGGAGTGTTTGCCAAGGTCAAGCCGGAAGTAATCGAAACAGAATTCTTGAGGGCACTCCTGTCTAGTGCACGTAAGTGTACCACGAACGATTTCCCACCATGTTTTGCTAAATCTGCTCAGGCTACTCGTTGGCAAGATCCTTGTACGAGAGCGCCGCCGACAAGCCACTGTCATCGCAAATAGTGCAGGAGACCGTCGAAGCTGCTGCGCTCAATGCGTACGACAATGCGTCGAACCCGAGTCGCGCAAGGGGCGGCCTCAAGAAATGCGACGAGATGTACGTGAGAAATGACATGACTGCCGTTTTTCACTTCCACTAATAAAACCAGTATCAATGCCTTCCCTCAAACAATCCACAAATCTCTACCTGAGCGGCGCCGAATCGACTCTTTGCTCGAGGCAACGCATGCCCTCAGCGAATACCGACTGGTCCTTAGGCAAGCCGAACCTTTCAGCCCCATCGTGTTACGCGTCCACTCAGATCCCATCTCCATCATTGGCAAAATTCTAGAGCAGAACCCGAAGAGCTACACACGCATCCAGGAGCTCTTGGGCGTGGGGTTCAACATGGTTCGCGCCGGACTTGTGGACCGCAACAACAAGGTTGCAGCAGCTTACGCCACAGACGATGGAGAACAAATCGAGGCCGCGAGACAACGTATCACAGCCATGTGCATTGAAGCGGCTTTGAAAGAAGACGACTTTGAGACGGCGTATTCGTACATTGTTAATCGTCTAAGCGGCGGTGTTGATAAATCGGCTGCTTCAATGGCGAAGATCGACGACGAGTGGTCCTGGAGGGCTGCCCTGCAGGCGGGACAGTACATCAGGAGTGCCCGAACGATACGACCGACACACTTGGGTAACGCCAGCGGTAATCCCGATATCCGGCACCTAGAACAGCGCATCGACTGCCTGGCAACAGCCCTAAGGATCGCTCCGCCCTCGCAGTTGCAGGAGATCCTCAAAACATTCCGTCGCTGTGAGGAACAGCTCGACTCAGCTATCAAAGAGGACGCTGCGCGTGAAGAGGACCTGGACACTGCCACCTCTGTCGATGGGCACTCTGGTATGCCCGGCGGCTTCGACACAGGTCACGCGGCGGCGAGATCGCACGGGCCTCTAGGCGAGCGGCAGACCCGCTCTTCAGTCGGTGTTGGGGTTGCAAGCAATACCGGCGACGAAGCGCCCATGTCACTATTCGACCTCTCCCGCGCGACGGCTAGGGCGGCGACTCGCAATTTCACTGCGCTGTCGACGCTACAGCAGTCTGCTGGTGGCGGCAGTGCTTCTGCCGGTGGTGGCGGCGCCGTGGCTCCGACGCCGGCTGCTTCTGACTCCGTGCCGGACAGCGAGTGGGATGTTCATGATGACCACCCCAGAGCGAGGAAGCGTGATCAGCTTCGTGAGGCTGCAATGGGCACCTTGACATCAGGCGTTGGCTGGCTCATCGGTGCCCCTGCTCCAAACCAGCCACAGGGACACAGAAGCGACTGAAGTCAATTCGCTTATAGATCGTATACAGGCAGTGATAGTAACGACTGAATGATGAATGATTCCCAAATCCCAAGACAATTCGAACAGTGCGATGGTTTCCCACCCAAGTTCTCTCAATGACTCTGTGTTTTAATTTGGTAGTAAACTATAACACTGTGTAAATATCCTGCAAAGCTAATCACAGAAAAAAAAAGTTTTGAGCAATAGTTCTACCACTGGGTAGAATGTTGACCTGTTTGTCGACCTCGAATTGACTATTGGGGCGGGGCCCAGATTGGTCCAGAGGTGGTGAGCTGCCAAGAGTTTGCTTGACCCAGGCAAACTATACGCAAACCTCAAACACTCAATATTGAAGGCTGTTTGACGTGGATGACCCAAGCCTCTGTGGACTGCAAGCTATGAAGCAGATCTCACTAAAGGTTGAGCCAACTTGTCTTTGAGCGACTGCTTTGCACAGTAGGGAAAGCCCTGCCAGAAGTCGTGTGGAAACTGGAGAATAGAATTTTGAACCAAAGCACGAAAGTCAAACCCCGCGTCGAGACTGAGACAGCATACATCGTTGTAAACGGGCTAGGCTCGCTAGCTGGCTGCACTGCACGCTGGGGACCAGCCCGGTGTCGCCCGTGCAAAGTCGGAAATGCTGGCGAAAAAGGAAGTAGAACGAGAAAGCGTAGCAGATGTGGAAGACGGGCGCCAAGAGTACTTCAGACATCCACATTCCAGGCGGAGCAATCTTTTTTACTGTTAAGTGTTTTCTTCACTAACTATAGCGTCAGTTTGGAACAGCGCATGTTGGGGAAGATACCTTTGACCGAATTCTGAATAAATTCTGTGCTTTCTTATCACGCGACCATATGACGCTCTAGACACGGCCCAAGAGTGTTGGAGGTGGATGGTCAGAACGACGATGCGAAGCAAGGGCCACGACATCTTTGAATGCCGTGCCACTGATTTGTGCTAGCATGACGACTAAATGAACAACAGAGGGTGTGAATGGCGAATAAGAGGCGGTTCATTTACGATAGAAGGGTTGAATTTGTATAGTGGCGTTCAGGCGGCACAGTTACGGTTTAGTTGTATTAAGGGACGCGGTTGTCATTCATGTTGCATTGCTGGTCAACATCTTATCATGCTGAAAATTGCATCGAAAGAGCCATGTCGGATTTGCGAAGCCGTCTCAAACTCGACTCGACCCCGAAGTGGGACGCGATAGATAATGGTACAAGGTGGAAAGTGGTTTGCGTAGAAACAATCGTGGACCGCCGTAGGCCCACGACGTGGTGTAACGAGAGTGCTGATCCACGAGGGGGAAGTGACTGTCACTCTGGCCAAAGCCTGTCGATGCCTGCCGTTTTGCCGCGTTGATTGTTTGCCATAGCTACCATAGAATCCGCCAAACATTCGTTGACTGCAAAAACCGAGTTGAGTAACAGGAGCCAATTGAAAGGCACCTGGTTCTCGCGAACAGTCATTGTTACCGAAAACCGAGGTTAAGGAGCCGTAAACCACGCAGGCCGAAAATCCCCATTTTTGTGTTCCATCCCAAACTACATGAGACGCAATTTTTGGGATAGCCGCCGTAATCGATCGAACTATGAAAGAGGAAAGGGATGGACCGTCAGTCGCCATCAAACCGGGCATATTAACGACTTAGGTAGCGAACGTTGAGAAATTAGCGAGAGCCTAGACACGTTAGCTTGAAGACCATAGGGCGGGCGCTTGAATAGGGTTTTCCAACCTCCATAGGCCTCGCGAGCCTCGGAGCGGGCAGGCGCGTCGGCATAAGCTGTACCGCTGGCAGGAGCGTCGCGGGGAGGGCGGTCACGGCTGCTGCTGTAGGTATCATCACCGGTGCGCTCGCGTCTCTCGTAGCCGGCAGCACCGCCGCCACGGCGGTCATCGCCGCCACGGGCATAGCGATCGCCACGGTCCTCACGTCCACCGCCGCCGCCGCCGCCGCCACCGTAGCGATCGACGCGACCGCTGCTGCTGTAAGTGTCGTCGCCACCACGCTCGCGTCTCTCGTAGCCGCCGGAACCACCAGCGCCGCCGCGGTCCTCACGGTAGCTGCGGTCGTAGCCACGATCCTCGCGATAGCCACGGTCGTAACCACCGCCGCGGTCTTCGTAGCCTCCACGGCGGTCGTATCCGCGGTAGCGATAAGCATCATCGCGGCCACCTCCATAGCCGCCACCTCCATAGCCACCGCCGCCGCCGTAACCACCGCGGCGACGGTCATCGTAGCGGTCGTTGAAACGGCCTCCACGGCCGCCACCACCACCACCGCCACCACCTCCCTCTGTTGAAAATCGTGTGAGTGACTTCTCCCCAGTGCGAGCCGTCGAGAGAATGCTTACCACGTTTGGGGGGGCCGAAGTATTTGCCTGGAGTGGGAGTGCGAGGGCGAGCACGACGAGCCTTCTCGATGCTGAGGGTACGGCCTTCGATCTGCTCTCCCTGCAAGCCTTCCTTGGCAGCGTCGGCTTGGTCAGAAGTGACCATCTTGACGAAGCCAAATCCACGAGACTCCTTGGTATGGGGGTCGCGCATGATCTGGCACTTCTCGACATCACCGTACTTCTCGAACATGCGAGTGACCTCCTGTTCGGTCAAACGGGGATGAATTCCAGTGACGAAGAGGTTGGAGCCAGGGTTGATGGCGCCGTCGTCGTCGCGGTCGCCACCTCGGGAGCCAGTCTCGTCCTTGGCGCCGCTAGGGGAAAACAGTATATGTCAGCAATCGCACATTGTTTGGACAAAGGGGATCAGGAATCAAAACTTGTGTTTGCTTACCGGTCGCGGTCGCGGTCACCGTTGCCGGAAGGAGACGCAGAGCGACGACGTCCAGAGTCGCCATCATCACGCGCAGGGCGAGGGGAGGCGCTGCGGTTGTCGCGCTCGTAACGAGGAGCCTCGTCTGCATCGCGTTTGTCTGTTAGTGCCTCGTCGACTTGGGGGCGTCGATTTGTATCGAGGAAAAACGAACCATCGTAGCGGTCGCCGTTGGCGGCCTCGTAGTCCATGGACGTAGTAGCCATATTGATTTATTGGGCGAACGAGCTATTGTTCGTTGGCAATGTTGGTGGTGTTGCTAGTCGGTAAATTTGGCCAACGACGCGAATGCCGGTGACGCAGACTCTTCTGCTGCGGCGATTGGTCAGAAGTGATGATGGGAAGCGGATCGGACCCAACGAGAAGGGGGACCTTTGGGAAATAAGGAGAAGGATTCGTACGTCGAAAAAAGAGACTGGAGGAAGGTAGGAAAATCTTTGTTACAGTCGTCGGCAAAGTAATTGGACGACGAAGTGCATCGATTGAGGAAGCGATGTGGCTCAGTATGCCGATTGTGGGAGGGAAGGGACGGGAGAGGTGAAGGAAGTGATGTGAAAGAAGGGATGTTGGCAGCTCGAGGTTCAAGGTAGAGAGGGAGAGAAAGAAGGTCCACGGGGTCAGTGGGTGTGAGGTGTGAGGTATGTGTGTTCGTGTGTGTACGTGTATGTGCGCGCGCCTGCCTCGTCTTTGCAGCTAGGTAGTTGAGGCACCTAAGTATTCTTTCCCTTACCTGAAGGTACCTACCTAAGGTACTCTGGGACCGCAGCCGCAGCAGCAGGTAAAACTCAGACGTAGTGAATGTACCTAGCTTGTGACGGAAGGGGAAGGCGCAGGGTCGATGGAGCACCTAAATGGTCAGCTATGGGCTCCGTCTGGGAGGGAACATCAGCAAGGCGGACAAAAAGGCAGCTTTTGCAGCAAGCTATGCGGCGGCGCTGTCCATGGGCTCCGTCAGTGCCTTTCGTTGGTATTGCTGGAAATGCAGGGCGGACGAAGGGGGCGAAAAAGACGGAAACAATACCTACCTTCAGGTATCCGTACTCTGTATTGGTTTGCTGGTCGTGCTGGTGTATACCAGGATGGTGGGTGGTGCTGGATGAGAAGGCAAATGTACCAAACGTGCTTAGGTACCTACTGTAGCATTTATGAATCGATTGAGTTGATTGATTGACTGCCTGGGAAAGAAAATGTGGATTTAGTGGCAGGGAACCAGGCGCCACAGTGGACTCTACTGATGGACTGTCTGAGCAGCTGAGAAAAAATACAGGCGGAGTACCTAGACCTCCCTGTCGTCAGCTGGCCAATGCGAGGACCTTTTTCAGTTTGAACCAATGAAATTAGCTGCGGGATGAAGTCGAGACCGAACCCCTGCAAATTAGCCAATTCAGATTTCTTGAATGCCAGCGGGACACTGAACTACAATGCGGTATATGCACGCGGCGCGATGTGCTGAGGCGCGGTACGGATATAGCCATGCATGTCATTTTATCCCATTTTGATTTTCCGGCCCGTCTGACATTTGTCTTTCATCGACCCAGCAAGGAGCCATATCTGGCCATGGAAGGATACTTTCCTACCCTACTACCTTCAGATTAACTTACAGATTCCTTGCCAAGTTGGGCTCCTACCTGTTTGCATGTGTACTACTGACAATAAAGCACTTACCTACTCGAAGGTAAGGTGCCTAGGGCCCGAGAGTCTGACAACAGGGAGAACGAGGTGCACAGCCAAACCCTCATATGTTATTGACAAAAAGAAGTTGCCAGCCACTCTCGTCTAGAGTGGTAAATTGTATGGTCAGAGACCCTGGAACGTCAAATGATAGAACGAGGGCGCAAGACACCGGGGGTTGGACATCACCTGGTAGGCATGACACCACGCCGCCTGTTCGCATTCTGCATACTCTCTGATGATGGCCCGGTTTGGACATATCTCGGGCTCTAGATTTGCGCAGACGCGCTTGGCCGATGCCACTGTACTACGACTACTACCGTCACGGCCTGTGCCAGTTGCCAATTTCGTATTAAATGTGTTACACTATGTCCGAGGCAAATGGTATCCAGAATATCATGCCAGAATGACTACGCCTTACAAATCCTCCATGATGACCTGTTGATCCTTACCCAGGACACCTCCGCTGATGATCTCGGCCTCCAGTGCCTTGCCAACATCAACCTCCGCAAACGCCGCAGGCTCGTTTAAGAAGCTCAATGCCTCTACTGCCCTGCCCCCGCAAGCCCTTTCTAGTGCCAGAAAGGCGAAATGGCCTCCGACGACGGGCCTAGCCATAAAGTGAGGGCCAGGCCAACCACCGGTGCCTTCCGTTTCGTAAAGATCGGTGAATGGTCGGTCTTCAGATTCGAGTTAGTAAATCGTGCTGCAATCTGTATCGGAAGTACATCCAAGCCTAGCTCACCAGTTGTGGTCTCGTTGACCCATGTTGCAACACTCTGGAGAATCTCCATCCGAGTCTTCTTACTAGATACTGCCGCGGCGAAGAACTGCCAATCGCTCTTCGTGTAGAGATGGCGACTATCGAGCGGGAGCCCATAGTGCTGCAACACGGCATGGTACCAGTTGCTCTGCATGCTATACACCTTATCCGGTACAAACGTCGAGTGCGTATCGACGCCAAAGGCCTTCTGGAACCACCGGGTGACTTGTCCGCTGAGGGTTGACTTCTTCTCCTCGGGCAAGTGGAAGCAGAGAAGCGAGTCTGCAAAGAGGTTATAGATCGTCGTCCAAGAACCATACCAGGTGTAGGCCAGCTTCGCGTGGGTGCCATCCCTGGAAATGCCAAAGTCTTGCCATTGGTCAATGTAGTCGGCCGCGATGTCCGCGTAGTATTTGGAATCATCCGTCTTGCCCAGAACATTAGAAATCTCGGCCATCGCCTTGATACCAATAATACCCTTCAGGGCTAGGTTTGTCTGGTTCGAAAGCCATCCAGCGAAATCATCCGTACAGAGCTGATTGGCCGGAATCAGTGATTCGCGAACCAGGTATCCTGTCCACTTTGTCCAGAGCTCGTAAGATCTGGACACCCATTTCTCTGCCTCTTTCGAGCCCCTCATGGCAGCAACGGCCGAGCAACGGTCTATGCCGTAAGAATCCATGGAGAGCGCCCATGGTCGAATACTGCTGATCTCCGCCTCGAAAGACATATGGGGGTGCGCATGCTCATCGACGGATTTGAGGAAAGCCGGCTGAGTATCATACTTGAAGGCATTGACAAGTGCCAAACCCATGATGAGCATGTTCCCGCACTCCTCCACGGGCATGTATTCGTCCTTTCCATCGGGATGTCCAGTCGCATTCGGGAAATGGGCACCCAGGTCATGCATGCTGTAATCATTGGGATACTGTCCGCTGAGCTGGTGTTCCAGCAGAGGCTCCAACAGGTACGCGAGCCAGCGAGGGTTCGTGTACAGGAAAAAGGGGAACGCGGGGAAAATCACGTCGACCGTCTGGAAGTTTCCGTTGGAAGAGATCTCTTTGAGGAACAGGATCGGGTCATCAGGGGTTCCAGAGAACTGGGTTGCGCCAAGGACCTGACGAGCTGACACCGCAGCAATATCCTGGTAGTCTTGTGACCCAGAAGCAAATGCATCGATAGCGAGTTGGTTCGAATAGTTCCCTGCGAGCAGGCTAGCCGCAGAAAAGTCATCGTAATGGTATTGGATCAACTCAGCCGGGGTGGCAAAGTAGAAGGACCACAGCGGACGCATCTGTGTCAGTCCCCTGGCAGCCGCGAACTGAACGACGGGTTCCTGGACAAGAGCAAACGTGAATAGAATGCTGTCACCAGATGCAGACTCGCTGCCAGTCTTGCTACTCAGGTGGAAAGCCTTGGAGAAGGCAAAAACTGGCTCATCGTCCATGATCTTCCTGTATGAGGTATCAACTTCGTTGGTCAGGGAGCCCTTGGTCGCAAATTGCTGGCGAAGCTTGGCGGATGTGCCAGCCTGGTGAGAGACGTCGGCCGGACCAGTGAAGTGCAGAGTACCCCATTCTGCGTGGTCGGCAAACTCGGTAAGCAGCTGCGGGTACTGTCTGCCAACTTGCCAGGTCTTGAGGGCAGCGCTTTGCTTGTGCGAGGCCTTTGCTTTGCTCAGCTCCCAGATTATGCTACTGTCCCTGTTGCCGCTGACCCATTCACCATTGACATCAGTGTAAATGTTGATGTCGAAAGGCCCTTCAGCGTGGACAGTCAAATACGCAGCAGGGATCGACTGTCGGAAGGTTGAGGTGGGCGTGATGGGCGAGAGGAAGGAGAGCACGACCTTCACGGGCGCGGACGTTCCGGGAGGAGGAGGAATCGAGTATGATAAGTTCGTGGTGGAAGCGTCGAAGGTTGCGCCCAAATATGACGGGACAGATACATTATAGTATCTAAGGGGATGTCAATTTGCAGTCGCGAAGGTTCGCAGCGGTTAAACCCACTTGGAGGATAGGGGCAAAGAATCCTGGGGCCGCCCAAGCAAAGGATATACGGTGCTGGTGTCGGGCACTGAAGCCATCACCGAGAAGCCGAGCTGATGGATATCACCAATTAGCCAGACCGCGCGCCTAAGCGGACGGCAGTTCAGGAGAGCTTACGCTGGAGCCGGTCCAGAAATAGGGCCATTGTTCCCAAGGCGCATCACGAGCGTTACCTAGCCATGTGCTCAGGTACGGATTGCGGACAATTAAAGGTAGGACAGGAGGAGTCAATGTAGAAGCGCTCGCCGTCGCTGCGACGACTAGCAACGAGGAAAAGCGCATGGCAAAGTGAGCGTCTCGCGAGCCAGCTTCGAGAACAGACGGACACTTGGCGTGAGCAAGTACTTGAAGAGGCTGCTATCGAGGAAGGCAACGGGAGTGTCAAAGTGAAGTGCGTAGCAAAGCTTGCGAAAAACATGCGTTTGCGCCTCCTTGCGACGCAGGCTGGGAACTTGGCAAAGAGTGAGACTGGCGGCAAGTTTTCACACACGGAGTTAACAGAAGAAGTTGTGGAGGAGAGAACAAGAAGAGGCCTCGGACACAAAACCAAAAGCTCCCTTCCTCGGCTCTGTTTTGCAAGCAGCTCCAAGCACCGGCTGTGGCACAGCCTACCATAGGCAACCAAGGTGCCCACCTACCTTACCTTGGGTGCTTGGGTACGTCAACCGTCAAGGAGCTCCAAGACGATACGGGAACAGTTGGAGAAATCTGGGGTCGAAGATAAGGTGACGGCTGGGTCACAGGGTAACAGGTAAAGCACCCGATCAGCAGTGCGGTTGCAGGAGACGGCCGGATGTACGTCAGGAGAGCGGGTCAGGTGCTTGCAAGGCTGCATCGGCAGGTTGTCGCGTCCCATCACGATGCGCCATGCGGGGAATGACCAATGAGAGAGGCGACCGCGACTAGACCGGCACCAATCAAACATCAAATGCCGCGCCACGAGCCCCTGTTTTGCGGAGACGGCGGGGTTCTTTCGTGCGGGGTCGAAAGCTTCCAACACCTTAGCATGTGCTTACTAAGGTGAATTCCTTCCAACTAAGTTACCTTTGTTTGTATCTACCTACGATCTCACAATTCAGTACCTACCTTTCCAGTTTTGTCACCTGGTTCTTGTAAACTCTCTGGAAGCCCAAGTTGGTCTCCAACCCTCCTCCTGTGTATGCACGTTATCCAACATTGAAGCCAAGTTTGGATGGAAGACTTGGCAAAGTTGATGACATTGAATACCAGTCCTCCCTTCCTCTCCAGCGTGTTTTAGGTCTTTTTGTCCGCTGTCAACCCGGATACTAGCAATCACATAGCAATAAGGTAACATGTGTGGTTTCGTCGTGATGGCTCACTTCATCAATGTCTGCCTCTCGGACTGCTGAGCTGCTTAAACGACATCTCGGAGGTTCGGCCCTGCACCACCGGCTACGACTGATGGGAGTTGCCATAAAATCTCACCTGCGTCGGGCCGGGTCAACATCATACGACCGCAGGCGATCCAGCGAGAAATACACGATGTGATTGGACATGGGTCAGCGTCGGAAACGCGGGACACTATTTTCCCTACTCTACACTTGAGAGTGGTTTCTCGACACGCGCTTGTCAACTTTCTCACGCTCCGCACGGGACCACGATTCCCATTGCAAAAATCAACATCAGTTAACTGGACAGCTGACTGCTGACACCATGGCATCGCTCGACGGTAGCGTCTACGCCTTCACTGGTGGTGCCAGCGGCATCGGTTTTGCGACGGCTAAGATCATCGCAAAGCGGGGTGCCACTGTGTGCCTTGCAGATATCGACCCCGAAGCCCTCAAACAAGCTGAGGCCTACTTTTCGGAGCAAAAGACGCCCTTCTCGGTAACAAAAGTGGACGTATCCGTGAAGATTGAGGTTGAAAGTTGGATAGATGGCATTGTGAAGCAATTTGGGCGTTTGGACGGCGCTGCAAACGTGGCCGGCGTCATTGGCAAACACCACGGCATCCGAGCCGTCGCGGACCTTGAAGATGACGAATGGCACAATATCATTGCTGTCAACTTGACGGGCTGCATGTATTGCCTTAGGGCGGAACTAAGAATTATAGCGGACGGTGGTTCCATTGTCAACGTGGCCTCGATTCATGGCATCAAGGGTACGCCGCATCTTCCTGCTGCCCGGATCTTGAAGCTTTTTCTGACTATCTCTCGATAGGGTTTGCCAAGCATGGCGCATATGATGCCAGTAAACACGGCGTAATAGGGCTCACTCGAGCGGCAGCCAATGAGAACGGCGCCCGGGAAGTTCGAGTCAACGCCGTTGCCCCCGGCGCCATCTACACACCGCTGATGGAGAAGGCCTGGAAATTTCACGACCGCGGAGCGGACGCCGCCTTTGACGAGCCAACGTCTTTTCAGCGTCAGGGCACCGCCGAGGAGTGCGGGAACGTCATCGCGTTCCTGCTCGGTCCAGAGAGTTCCTTCGTGAGCGGGAGCGTCTATCAAGTTGATGGAGCGTGGCTATGAGCCAAAGAGGGCTCGGCGAGGCCTGCGAAGAAAGGCAGTTGGGGTTTGCTAGAATTAACGCTGTTCGCGCTTCACCAGACATCAGATGGCTCAACCTCGTGCTTCTCCCCGTCGTCCCTAATATGCTCGAGCTTGGCGTCCCTCTTCATCGGCTTCCTCATGTCATAAGCGTCCTCGCCGTCGCGGGTAGGATCTGTCGCGTGGTCGCCATAGTAGTCTTTGACCACGCGGAAGACGCTGTAACCCATGCTCTTGTAGAAGGTGATTGCCTTGTAGTTGCTCGTGCGAACGAACAGGTCAACGAACCAGGCGTTGTTTGCATCGGCTGCGGCCTCTAGCTGCTCCGAGAGGATCTTGCCGATGCCCAGTCTCCGCGCTTCTGGAGCCACGGTCAGAGCGGTGATGTGAGCGTGCCAGGGAAGGTAGTGTTCGGAATATTTGTAAACATCGGGTGATGACTCCAGCTTGCCCATGACTAAAGCATCAAGTCAGCCAAGTCGAGCAAAGCATAGCTATGGCCTCAGACATACTGTAGCCGATGATGTTTCCGTTCATATCCTCGCAGACCTGGAACATGGACGGCCATTTGGCATGGTACTGGAGATAGAAGGCCAGCTCATATGTCTCGGTCAAAGGATCGAGGTTGCATTTGGAGAACTTGTTGACATCGTCAGGACGGAAGCGGCGAAAGGTGGCCATAGTTGCCGGGGTGAAGGACCGCGATGGGCGATCAACTAGGTACGGAGGGGTTTCGTGCGGCTCGGGAGGGGTCGACGGCGGGAGATGACAATTGTAGGCCGGAAGAGCTGTATCAGACGGCAGGGGAGGTAGGACAACCGGGATGGTATTCGAACAAATCTCCAGAGTAGGTCGGCTCCAAATTTGTGGCTACCTTACCTTATTCTTATTGCGTTGCGAACGGCTGCCACAGTGAAGGAGCTTTTTCGGAGCCGTTGTTCGGGTTGTGTTCAGGTGGTACCGGATAAAGGACGATAACGGAGTAGACTCCACCGCAATAAGGTACCTTACATAGTACCTTAGGGTGGTAGCAAATGGAGGTGGCAAGCCGCAGCACGGAAGCGGGAGTGTTTTTTTATTAAGTTTTTTTTTTGTGCTGACCTGAGGCTCCGGTACGCGCAGCGCTACGAAGTTCCTTTTCCTGGTGGAGTCGAGAGAAAGATACATCGACCGCCAGATGCAGGGACCATGTCCGCCAGGAGTGACAACTTTCACCCCCTTCCGGATAGATTCAGAGTCAGCGGCCAGGATTTCTGGGACGCAAGACTAGGGGTCCGGTGGCAGTATTATGCAGGGCGCTGCAGGACGACGAATATCTTCTTCGTCGTCGACAACCATACTTCCCAGATATCTGCTTGACCGGATGTCCACCGTCGAAACCAAAGGTGACACACAGGCACAAGGGCTCTCTCATTACACCATAGTCACCTTCTATCCCTCATCCGATAAATCAAACAACAAAGCAGAGCCTGCTGGATTGCCATAATTGGATCGCTGGCGCCAAACCTACATGAGCCCGCCGAATTATTAAAATAAGTAATTATTCCAAGCTTACTTGCCAGACAAATACACATCACTTCCTGACCTGCATGGGATGGGCCGCCAGTACTGATTCCCGCTCCGCCCAAACCGAGGTAGCCCATTTTTGCACGACCGGTGTTTTCCAAGTGCCAGGCCGTCTTTACACGCTCTCGCACTCATCTCCACCTGGATCTTCCTTGTCCTGCATTTTGATGCGACAACCCCTGTTGTTTATTACTAGATAGACAAGCAACAACATTGCCTCCATACTTGAATATCTGGGCTGCCACCACACGTACGTCGTAGAGTCATCCACCCAGCCTTTTCCTATCATAAAGTTTTGTCAGAACGGCATCACCGGACTCGCACGCCACTGCTTTCGCCGACCGACCGACCGACTGTTACAATCCCCCCCCACACCGTCACAATGCCACAGACTCCGGGACACTCGCGCAACCATTCGGGCGTTGACGCCTCTTACCAGTACAACAGCGTCAACTCCTCCCCTCAAGATAGACGAACATCGAGGTCCTCTGCCGACCCCGCGACACCCTTACGCAGCAGCTTCAACAATCAAGACGCTCTGGACATCTCGTTTGCCAGCGGAGGCATGGACGCAGGCAACGGCTTAGGCAACCTCGCAGATGAACTGGCCGACGCTTTCTCCGACTCTGGAGACGAAGAGGAATACTACGAAGAGGAGACCAACAATGCCGACAACAACGGAAGCGGGACACCAAATATCAACGTCGAAGAAGCCGATGGGAGAGCCACCTTCGAGGGAATACGGGACAGCGGGGTCGATGTCGCAAGTCTCGGCGAAGCCGGCGGCAAAGCGAAGAACTTCAACCTTGGGCCACCATCAGCCGCTCAACGCGGTCACCGAAGGAGTGGGAGTGAATACGACGGAAGCGAGTACGGATCCGAGTCTGATCTTGACTCCCCCGGCATGCTGCCTAGCCTGGTTGCCAAGATGGATGCTGTCGAGTCTTTGGCGAGGAGAGGGACCGAGAGTAATGGAGGACCTACAGATGGCGTCTTCAGCAGGGTGACGGAGGGCTTGAGAGATTTGGGCTCCCAAGCTGGCGTCGAGGGTAGTGCGACAAGGCAAGTTCGAGACGGCTCCCTACCGCCATGGTCAATCAGCTAACCAGGGCAGACTCATCACTGCTCACTCGGCCCTCACTACCCACTTGACTCATCAGACCCGGCAGCTACACAACTTAACCTTCCCGCTCCTCTCTCCACTCGTTCCACCGCCGGATTCGGAGACCATCGATGAACTATTACCCCTTTTGATCGAGCTATCTGAGTCGATGCCGCGGCCGACAACAAAAGCCTTCGACTCCCTCACAGCCCTCCATACACTCACCTCCGACCTCGTCCAGAGCCTCAACTACCTCTCAGACACGCTCCACATGTCTCGGCAGACAACCACAACGGCCACGCGTCGCTTGAAGAGCGCCAAAGAGCTGGTCGCCGAGATCAAGAGGGAAGAAGATCTCCGCGAGGAGGGCGAGCGGTGGATCAACCGAGGTAACTGGAGCGAGAGGTTGGCCAACCGCGAGTGCGCAGGCGTGTGCGGCGACGTCGTCGGCGGGTTCGAGGAAGTATGCAACAGCTGGCGGGCCCGCTTACTGGAGCAAGCCGGCGCTGCACAGGCGTAGGCGCGTCTCCTACGTACGTATTGAGGTCTGACAGAGAAAGTTCACTGCCAGGGATCGAGAGGCGGATTACTCATATTCCCAGAGGTTTGGCTAATACTGGAATTTGGGGGTTTGGGATGGGGGAATAGAATCAAGGGCGTGCTTTTGGGTAGATCCGGGATCTTGACCGCTCCCAGCACCCACAAACTTGTTAGACTATATGAATTTTACGAGTCGATGAAACATGATAAGTGGTGTCCCAGCAGGTATCGTCGCCGCTGCGAAAGGGGAAAAAATTCACCAGCAAACTACCGAACGCTAACTTTAAAACTAGAAACTCTACTCCATTGCAGAGTCAATAACAAGATGACAGGAAGCACAAGATTCGAGTCAAAACGGATAATGCCGCGTTGCATGGTCCGACCATTACCAGTGACTCCCACCGGTATCTGAGTTACATTGCAGATCTGAGCAGGGCCACGGCCATGGAAGGAAGTGATCAGTCAGGCGCAAATGTTCGAAGTGTAACAGTGTGGTCGTCAACATGACAATCTGATCACTCCTCGCGTCATAGTGCTAGTTATCCGGCCGTATCAACCAAAAGGGTTGGGTTGTAACCTTAGTAGTGTAAACAATATAATTAAGTAAGTGTGGAGGCATGGATGACCTCAACTAAGCTATGATTTACCATCTGTCTCTCTATTTGACACAGTAGATAGGAAACGTTTCTGCGCCGTAGTAATCCAATATAGCAAGGCCAAAATAATGCACAGAATGCATGGTATCAAGTAAATCATCACCAACGCCACCTTCAGCAGAACACCGCCCGTTCCTGACAAATACTTGCAAAAAGTCAAACAACGTGACCAGTTATGACTAATCCTCCTCCAGCCTTACAGTGTATGCAGGGCGGGAGGGTCCTCCGTCGGGATCGTCGAAACCACCCGGGATGAGAGGCCGACGTTGGGCACTGACGGGCCCCCGGCTCAGCCGACTCGACTTGCTCGCGCGACTGGCACGGCTCGCGGGGCGATCGGAGACGTCAACATCAAAGTCGACGGGGGCGTCGACTTGGACCTCGTCGCGGGCGCGATTCATGGCGGCGAAGCTCGAGAGCGACATCTTGTCGTCGACCGAGGGGCGGTGTTGCCCTTGCAGCTGCTGTTGCTGGAGTTGTTGCGCGACGCCGGGGGCCCTCCGGAGGCGACCGTCGACAGGAGGCGCCTCCTTGCCTCGCTTCATGCCGGCATCTGACTCGTCGTCGACGAGAACGACCATCCAGACACCCACTGCGCAGTTGCTGCCCAGCAGGGGCGTGCAGTGGATCCAGCGGACTCTACCCTCGCTACTGGACTTGGAGAGCCAGCGGACCTTGGCGGTGACGCCATGACCGTCGGCGAAGGCCTGGGAGAGGCCTTCACGGACGCGGTTGGAGCCGCCTATCCGGTCCATGAAGTTGGACTGGAGGATTCCCGGAAGCCGGAGAGAAGGGGATGCGAAGAGAATGCGGAGGCTGGGATAGGGCCGGACCAGGAGGTAGTGTTCGTAAACGCCGGAGAGCTTGCCACTCGTCAGGAGCACGTCGAGGTTGGATTGATGGACGGAAGACGATTCGTCCTGGATCAGGATGCGCGGCTTTTGCCAGTTCGTCGACGATGCTGCCTGGGTTTCGTCCTGCGGCACGCGGTGCATATTTCCGCCGCGTCTACGTACAGTCTCGAGTTCGGTCATGTTCAACATCTCACTGAGCTCCTCAAACTCGTCTTTCTCTTCCTTGTTTTCGTGTCGTTGCTGGGTCTGGCCGTTGATGGTGCCGACTGCTTCTTTTTTGACGACTAGGTTCTGTAGTGCATCCAAACCTGAGCTTTCTTTGGCAAGGCCTGAGACGTCGACTTGGGCGCCGATGAAGTAGCGGACTGTACCGCGACTGTCGTAGAGCGGCGCTACCATGAGTAAGTTCATGAACGGGGAGCCATCTCTGCGATAGTTGAGGAAGGTTTCGTAGTGCTCCTTTCCGGCCAGAATCTTGTCACGGATACGTTTGACACTGAAGGGATTGGTCTTTGGACCTTGGAGGAAGCGGCAATTGCGGCCAATGACATAGTTCATGCCGTATTGGGTCGTACGGTGAAATTCTATAGGCGACGGTCAGGTGGTGTCTAATACACGCCCGCGAGGGAAAAATACATACCTTCAGAAGCAAAGACAATGGGGTTGTCGTGTCTCGAGGGATCTGTCAGGCAGAACACTTCTGCCAAACCCTCTGACATTTCCCTTAGCTGAACCGGGAGGGTGCCAGTGACACGTCTCTTGATAGATACGCTGACGGTCTGGATCCATATGTGAGTGATGTAGGCGGGAAGATCTTGTTGAACAAGCACGTCGAAGGCAGCTTCTGCCTTCTTTTGCAGAGAGCTGTTGATCGTGCTCTCGGTATTTTCCATTGAGAAATCGTGTTCCGGTAGAGAGTCCAGGCCGCCTGCGATGGCGTTTGCGTACGCAATGGCTCGAAGTGCTTTCAAGCAGTCCAAGTAGTACGTGAACAGGGGTAACGAGTTGGGTCGAGCATAGTGAAGGAAGTCTGTGAACCTCTGGAGGAGTATGTAATCATCAAAAATGGCCTGCAAATGGTCCCTCGAGAACAGGAGCTCGGAGCGGGTCTCCAGCGAGTATTGTCCATTATCGCCGTGAGATGGTATTACAAGATCAAACGAGCCGGGCTCGACTTCCTCCTCTGCCAAGGGTTCAAGAATTTCGTCATCACCGGCGCCCTTGGTTTGGAGAGGTGGGAGTGAGGTGTTGTTCGTCTGATATGAGGAAGATGTTGAGTTGGCCCTGGACCTTGAGGACCGCGTTCTTGGGCTCCTTGGTGGACTCGAAGACATTTGCCGCTGCTGCTTGTGGAGGGGCTCCGGAGATTTCACCCTGCTTCTTTCCCTCGGGGGAATTTCTGGAGAATGGACCGCACTTCAGTGAGTAGTTAGCCGTCATTGTCTCGAAGGCATACAGCCGATACGTCTCTACATACCTTCTATCTTGCCTGTTGGTTATGGCATTGGGGTTGATGGGCCCATGTCCGTGATGTGTGGTCCAATTCCTTTCCTCATCATCCTCCCAAGCCTCTTTGAACCTCGACGGGTTCAAGGGGCGGTCTTGGGGCATCTTATTGACTGGACGCTTCAGGGGGATGTCTGGAATGTCGGCGCCTCCTTCGTCGAAGTCTAATACTCTTTGCTTCTGGCTTTGCAGAGATGTGACACTGAGAGAGCTGTAGCCGTTCATTTGAGGTTGCGTGAGTTCACCGTGCCTGTGTCGGCGGTGATCTGTGTTGTGAGCAGCAGCGACCTGAGCCATGTGCTTCTTCCGCCGGAATAGTGCTAGTACGGAACGTGGTCTAGGATGAGCGCGGGTCGGGGTTGGATTTGGAAAATAGAACATGGCCGGGCGTTGGGAACGGAGAAGGATTTATATTGGCCTTGGGCGGAGGCTGATCGTGGGAAGAGGATGGGTATCAAATGTCAAAGGAAGATAGCCGGGGGGGCGCCCCGGCCATTGGCATCCACAACGTCATTCAGCCAGCGGCAGCACGACGCCATGTAGAACAGCGGGGAGATGATCATAGGAGAGGGGCTCGGCGAACAAAGATCGACGGCCGCCGATACTAAATTATTAACGGGCGAGGCGGAAGAAGCGCAAGCGGCATACCAGGCACACACATTTGCCCTGTGGATAATTAGAGCCAACATACTTTGTCAGGTACCCGTGAACCAGCGTTCTGTCCCCCCCCCCCAAGGCTGGGGCCAGCAAGGCGCCGACATTGGGTCATTGGCGGCAATCAAACAAGGATGGCAGAGAACCCACAGCGTTGCGTTGCAGTAGTCCCGTGAGAAGAGGTTTCCACGATGTGTGAGGCATGGGATCATGCCATTCGACGGCCGAGCGGAGAACAATCGCCCGCTAGCAGAGCTGAGTATAGCTCCAGGCCGCGCAAAGAGATTTCTAAAGGCTGAAGAGGCCAGAGCCTGGACGCCGGTCAGCCTTTGTTGTCTTCCTGGCAGGATCCAGACTTTGCTGACGGGCTGGGGTTAGTCTCATGGCTCGTCTGAGCCACGGATGCTGCACGGCCTCTAGGGCGTTTGGTTCGGGTGAATAAGCCATCGTCATCCATGCCCATCGCTTCTCGTCAACGGTTCGGCGATGCCAGGGATATCCTGATACGTCTAGGGAGGGCTAAGGGGAGGCGACATGAATGCTTCGATCAATTCTGGCACCTATGAAGTGTTTCGCGCGCTTTGCACTGTTAATACCAATGAGAACTTCAAGACTGGTATTAGCCATGCTGAGTATGAGTATGATAGACGAAGATATCCAGCCAGGAGACAGACGGGCGTGACGGGCTTCGACGGGGAAGCACAACCAGCTTCCTAGCATCAAGTTAGTTCCGGTAGGTAGTCGGGTAGCCAGCGTGCATACTATGCAATATGGTTATCTTAAATTTGGGCCCGTCTCGTAGCATTGTACCTGTACACACATACAAACATTCTCTGCCTGTCATGTTCCCTTCTCCCTCCTCTCCTGTGCTATCGCACCGACTCGGAGAGCGGAAGTGGACGAAGCTGAGGTATCCGTACCTCTTACTGGGAAATACTGGTGTGGCCTCCAGGGCCTAGTCGCGATAGTATGTGTGCCACGATGCCCACCGCAACGGCGATGGTCATGAAAAAAGGCAACCAAAAGAAGAGCAACACTGTCCGTGCTTGAGACGGGGATGTTGGATTGAGATTTCTTCAGCGAACCGTGGGTAGGTAGTTGCAGACTCGGACTCTCTTGGCTTCTCCAGTGTCCCGGCGGCCAGCAGGGATAGGTCAAGGGCCCCATGGAGCCCACGCCTCGAGACTTGGACCAATTTGGCATCGGCCCCACTGCGGTCCAGGTCCCGGACCTCGTACAATGTCCTAATCGGGCAAAAGGACCTGGTGAGGGCCATTTTGATAGACGAGGTCATAGACGAGCTAATAACATTTGGGACCATCTCCTATGTAGTTTGTAGTAATCAACCTTCGCGTCATATCGCTCGCTCCAATGGTTGCCAATTGGGACCAATACCATGAGCAAGCATGGCACAGCTTACACGTGTAGAAGAGCCTGACTGCAACCTTTGATGCCCGTGCTTTTTCGATCTCCGGAGCTGCGATCTGAAGCCTGAATCGGCGGTCGGACAATACCAGTCTCCAAGACGAGCTGCTGAGAATGTCTAACCTCCATGACTTGAGTCGTAAGTTTGTAATGCCGGTATTGCGATCTCTCGGTGATCGCCAATATCAATAGATGCACTGTCTCCCTGATATTGCACCGGGATTTGGCCCGTCATTATCAATCACTGCTGTCCGGGATGGTTACCCACCTGTCACTGTGCTGCTGACGTTTCGGTGTGACGATTCTTGACTCTTCGATAACGCTATCACTTCTCGCATCGGTAATCGATTCCCAACCTAACAAATCATAACTTGCCTCTGTCATTTTTAGGAACACTCAGCGGAATGGACAACCTAGGTCCCGAAGTAAGACACTCACGCGGCAACGCGGAACAAAGCCCACGTTGCCGGCGGCATGGCACCAGAACGGACCAGCTGCCGAAGCTTGGGTGGAGACAAAGGTCGTGCTGGAAGGACTTTTTCTTAGTCCTAGTGCCACTGTCAACGTCCCACCAAAATCCGTCCGGAACCAAATGTTGCCGGCCTGTGGCCTCGCGAATCTTGGAAGCCTACATACAAACTATTAGCGTGGAGTGGCAGGTGTAGCTTGGCGACATGGCAGTCAGGGATGACGCTGTCTGTCACTGTCAGCGCAAGTGCACAACGAAAGTGCGAGCGGAATCTGTTTTAGCGCCACATGGACGAGGATCACACTTAATAGCTTGGTGCGTGCAGTGGCCAAAGCGCGGTCGATTTCTTGGGCCACACTGCAAGAATATCGGAACTGTCTAGCTTCCCTGTGAGCCTATGCCGGGATAGCTTTGTAACTGTAGACAAGATGAGAGCCGTTGGTCCAAGAGCCTCAAGCGAACTCTATCTGTACTTATCTCGGATTTGGCTCTGGCAGCTCGTGTAAGCGGGGACAGCTGGTTTTCGCCGGGGGTCGGCCTTGCCTCCCAAAGAGACGTGATCCATTTTGACAGTATTTGGAGTGGTGGAAAGGATAACTTGGCACTTGTAGGGATGGTCATAGTTCCTCGTGTCAAATACCTGGCAACTTGAGCTATCTAGGTATAATTTTTGTCTAAGTTTTCTCATCAACTATAGATGAAGCTATTGAGGCTAACTGTGAACCTGGATGAGGAAGGGGTTTAATCATAAACCCTGATATCTCGACGTTTATTTTGAAAAAGTATTAAATAATAATTAATAGATATTATAAGCATGTTATACATGGATATGCAATACTGAGTATTTGGCCCTTATGAGGGGGCGCAGAGATCGGTCCCAGGAATGGTACCATGCACCTGGCAGTACCGGGCCGTCTCTGATTCAGCTCCTCTGCAGGGGAGTGAGGGGCGAGTCCACGAGGCGAAGGTGCGTCGTGTGCACTGCTGAGAGCCAAGCAGCGCACGCTTTGATGCTGGGTTTCTAGAGTGTTGTGCATGGAGGGTTTGGACGACGACTTGAAGTAGATGGATCAGCTCAAGGTTCTTTCAATGGGGACAGGAAAGGTCAGGATTTGGAGCTGCTAAGGTACCTCTCATGTTCATTGTCTTACATAAGACCCATGGATACCTGAGGGGAATCTTGGTACACGTGACACAAGGTGCTAGGTAGGCATGTGCCAGGCTACCCTGTTTGCCTACCTAAGGTAAGACAGACATTGGTGAAACTGTGACGTACTGTGCATCTTGGCTTAATATGCAGTATATACACTGTACAATCTCTATGGTGGACGAACGATGAACCTCCTTTTGGAAGCGCTCGAGAGCCCTTAACGCGAACGAACGCGTCGCATCGCGTAGCTACCTGCTTGCCCGCCATTGTTTACTTACCGCCATCTAGTCAGCGTTGAATGACGTAAGGTAGGGAACCTTAGCTCGAGGGGCATTTGAGCGCCGGGCCCAAGAGACAGAGTCAATCATCAATGAAACTCGCGTCCACTGGATCTTATTAGTTGCTCATCACATTAGGAGTACACAGTTGGTGTGAATCCTGCTGTTGTCTTCTGGTGGATAGTTGACGGTTAGCGTTATTGTTTACCAAATTCCGTCGGTTGGCTCTACAACACCGCGGGGGGGCTGGTGAGAAAATTGATGGGTTCTCGGTAGGCACGCGGTGTAAAGATTACATCGCCCCTTTCAGATTTCCGCTGCAAGAATAATAAGGTACTATAACTGACCGCTAGCGGTTTTAATCATCAAAAAGCTTAGTATAGAATTCCAGACTTGTAAGGCATATATTCGTCTTTTTTTCTAAGAAAAAGGAGTTATTTAGGAATAATACAGTGGGAGTTACGGACAATACGCGATTTGCTAAGGGCGCGGTAGGTATCCATCCGTAAGGGAACCTAAGGCACCTTAAGGTCTACAATGTAGCAGCGGCCCACCCAAAACAAAGCACCCAGCACGTGTCGACTGGCTGCGGGTTACCGAATGAAGGTGCTACCTAGGTACGTTAAGGTAAGGTGCCCCAATGGTCCGAATCTTGCCCAGGGAGACTTGACCAAAAAAACACAAAACAAAAACAATACTTTCCCCCCAGCCCCCTTTTCCGCGCAAGGGAGGCTGAAAACGAGCCTGCTGGAATGCGACGCGGCCTTTGACGAGACGGGCGACGCGAAATGGACTCCTATTGTTTAGGGAAGCGCGATGCGGATGGGGAAAGCGTGAAGAAATACACAAACATACAAAACTCACGCCAATTTTCGTTTACGTGCTGTTTCATCGCGACAACCATCCCATCCCATCCGTGCCTTGCATAGCTTCTTTTGGCTCTGAGAGTGTGAGTGTTTCCCGTCTCGATCAGCCCTTGTGCCAAAGCCTAATGCAGTCTCATTAAGGTACCTAAGCATGGGCTGGGCTGGCTGCATTTTGAATCCTGATAAGCACGTAAGATGAGGGGGGGGTTTCTTTAACCAGGGAACCCAATATTGTAGACGATTTGTCTCCTTGAAGGAGCAATCGTTGCATCTTTATCCGGTGGAAAGCGTTAACACTATGGTCCAGTTTATATTGGCTGTCTATCAACAGGTGATGAACTGGTGTAGATAAGTGCCTCTTTAGGTAGAGGGAAAAAACCTTGTTCCAAGGTCCTAGAAGCGTACCTTAAGGTACACCAGACGCTGAGAGTCGAGACAACATGATGTTGTGATGGCGATTTGTTGTGCTGAGATCTAGGTATGCCTAATAAATTTGGAATGATGCGCAAGCCAGCGATCAAGCAACTACCTGCCGAGTAGTATAGTACCCTATTACGTACTTGGTTTAAAATTCAGCGACCAAAGCAAAGGTTAAGCTACCTTCATTTGTTTGTCCTGCCTCATGTTGCACCGCTGTTGCAGGTTAGTCTAGGCGCAAGGAATACATAGGGGACACAAGGTTGATGAGAAGAGCAAAGAAACAGCAACACCAGCATTGGGTCGCGTTGGCCCTTGAATGACATGCACTTTTGGCGACGGGCTGTTTGTTGTTGTTCGCTCTCACGGCCTCCCCCTTGGGTTGTCGGTCAATGTTATGGTCCCCTCCATCTTCCCCCCCTGCCATGCGGGACGTCGGGACCTAGTGTACTAACGCCAAACGCCCTTTCTTTCCCTCACAGTCGCGTCCAACGTGCACAACGTGCGTGTTGCGTGCCTACCTTGCATTGTACCTTACCTACTAACTTACCCAGACGGCGGCCGAAGGACCACCGCTGTTGTCTTGTTGCTCTGCCGTCGACGCTAAAGCCCTAAAGCGATTAGCGTCCATCCCTCAGCCGCGACTCACCCAGTTCAACCTCCTCTGCGCGCCCTTGGCTTCCTTCCTGAGCCCGCCCCGACAACAACCCGTCTCCCCTGGCATGCTTTCCTGAGTGAGGTTGGGTGGTCAAGCGTATTGGACGGTTACACCTTACCTTACTGGCCGCTGGACTACGATTAGAACCACCACCAGCTCGTCACCCTGAGGTACCTTACCTCGCCTTACCTCCCTACCTTCCAGGTTACCTTACCTACCCGCCCGACCACTCATCACCGCAACCCGTTTCGCCGCTGGCTCTTGCCGCTTCCTGCGACCCCAGCCTGCATCCTGTGGCCTCAGACATCTCGAATCTGCTCACAATCCAACGTCCTACAGCCTCCCTGCACCCGTTGACGTCCATTTTGCTGTATTCTCTGTTTACTCTCTCCCCGGCTTATTATTCTTTCGACCAGTTTTGCGCCTTAATTTCCAGCATCTTGGTGACGACGCCCGAGTTTTGCGACTGTTCATCGGAGAAGCATGCGAAGGATAACAATTTGAACACCACCGTCAGGGATAGGGTGGTGATTCGTTTGCCTTGCCGACCGACTGGAACGAGTTGCCGGACATTCGAGCAACGATTTTTATTCCTGAAAGCCGCGAGCGCATCTCGTCAATAGCTTTCGTCGCCTCGATTTCCCGACTGCGACAACACCACTCTCTCAGGCCCGCACTGGTGTCGGTGCTTGGTGTGCTTCGTCATTCCCCGCCACTTCTCCCGACGACGCTCGTCCCAGCTGCCTTCGTTAATTCAGCCTCTTCGCGAGACATTCACGAACTACTCCCGTTGCTTGTTGCAGACCCGTCGAAATGACTCTTCCGGCCGATTCTTTAGCAGCCCTCGGTGCGTCTGGTTCCATCAAGAGACCAGTGACCGACGCGAGCGATTCCGCAACTGCCACACCCACTCGCCTCGCAACACCTCCCCCTCCCTCCGACAGAGGTCTCCTAGAGAATCGTCAATATTTGGAGAATGCAAACCAGCGCAATGTTCAACACAGCAGGAGACCTAGTGAATCAGCTCGCTCCAGTGCTTTCGACCCCGACGCCGTCGACAGTGCTTTGCTCCGAGAGATGCACCACCGATCACAGAGGGAAAGCACCCCTGGTGCCAGCCCACACCGGAAACGCCAGAGGATCAATGGTGATAGGTGCGCGTGCAATGCCATATTGACTACCAAGGATCATTTGCTAAGCCTTCTTGTCAGGTTTATTCCGACGCGAACTGGCCAGGACCTCCAAGCCAGTTTCAGCTTGCTCCACGAAGACGGCTCTCCAGCGACACCTTCCAAGCAGAAGAAGCGTACTCCACATGGAGAACTACACTTTCAAAAGAGTGAGCCATATACGCCCCTGTGCATGCGGAAGATGAACCTGACCGTCCTTAGCTGAGGAAGCAAACCGAACTTTTTCGACCCTACTCCGCGCAGAGCTCTTTGAAGGCTCAATACCCCAGGCAACGCCGCCAACTATGTCCCCGGAGCATACTTTATCCACTGCATCACACTCGGCCAATATTCGAGATTCCACGAGGTCTCGGACGCCCCCGAACAACGCTTCTACCAACTCACTTCCATCCTCTCTGACGCCATCGACTCCTAACAAGAATCTATTCTCCTATATGTCACCGCGAAACCTGAGCAATGCAGGTCATCTGACACCGTCAAGGACTCCACAGAGTCGGCATGGCCCAAACCTGGACACTCGTTCCGAGATCTACAGCCTCTCGCCAGTTCGTTTCAACAGTCAGCAGATGCTGCTGAGTCCGAGAAGGCAACCTAGGGCAGTCAGCAAAGTGCCTTACAAAGTTCTCGATGCGCCTGACTTGGCAGATGATTTCTACCTCAACCTGGTAGACTGGGGCAGCGCTAATGTGCTGGGAGTTGGACTTGGGTCTAGTGTTTACATGTGGAATGCTCAGACAAGTCGCGTCAACAAGCTGTGTACGCTCGAGGACGACACGGTAACAAGCGTGTCATGGATTCAGAAGGGAACACACATCGCTATCGGGACCGGCAAGGGCCTCGTTCAAATCTGGGACGCCGAAAAGACGAGGCGACTACGAACCATGACGGGCCACACGGCACGAGTGGGTTCCTTGGCATGGAACACCCACATCTTAACATCTGGTTCTCGCGACCGCCTGATCTACCACCGCGACGTGCGGGCCCCCGATCAGTGGCTCAGGAAGCTCGTCGGCCACAAACAAGAGGTTTGTGGTCTTAAATGGAATTGTGAAGATGGCCAGCTTGCTAGCGGTGGCAACGACAACAAGCTTATGGTATGGGACAAACTTTCGGAGACACCGTTGTGGAAGTTTTCAGACCACACTGCTGCCGTTAAGGCCATTGCATGGTCACCGCATCAACGGGGACTGCTGGCTTCAGGTGGTGGTACGGCCGATCGCCGCATTATTTTCCACGACACTGTCCGCGGGTCAGTTATCAACGAGATCGACACCGGCAGCCAGGTCTGCAACATTGCCTGGTCCAAGAACTCCAATGAGATCGTCTCGACACATGGTTATAGCCAGAACCAGATTGTTGTGTGGAAGTACCCCTCGATGACACAGGTTGTCAGTCTCACTGGCCATACATATCGTGTGCTGTATCTGGCTATGAGCCCGGACGGCAGAACAGTTGTAACTGGTGCAGGGGATGAGACCCTCCGGTTCTGGAACGCATTTGGACGACGGCCAGGGGCTAGAGAGGATAGCGACGGAGGGCGACTATCCGACTGGGGTGTCATCCGTTAAGAATCTGGAGCGGTAGTCTCCACAAACGACATTGTACCATAATCTCCCTTTTCATCTGGCTCGAGGGGAGGTTATAACGGCTTCAGAAAGGAATGGTGGCAAGCGGGGATATGGAGCGAGCACTCGAATTCTGTTTCTTGGGAAATGTTGATGGGCAAGAGGAAACGTAAATACCCAGCTACCGGCTGCATCATGTGCATGGAATGGGCGTCATACAGTTTGGGGGTGGGGGCTTACAGGACATTGTTGTTGTTTTTCGGGTTTTTGTGTTTTTGGCGACGTGATTTAACAAGCCTTCTTATTATCTGGCTTTACAGCGGGTGGCTCATGGGAGGAAACGGCCAAAGGATAACACAGCTCAGCTCAAACGGCTTGAGAAGATGGGACCAGGGGAAGGTTGGGGTTTTGCTCTACGAAAAGGAGATGCCGAACTCTTCTTTATTAATAGGCCCAAGCGCTCAAATAGTATCTATCACAGTATTGGCCGAAGGGATATGTGGTATGGGCTATAAACCACTCCTCCGGCCAAGCGTCAGTGGACATGACAAATCTTGCTCACATCATGCGAGCACACGAGCCAATGGTCCAGCCAAAGTGTTTAAGGTCGATTGAAGTGATCAAGTAGTGAAACAACACAAGGTCACAAGTATTCAATGGATATCGATTTCATGACACCAAAGAAGCAGATCACGTACTCCTCCCTTACAGTGACATGATGATCGTTTTTCGCTTGGAAAATAAATAAATAAAGGTCATTACGGGTAGCTCTCAGGAAGTCCCCTTGCCAAAGTAACACTCACGATGCCTCCTTCCTTGATTCAATGAGAGCCTGCCTTCCTCTCTTTGGCAACATCTCTAGCACCCCCATCAATCCCACTGGCCACCCCCTGAGCCGAAAGCTCTTCGCTCAGCAGCGATATCCGGTCAGATTGCGCCCCGGCTTTTATGCTCTCTTCCACCAGCGTGTTCTCTTGCTTGAAGACAGAGTTGAGATTGCCACCTGCTGCGTCCTGGCTGTTCGTGAGGTGCAGCTCGCTCGGCGCGGATCCCTCGGGGTTTGGCGTCATCAGGGGCGACTGGCCGCTCATCTCGGGTGTGTTCTGCCACTGCTTGACCTCAGCCCTCAGCGCCTCGAGCTCCTTCTGGAAGCGCGTTCCAAAGACGTCGATGTAGTAAGTTGCTCCGTTGTACACGCTCCAGGTGAAGACAACCGAGAGGAAAGCCGCTGACGCATATTTGCTCATGAACCAGAGAGGGCAAGGAAGCATGGTAAATACCGCGTACGAATATTGGATCAACATGAAAGCTGATTCTTGCAGAGCTTCTGGTAAGGAAAGAACGATCTTGCCGATCCAAGTCTTCGAGTATGACTTGCGCAGCCAAGTAAACGATGTTGGCCGCCCGGCAGCAATCTTGTCACGCCGACGAACAGTAATGAAGAAGTAGTAGGACAGCTGCCAGATAGCATAGGGAACGGAGCTCCAAGCGAGCATAGAGATGATGTTTCCGTAACCTCTAGGCGAGCCAGCAGGTGAGTGCTGTAGAGCCCATATGGCAGGCAGACGATTAGCTTGGAGCTCCGCAGGCCACAGGTGGACTATGCAATGAAGCGTTGCGCAAGGCATGATGTGAATGAATAATGAAGTGACTTTGTCGAAACTGTGGAAGACGAGCGAGTTTCTCCACATGATGATTGCAACAGCGTTGTTGCCAAATGCAAGGCAGTAGGTAGCTAGGAAAAGTCGTTTCGAGCCGGGGAAGATCCAGATGCTGAGAACTAAGAGCAAGTTGACGAAGTAGCAGAGATCGGCGAGGAAGTAGTGGTAACCTCGGCGATGGTAGGTGAAAGATCGAATGGGCATGAAGTACAGCACTTGGACCGTGTACCACAAGTGGAAATACTCAGGCCACCCGCCCATGAGAAGGCCGCTGACGAAGATGTTCATGACGCCAAAGATGAACGACACCTTTTCGCGTAGCGTCACCACCCTAGTGTCGTTCCATTGCTTCCCCAGCTTGTCGACGCTGGTGCGCATCCGCTTCCTATATCTCTCTAGTTGCTCGTCGGCGGTAGGAACGCGTCGACGCCACTCGTCCACCATCCGCTCCCGGGCGTGCTGGCTTTTGTTCTTAAATGCATCCCTAGATTTGCGGACTTTCTGCGTCTGAGCAGAGAAGCCCTTTTGCAGCTTCTCGAGCTGCTGCGGGAGAGCAAAGTTGTCTAGGAGATCGAGAACAGAGATGCGATCGAGGGGCGGGAAGACGTCCCAGTCTTCTTGATAGGAACTGCTGCCGGAGAAGGACGGGTGTCTCGACAGCTTGGGGCTTCCCGAGTTGACGGGGCCGAGGGTCGGGGTATGGAGGCCATCGTGGTCTGGGGGAGAGCCGCTTGGGGCGGATTGGGTGTCGGTCGGGTCGGGAGTAAAGGCGGCCTCGCTATCTGTTTGAGCATCGTCGCCCTTAGCGCTGGGTAAATCCGATGGTCTTGATTCGTCCATGTTGTACAAATATCTAGGACAGAGTAGATGAAGCCTCGAGGCTTGGTCGTCTTGGCTTTCTGTGAGGGGTCTGCGATATCGTTGAGCCAGATATTAGCTTTTGTTTGGTCAAGATCGAGAGGAGAGCGCTTGCGAAAATGTAATGCGATGGATCACAAAGGCACAAGGAAGGGCCTACCTTTTGAGGAATTCACTGAGGTCAAGCCATGAATTTCAGGATAACCTAGACTTGGACCAGGTGCGTAGGGAATATGCCTGTTAGACGCAGCTTACTCGCTAAGGCAGATACAGGAACGGGTCTGGCGTTGATGGATGGATATACACATAAGTGTTGTTTGTGGGCGAGAGAGGTCACGAAATGGCGCTGCACTCCTCTAGTAAGTTGTCGATGGTGTCAAGCTGCACGGTAGGCAACTTAGTTTGGGCGGCAACGTGACCCGGACTTGGGGGGGGGGGGGGGGGGGGGGGGGGGGGGGTGCGGGTGCGCGGGGGGGCGGGGTGGGGGGGAGGGTTCGTTAGACGCGTGGTGTGGTGTTGTGGGTGTGGGGGAGGGTGGTTGGTGTGGTGGGGGGGGTGGTGTGAGGAGGCAAGCAAATGACAAGGCAGCGCGGGCGTCTGCGGTCGAGGAGGGTGGAAAAGAATAGGTCTGGCATACGTCTAGGATGCTGGCGATGACTTACACGTGTTGACTGATTGACCGCCACTGCCATTGTCGCAAGGCTTTGACTGGCTGCAGCTGCTGCATTTCTTGCCTGGCGACTGGGGAGCTGGACTAACATTACTAACAGGGGTCATTCCGTGATACGTCACAGGGCATGACAGCTCCGCCATTTGAAGGCTTATCGGGTGATCCGCATTGCTCCAGTGTCAACTACGGGCTGGCTGGCACCAGGCGATTTCATGCACTGGAGGATGACCTACCTTGATATCTGTCATGGCAGCAGTAAATGACCGGGAAGAAACCACGTATTGCAAGAGATACAAATTTGAGATATCTCTGACAGTCGAGATGCACTGAATCCATCGGCACTTCGAATGTTGTGCAAGTAAGGGCGGGAAAGCCAGCCTTTCTGGAGTCGAGATTGACAGGTCCTCGTAATTAATGTGCTGTGTGCGGACCTAAAGACGCGACGGGACTCCAGGGTACTAGGTTTTTGCTGTTGTCCGAGGCACTGAAGTGACTGCCTGTAAAGTGTGCAGGTGGTGCTGGCTGCTTCTCTGGTTGGATAGAACCATAAGTGGAGACCACTAATGGGGAATTTGGCTGCAGTTGACGTCTACCTGGTGGACACCTACGTGCCTCAAAGTGCCCTGCGCCTAAGGTATCCATACATTACGGATACTTCCACTCCATCTCTTCAAGGGTTCAATTCTCCAATTGCATATAACGTATAGCATTTGTTGAATACCGGTTTACGTAATTTTTGAGATAGGTATTGATAATCGTAAAGATCAAGGAGGGATCAAACACCCTGATCATCTGAGTTCACAGCAAAATCCCGATGACCTCTTCCACATTTGAGCTGTCTGCCTTGGGGAGATATGAAGGTAGGGGTTTCAGAGGTCGGTACCTAGGCAGTGTACGCAGTCATCGGGGTATCTGGAAAGGTCAATCCAGCCTGACATCACGTGAAATATGGAACTGCTCGATCCCGGCGTGGCTCGAGCTTCTGCGAGCGCGTATCGGGTCAGCCTCAGTGTGGCCAGTAATTATTTCCCAGTCGCGTCCATGCGCAACAGCAGCACTCAGACGCGCGTGGGGAAATCCAAGTCGAGTCAACCAACGTGATCTCGCTCTCGACTGACAAAATCTCACCCCTTCCGAGTGCTTCTTCGCGATGCGCCAGGCCATTTTGAGGCCCTCAACACTTGACTTCACTGCTACTGCTGCATAGAGTGGTGCCTGCCCTCACTTTGACCAAAATAGTGCCGCTTTCCAGGCCTTGGGCATCCGCCTCGACCTTTTTTCTTCCTTTCTTTCGCGCGCCCAGGCGCCTTGCGTTTGCGACGAGCCTCGACCCAAGCCCGCCACACCTGTACATCCAGTATCACCTGCTGTTGCGTGCCTAGCAACAACCCGTCTACAATATGGGTAAACTCATCCGCCTAGAGCTTTTCAGTATGCCCACGCCCCTCCCCGTTTATGCCGCTCTCGCGCTGACCATGCCACCTTATAGACTTCAAGTCCTACAAGGGCCATCATATACTCTTGTTCGGCGACTCCTACTTCACTTCCATCATTGGACCCAATGGATCCGGCAAGTCAAACTCGTAAGTCCGCCTAGCTCCTTGGGCTGCGTCGACTCTTAGTTAATGTGTAACTTCCGACAGTATGGACGCGATATCCTTCGTGCTTGGTATCAAGTCGTCGCACCTCCGATCAGCCCACCTAAAGGACCTCGTCTACCGTGGCCGCGTGCTGAAAACCTCTAAAATCAACGACGATGGCTCTGCCGAAGCGAATGGTGGAGCTAATGGTCACGCGAACGGCGACGGGGACGAATTGTCGCAAAAGGCCTCTAGGACTGACCCAAAGACTGCATGGGTGATGGCTGTCTATGAGGACGATGCAGGTGACGAGCAAAAGTGGAAGCGCTCCATCACGAATCAGGGATCTAGCGAGTACCGTATCAACGATCGTGTCGTGACAGCCCAGCAATACAACGAAGCCCTCGAATCCGAAAATATTCTGATCAAGGCTAGAAATTTTCTCGTCTTCCAAGGAGACGTCGAAGCCATCGCTGCGCAGTCACCGCAAGACCTCACGAGGCTGATTGAACAAATCTCCGGGAGTCTCGAGTACAAGGCCGAATACGAACGGTTGCAGACTGAAGCTGAGCAAGCTGCTGAGAATCAGAGCTTCCAGCTTCATCGAAGACGCGGAATCAACTCCGAGATCAAGCAGTATCAGGAACAGAAGAAGGAGGCAGACAACTTCCAGAAGAAGACGAACGAGAGGGATGAAGCCATCGTCAAGCATGCTCTGTGGAAGCTCTATCACTTTCAACGTGGCATGGATGAGTCTACTGAACAGATCCACGACCACCAACAGAACTTGCAGGAGTTCCAGCGCAACGTCGAATCGTTCAGACGGAAACTCGAAGCTGCTCAGAAAGAGCAACAAGCGGCGGCAAAGGAGGTCCATGGGGTAGAAAAGGCCATCAACGCCAAGAAGCGAGAGTTCGATGAGTTGGAGCACAGACTCATCCCCATTGACGCAAAGATTGAGGAAAAGACCCGCAACATCGAACAGGGTCGCTCACGAATGGAGCCGGTCCGTAAAGAGCGCGACAAGCAGGGCGACGTCATCAAGGAAGACGAGGGCCGGCTCAAGACAACCGAGAAAGCCCAGCAACATTTCGAGAAGCAGCTCAAAGAACGGATGAAGAAGTTGGGTAAGGAGCTCAGCGAAGACGACCGCAAAGAGTACAACACACTCCGTTCACAGGTTGTACAGAAGGTCGCTGGCAACCAAAGCAAACTCGACAATCTGATCCGTCAACAGAAGACCGACGAAGTCACCGTCAATACTCTCAAGGGTAAGGTGGACACTCTTTCGGCGGCCCTGGAGAAGTACGAGGGTGAATTGGAGACTCTCGGTGAGCGCAAGTCATCAACTGAAGGCAACATCAAAGCACTGTCTCAGGAGATCGACTCAAAAAAGAAGCAATACCATCAAATTCAGTCTGAGCGTGTTAGAACCAGCCAAAGACGCACAGAATTAGAAGAAAAGCTCGAGACCGTCGCCAAGCAATTGCGGGAGGCTGATGATGGACGCCGACAAAATGACAGAGAAGCTAGGATGAAGGAAATGGTGAACAACCTCAAGCGACTCTATCCCGGCGTCAAGGGCCGGATTGGCGACCTCTGCAAGCCCAAACAAAAGAAATTCGATGAGGCTGTTGGCATTGCACTAGGCCGAGACTTCGACTCTGTCATTGTCGACACGGAAAAGACTGGCCACGAATGTGTTCAATTTCTGAAAGACCAGCGCTTTCCGCCTATGACTTTTATTCCTCTAGACAACATTAAGGTCAACGCGGTGAACTCGGCTATTAAAGGTATTTCGGGAGCCCGGTTGACCATTGACACCATTGACTTTGATGCTGCCTACGAACGTGCTATGGCGTACGCCTGTGGTAGCTCTGTGGTGTGCGATAACGAGAAAATCGCGAAGATCATCTCATACGAGAAGCGCATCCCTGTCAAAACCGTCACTCTGGACGGCTTGGTCATTCACAAGACGGGCATGATGACTGGTGGCCGTGGTCCTGAGGCCAAGGGCGGAAAGAGACGTTTTGAGAACACCGACTTGGAGCCTCTGAAGAAGATGGCAGCCAAATACAAGGAGGAGATTGAGAAGCTGCCCAAGTCTGGCCGGCGCAGCGCTGCTGAGGAGTCTCTACAGATCGAGATACACGGCCTCGAGCCCCGTCTGGCGGCTGCCAAGGCCGAGTTGGCGCACTTGGAGAAGAACTACAATTCGAAGAAGAGGGAGAGAGACAACGAGGAAAGGCAACTCGACGAGCTTGAACCCAAGTACGAGGAGAAGACGGCAGAGCTCGAGGCAACCAAGCGAACGGTCAAAGAATTCTCAGACGCCATCGCACAGGTGGAGGACGAGGTCTTCTCCGGCTTTTGCAGGAGACTCGGCTTCAGCGACATCCGAGCTTATGAGACAGAACACCGCGATATGCAACGAGAGGCCGACGAAGAGCGCACCAAGTTTGAGGTGCAAAAGTCTAGGTTCCAGAGTCAACTCACCTTGGCCCGTGATATGCACAGCAACTTGGAGAAACGGCTTAAGAAGCTGCAAGAAACCCTCAAGGGAGCTGAGCGTGACCTACAGACTTATCAGCGGGAGAAGTCAGACATTGAGGATTCCAGTCACGAAATCTCTGACCAGCTCGACGCGCTTAGCGAGACGCTTGAGGAGTACCGTGGCAAGTTGGAAGAGAAGAGCCAAAAGGTTTCCCAGGCCAAGGCTGAAGTACACAAGCGAAGCAAGGAAATTGACGCCAGGCAAAAGGAAATCAACGCTCTTGAGACTGTGGTGCAGAAGAACAGTGCGGGCAAATTTGCGTTGCTCCGGCGATGTAAGCTTGACCAGATCCAGGTGCCGTTACTCGAGGGCTCCCTTGACAACTTGCCAAATGAGGACAATATGTTGCGACAAGACGCCGATGCCATGGACGTCGACGAGGAGGTGGATGACGAAGAGATGATGACGGCTGCTCTTGAGAACCACGGTATTGAGATTGACTACGATGGCTTGGACGAGGAGATGAAAACGGTAAGCGTGTCCCTTATAACCGGAGTCTGGTCATCTTTTGCTGACCGTCAATACAGTCTGACGACGCCAGTGTCGAGGAAAAGTTGCAGGATAAGATTGCATCTCTGGCCTCCGAACTCGAGAAGCTCAACCCCAACATGAGGGCGATTGAGAGGCTCGAGAGCGTAGAGTCGAGGCTGAAGAACACGGAGAAGGAATTCGAGGACTCCAGAGCGGCTCTTAAGGCGGCCCGCGATGCGTTCAACCACGTCAAGGCTCAGCGGTACGAACTGTTCAACAAGGCTTTCACACATATCCAGGAACAAATTTCGCACGTGTACAAGGATCTGACGCGATCAGAGGCTTATCCTCTTGGTGGCCAAGCGTACCTCGATATTGAGGAAGACACAGACACCCCCTACTTGTCTGGTATCAAGTATCACGCCATGCCGCCGCTGAAGCGATTCAGAGACATGGAACATCTTTCTGGGGGTGAAAAGACAATGGCCGCTCTTGCTCTATTGTTTGCGATTCACAGCTATCAGCCAAGTCCGTTTTTCGTGTTGGACGAGGTCGACGCTGCTCTAGATAACGCCAACGTCGACAAGATCAAGAAGTACATCCGCGAGCATGCTGGACCCGGCATGCAGTTCATTGTCATCAGTCTCAAGACCGGCTTGTTCCAAGACAGTGAGAGCTTGGTCGGCGTCTATCGCGATCAGGAAGTCAACAGCTCTAGAGCGCTTACTCTTGATGTAAGAAGTCCACCACGAGCGACTGTGAACTCATCACTAACTGGAATAATACAGCTTCGAAAGTATGTGTAAGGCAGGAGACGGTGAGAATCGCGCGGCACTTAAATTAAGGAGAGGATGAACCTGGTATATTTGGGCGAAGAGATGCAGGTTCTCTTATGCCTCCGGCGAGGGAGGTAGTAAGACGAGTCACGACACCAGCTCTTTGTTCTTGACTATTGGGTGGTTTTGATTTGGGGCAGGGGAGTGTAAGTCTGCTCTCTACGTTTGCTTCATATGCTTCATATGAGGTATCCAAGCTTACCCAGGCGGTCCAAGGGTACCTAGCGTTGCGGCCACGCTGCGAACCGACAGGGCCGTAACTGGAGTTTGGACTTTAACAAGGCCGGTGGAATGTTGAACTTCATGTCAATGGATGGTTTCTCTTACTCTAGCGTCTGTATTCTTGCTGTTTTAGCGGAAATCAAATGGTATACATTGCCATGTTGCACGTGACTTATTTACCCTGCCTTTGTGAGCAAATGACACAGAGCATATTTAGCACCGACTATCAAGTTTGTCTCAGTGATATTAGTCAATAGCTATTTTGGACAAACACGTCCTAATGGAGCTCGTAGATATTTTTTAGGTAGGTACTGTGCGGTGCCAGACAGCTCCTTCCCTAAGAGCCTTGTCGCTGAGGTGCCTGCCCTGTGCTCAATGTGGTTGCCTGCCCGCCCTGTGCTTGTGCTGGTGCTGGTGCTGGTGCTGGTGCTGGTGCCAAGTTCCCCCGGACTGAAGGTGCCGGGGTGGGGGGGTAGGGGGGCGTACGCACGGAGCACAAATACACTAGAAGAGGCCAAGAGCTTCCTGCGGCTGGGCCCGACTCAGAGCATCAGCAACTTTTCTCCGAAGACAAAGTGCGATCCGACTGCGCGGTTGTGAAAGACGGCGCAATTCCACCTCTTCATTCCGCGAGACAATGCCCTCAGGCTGCTGTCGTTGAAAAAACCAGCCTCGCGATCGGATCGCCGTAGAGACGGGCCTTCTTCCCGCTGGTGGCAGGCGCATGCGCAAGTGCAAGTCGCCGCTGCTGAAAGCCAAACCTACCATGGACTTCACTTCCTGAGCTAGCAAAGCAAACGTCCTCTCGGTCTCACCACACTTCAAGACAAGCCATCATCACTCGATAATTTCTCGACGTCATTGGATATTCATTCAACAAAATGGCGCAGCCCTTGGATCTCGCAAAGACTCTCGTCAAGTCTGTCATGCGCGCCTTCTACGAAACGCGCTTCATTTTGATCATCGATGCCTTGATCATTCACTCTGCGTGCGTCCCCCGTTCTTGCTTTACATTGCGCCATTTTCTCATTTGTGACAGTCTCCGAGACGATGACTTGGCGTATTTAATGGCAACGAACACAAAAGATCTCCACAAGGCATGTGGGAAGCTAAGAGAAGACCGCTTTCTAGCTGTGTAAGCCTTGCGACCGAACCCCTTCCTCCGTCAGCACTTCTAGAAACTGACAATGACGACCATTCAGGTATACAAGACTGGAGTATCGAGAAGATCCTAAGAATCCCGAGGCGAAGCCCCGTCCCGTCAACCGAACATATTACTACATAGACTACCGCCAAACCATTGACGCCATCAAGTGGCGTGTGTACACAGTCGACAAGCAGATCCAGGGCACCACGGTGCCAGCCAGCGAACGCAAGGAATATTTTTGTGGACGATGCAAATCAGAATGGACGCAGATGGAGGTTCTCGACAACGTTGGCCCTACTGGCTTTGTCTGTCACCGGTGCAATGGCCCGCTGACGCACGATCTCGAGCGCAATTCAACGGGCCACGAGCAGTCGACACGACTAAACAACCAATTCAAATTCATCACCGAATTGCTACCGCGCATAGACGAGATGATCGTTCCAGACAACACCTTTGATATCGCGATTAGTAAAGCCTTGCCAGTTGTCCGCGACGCCAGTTATCAGAGCGTTACTACCATCCCTGTTTCGTCATTGCAGCCAACATCCGTCAAGGGCCTCGACAACGTTGGGCCCAAGTCTATGTCGGTTAGCATCTCTACTGCGGACGGACCTTCAGAGGCCGAAAAGGCAGCAGAGAAGGCCCGCAAAGAGAAAGTCGCACAGCAAAATGCGCTTCCTTCGTGGATGTCCAACAGTACAGTTACGGGCGAATCCTTCTCGGCCGAAGCCAATCCAATGCCCGCCACCAAAGTTGAGGAAGTGGACGACAAGGGGGCTGTGTCAAAGTCGACAGACAATCCAGAGCATGCAGAACTGGATGACTATTTTGCTCGACTTAAGGCCGAGCAAGAGGCTGAGGCAGCGCGGGCCATGGAGGAGGAGGAAGATGATGACGATGATGAGGAAGAAGACGCCTTCGAGGATGTCACACCGAGCATAGCAACCCCTGCCCCGGCTATCAAAGCTGAGCCCTCGCCGGAGTCGGAAGGAAGAGCAATGAAGAAGGTCAAGGTGGAAGCACCAGCGGACGGGGACGACGGCGAGAGCGACGAAGACATGGAGTTCGAGGATGTCTAGAGGTGCGACGAAGACTTTAAAGTATCAGATATATCATGACGAAGAGGAAACTTCGGAGAGACACCGCAATATTAAGGAGGCACTGTCTCAGGGTGTGGCCGGATTTAGTGGTGTTGCTCCTGGCCCCTTGCCAAGTTCTCTTCTCAAGCCGGCGAAAGCATCCCGTGGTTGTAAGGAAAGGGGACACACGGGAAATGTATCGAGTGCCCGGGAATAGCGAACATAAACGGGGTGTCTTTACATAGGCCCGAAAGACGTAGTCAATTCAGATATATTTTTTGAGAAGACAATTGTTGCTGGAAGTCCGCGACACGCTACACAAGATGATTCTACTGGAATAGCACAAATGTCGATAAAGCTCAACTAGATCTAACTCCTTTTCCAAAATAAAACAAAATCGTAAAAAAAAAATAACAACCTTACACTATGACATGCATTTTAAGAAAGTACATTGCAACCATTGAGTACCAAGCTGTCTTCCGCGACGAAGTATCGTCTAGGTGTATTATATCCTAGCGTTGGAATCAATGCCTCGACCTGAGACGATGATGTCAGCGCCTTGAGTCGAGCGAATACAGTCGCATCTGCCTTTACCTAACTTAACTTCAACTCACTGACGCGGTCTACTCCAGTCCCACCAACCCCGCGATAAGTCTCAGTCGCATTTTAAGTGCATGCCGAATCCACTAGCCTTTTCGGCAGGAGAACCATTTCGCGACATACCGATTCTCTGTGAGGAAGCATTTCCATCTACACTTCGCTACCAACATCGCACGAACGGCCTGGCTCCGACGACTTATAATGTACTCATGTTACCCATAATCGTACAAAAGCTTGGTCCCTTCGCACCGTCACATTCATTGTTGGCAGCGACTCACACGCCACCTCCATTCACAGGCCATGACATGTCTCGACCTTCCAACGATCTACCTCCTCCCCACTCACCTAGAGGCGAATCAACGACATGAGCTTGAGGTAAAGATTCCGAGACTCACATACGACATCCGCGAGGCCGAGATTATTGTCGGAAACATCTTCAAGCGAGAGAGAGCACTTTTCGAACTGAGACGCAAGAAGATACTGTCGGAACCGGTGGATGCAGCAGAAGCCGCAGGTGCGCATCTCACAACGTGTCGCAAGCGCAGAAGGGCGTCTTCCGGAAGCGACAGCGACTCTACAGTGTACACCGAAGATGGAGAGAGGTTCGGTTCAGGTACTGCGCAAGTCGCTGGGAACTCGTCAGCTTCAGAGAAGCCCGGCAACGTGGCCACTGTCAAAGTCGTGAAACTGGGGTGGCTGCAAGATTCGCTTGCGCAATGCAGGATGCTCCCGCTGCAAGATTACTTACTCTACGAAGGCATCAAGAAGGACCCAGGCCGCACACCCGTCACCAATAGGGGAAGTGACATATTGTCCCGCGCTGCAACCGATGGCGCAAAGGGCAGTGTGTTGCCCCAGAAGAACAGGGCGCAATCCCCTTCCGAGATACACCGATCAGTGCCCTCGTTGACCAGACAGACAACATCGGAACATGACTCGACTCTTGGGCTGCCACCTGTGCCTCATTATCTCAGAACAACATATGCTTGTCAGCGATCTACTCCAGCCGATCATCCGAACGCTGCGTTCGTTCATGGACTGAAGAAGATCAGGACTATAAGAAAATTCGCAGGTGATCAAATAGGAGTGAGAGCGTACTCAACTTCGATAGCCACGATATCGGCATATCCTCACGAGATAGCCAACCCGCAAGGTGAGCGGCTGTTTTTGGTTCGGATGGGGTTTGATCAAGGCATGGTATTTGTTGACGTCGCAAATAGAAGTTTCGAGGCTACCTGGCTGCGGCGCTAAGATCGCCGAGCTGTGGCACGAGTGGAAAAAAGCCGGCAGGCTTCGTGAGTTGGATGAAGGTCAGGCGAATCCGAAGCTTTCTGCCATACAGATATTTTACGATATTTGGGGAGTTGGCGACGCTACGGCTCGTGATTTTTACAGTCGAGGTTTGTGTTGCTGCTTCAAGGTCAGAAATATCCTGCTGACTAGCGCATGCAGGATGGCGAGACCTGGACGATGTCGTCGAACACGGCTGGGGCAGTCTTAGTCGTGTGCAGCAGATTGGCGTGAAGTACTATGACGAGTTCAAGCTTAAGATACCTCGAATCGAAGTCCAATCCATCGCCGACACGATCCTGGCTCACGCCCGCACAATCCACCCGAATTTCCAGCTGGTCCTTGTTGGCGGCTACCGGCGTGGCAAGCAAGGTAGCGGGGATGTCGATGTGGTGATGAGCCATCCCGACGAGCCTGCTACCTTGAACTTTGTCGACAAGTTAGTCGTGAGCCTGGAAAAGACTGGGCATATAACGCACACGCTCGTGTTGAGTAAGCACAACAGCGAGCGGGGCCAGCGGCCTGTCAGCTGGAACGGTAACGAGTTTACGGGAGGTGGCTTCGATACGCTCGACAAAGCGCTTGTGGTTTGGCAGGAACCGGAGGCGATTAGGCAAGAAGCACGAGAGAGGCCGCATCGACGTGTGGACATCATAATCAGTCCTTGGAAGACGGTCGGATGCGCCATCCTAGGCTGGAGCGGAGAGACAACTTTCCAACGAGACTTGCGCCGATACTGCAAGAGACAGAAGAGCTACAAGTTTGACAGTAGCGGGATCCGGAGCCGGCTCGATGGCAGCTGGGTTGACCTGGAGAGCGGCGACCTCGGGCAGGCCCCCGACATGTTGACAGCCGAAAGGAGGGTATTCCAGGGCCTGGGCCTCGACTGGGTTCCTCCAGAGGAAAGGTGTACCGGCTGAGTGCTATCCGTACAGGCCTGAGAAACGAACCAAGTCCCCGGTCGACCCGACACTATGGAACCTCACCTACTGTCACCGGCGCCTTCGGAGGTGGCGGCAGATTGCCTGCCTTCTTGGCGAGCTCGTGGTCCACGACTGGGTATCCAGATAGGGCCACATCGTCGAGCCAGAATCCTGGGAGGGGAGATCGCATGGCGGAGCGGGGATTAAAATGGCGTGCTCTTTCCCGTCAAGATCTTATTGGGAGAGAAGCGCTGCCAATTCTATCTATCAGCATCTTATATTCAGACAACCGCGCAGGATTGGACCTAATCAGGTAGCGTTGTGGGAATGACTTCACACGACACGTTTGTCATTGTTGAACATCTCCAAGGCGGCGCAAGAATTCCATGAGTTGCGACGGGATTAAACACGCCTCTCCCTCGAGCAGTCAATTACTAAACTAAGGCCAAAGTCCACCTCAAAGTCCGCAGAACAGACGTCAAAAACGCCCCGCTCACATGTCTTCAGACAGTTCAGACAGATGGTGATTGGTCAATCCGTGACATCATCGGCAATCGGGCACAGAATCTGACCGTGACCCCTGGGATGCCCCGAAATTCCTATTCTCTTCTCTGCAAGGGGCCTGTCGCAACCATGCTATGTATCCGGAGTAGGTTTGTACATATCTGTATACATAGTAGGAAAATACAGGGAGCATTGGGCCACGGCACACCGCACCGAAGACATGGGCAGGCCGCAGCTGAGTCGCGAATAGTACCAATGTAGAGGGCGGAGCGGAGACCAGTTCCTGGAGAAAGCCCGGACCAAAACGTCTGGCGTCTCGAGCAGCACGACCCCCCAGCAAGGCCACGCTCATTACGTAGCTGAGCAGATTAATTATAAAGAAAGACCTTGGTCATTGCGTTACCTTTCTCTCTATGCACCAGGTCGCATCCGCAAACACACTTTCCGATCAATTGCATGGACACCGGGATCAATAATCCGGCAACTCCTTTTTGATCATCCATCCCTCAGTTCGACCATTTTCACCAAACGCCATCATGCCTCTCACTCTCCAGGTCCCCGATGAGTATGGGTAAGTGTCGCTGGCCCTCCCCAGGCCGGGCAAACGAATCCAATGGCTACCTACCTTACCTTGACTAACCAATCCACTCTCTCCTGGAAACAGCTTTGTCCTCCTCGTCGCCGCCTCAACCTTCTTCATCAACACAACCCACGTCCTCCTGACGAGCAAGTACCGCAAGGCCAGCGGCCTCGTCTACCCGGCCCCCTACGCCTCCAACGAGCAAGCTGACAAGGATCCGAAGGCGTACCAGTTCAACTGCGGTAAGTCTTCATCTTTTTCTTTCTCCTTCCTTCCTGTCGAAGCAAGATGTGCAGCTCGCTTGCTCTGAAAGTAGAGAAAAAGGGGAAAAAAAAAGAGAAAACGCTAACGCCACCCTGTGATGTATAGCACAACGCGCTCACGCCAACTTCACCGAGAACCAGCCGTCATTCCTAGGCGCTCTGTTGATCTCCGGCCTCCGTTTCCCCGTCGCCAGCGCCGTTCTCGGTGCCGGCTGGACCCTCTCCCGCATCCTCTACGCATTCGGCTACACAAGCGGCGCTGGCCCGAAGGGCCGGACTCGGTGCGTTGCACAACCTCTGCTTTTTTCCCCCCCTTTTTTAAAACAAGGCCATCTCATGTAAGACGTGTTGCTAACATATGCATTCCTAGTGGTTCCATTGGCTCTTTCCTCTTCGACACTGCTCTCAAGTTCACTTCTACCTACACCGCTATTGCCATGATCATGGACTGGTAAAGAGCTCAATAGCTTGGTACGCTGTCAATAGGACATGATCCAATCTGTTGCTTTACTGGCTAGCCACTGTAAACCCAAACAAACAAAAAATACCAGGGAAAGACGATGGCCACATCCCAGAATTATGTCCCAGTGAACCGACCAATTGCTTGATAACCGCTGCGTACAACCATGACTTATACCTGAACAAATTTCCACCGTCGCCATAACTCCATGTCGCACACCCTGGTTGCTATGTCCCGCCACCGATGGCTCTTGCTGTCGACGTGTTCGTCTATCTGTTCTTCCCGTAGAGAGGAGCCGAACAGATGAGCCTGGGAGGTAAAATCTCTAATTTCATACGGTGCGCCGCCTACCTGCGTTTTCTAAGCCGTCGAAGTTCCAAGCTGCGATCCGACTCATCTGATGTGTGTGTCAAGGCTCCCACGGACTTCTCAATTCCGTTGTTGCCGAGTAGATAGTCCCCAAAGTACTTCATCGCACTGAATATCTCTTCGCCGACGGGGATGATGTTCTCCCTGGGAAGGAGAAAGCCGTAGCTGCCCGTGTCCCTCAGCTTGATCTGGTAGCTGTAGTGCGCATGTAATTCGTGGTAAAACCAGTCAATGGCCGATCCACCACCTGTCTCGAGACGCTTGACGCCAGGTTCAGAGCCTCGTCCCGCGACTGCTCCTTCGCACGCCGATGTTACCGAGTATAACTCTCCTTTAGAGAGACGAATGGCCTTGGCAAGCCCAGCTGCGAGCTCTTCGAGGTTCTCAACGTTGGGTGGGTCCACGTCGCAGGAGTACGCAAAGGGGAATAGGATCTGTTGGGAGTAGGAGTGCAGGTCGATGAGACCAATAAACTCGGTATCCTGCAGAGACGCGTTTCTCGCCCAGGTAGCCACAGCTCTAGCTTCGGCTGCCTGCCATGGCTGTTTCCCGCCATAACTCTCAGAGCAAGGGTCATTTTCGGAGTAGTCGCCCCATTCATAGCCAAAGGCGTGGTCGAGGTCGAAGCCGTGGCACCACGACATGCCCGTCTCCTGCCGTGACTTGCGCCACAGTCGGTCTGTAGTCCAGGTATATTCAATGCCGTCGGGATTGACTGCTGGGATGAAGACAAAATCGAAATGCTCCAGCAGCTTGGTGATCATGGGCTCCCTGCCGAAGGCCGTAATGAAGGACCAAGCGACATAGTTGGCAGTCGTCGTGGAAATCCACTCCCGTGCATGCATTCCTCCTGTTACAACGACGGTCTTCCTCCTTTCGGTACCTGGTGCCCGTGTCTTCATGCCAACCTTGAGACCAAGGATGTCTCGTTGTTCAGAAGATTGTCCGATGGTGATGACTTCGGTGATGGCCGGGAACATGGCTTCGGTCAATCGCATCCATTGGATGATCGTCTAGACTGCATCAGCTCGAGCTCCGCTGAACTTGCATGGATGTAAGGTCGGTCACATACGTCAAGCCTCTGGTAATCTTGGAAAAAGTAGTTCTCGTTCCCGCTTTGCGCATGCTTGAGGTTTGCGCGACCGCCGGGAATGCGGTGGACCTGAGCTGAGGAATCCACAGCCGGATAACTGTCGTAGACGGCCGAAGATACATCTGTGATCAAAGTCGAGTAAGCTGAATTCAGAGAGTCGGGCAGAAGCCCTAGCAGCGATCGGATGTTGTCTCGACGAATCCGAACATCGACAAATTCGTGGTTGAAGGCCCATATGTCTAGAAAGGTACGAGCGGCTGCGGCGGCGAACGCGGTCTCTTCTTCCGAGGTGGTCAAGTTGAAGCGCAAGACAACCTCGTTGACGTGATCGTCCCGCAGGCTTGTTCGGACGTGGGATGTCAGGTGGCTGGCTTTGGCAGGATGGGGGCCAAAAACAAATTCAACGACGCCGTTTCGAAATCTTTTCAGGAAAGGGAAGAGGTCAGACTTGGTCGGCACGGCGGTGGAGGCTTCGTGGCGGTATTCGGGGTACGAATCGAAACGAGCAGCGGAGGCGGCGGGGACGAGCACGGCGACGCTGGCTAGTGAAGACAAGACAAGTTGAGGCCGCATGGCGACAAGGACAGCTGATGGCGATGGATGACTGGCGATTGTTGAGGTCAAGTAGACCCGGCGTTAGGTACTCTCAGGTGTGGGCGAGACGACCGAGGGTCAATTGCGATGATGGGGATGTTGTAGCGAGGGGTCGCGACACGCTCGAGGTCCCAGAGGATTGAGCGACGTTCGGGAAGATCAAATTGAGCGATAAGGAATGGAACAGCACGGTCGACCTAGCCTCACCTTGAGGTTGGCAGGGAACAGGCTCAGGCAGCCGCTTACTTCTGGGTTGGGTTTGGCCGTCGCAACAGGATCCTTGTCGGTGACGGGATTACTCTACAAGTCATTGCCCACCCCTCTGGAAGCCAAGAAATATGGCTGAGGTGGTCTGTACTTGCCAACTCTTGTTTCCTTCAGCATTGTAAGTGCTATTACTATCGCAGGGCACTCGCAGAGGTGTTCACAAGACCCAATGCGTTCCATTGGATGTGGTATGTGAAGGACGCTGTGAGAGAAGTGATGACTGGGGCAGGTACCCGAGGAAGCACGCCTGGAAACGGATACATTTGACGAGGCACCTTAGGTAGGGCTAGGTGTCCGTGGCTCAGGGGGACCGGCACTCCATCAGGGTAGGTAATCAAACCTGGAAGTTGCAGTCGTCCCATGGCTTGCTTAAGAAGAACACTCTATGCCCCGGCTTCATGGGGTGCCCGGACCGTAGCTCAGCCAGCGTATTTTCATTTCAGACTGGTCGTGTTTGCCCTTGCGCTTCATCTCAACATGGCCCTTTACTCACCAAATTGGCAGTCTGAGGATCGCCGGGTCTGATCTTGCTATTTCCCCTTTCCCTCATTCTTCGCGACCTTCTTATTCTTTTGTGGGTGCCTGCTTATTCCCTGTCGTCCAACTCTCAATGCATACAATTGTGCCTACTGCCCAAAGTAACCGGAGCCAGACGCACAAGCCAAGTTTCCCAAGTGCTGACCTAAGTGCAAATAGGTACAGAGGCAAAGAGGGAAACCAAGTCCCGGGCTTGCCCAAGTTAAGCCTGAACAAGGTAAGGTATGGTAGCATGCGTAGGTATCTTGCCGTCCTAAGGTAACTTACCTTAGGCACGTAGGTTCGTTATCACGTTGCCTAGGTGCCTAGGTCCATGGGAACTCTCAGCCCAAACGACCACTGCTAGGTACCTCAGACGTGTACGAATACTGCAAGCCACCTCAGCCTGGGACTGGCCCATCCCATGGACTGTTGCTGCGGCTCAACTGCATCAGTCCCAGACCAAGAATGCTTGCTATCTATTAGGTAGTCGCAAACTCGCGGCCAGAGTATATGCAATTTAGCCCGGTGCTTTTCTCTCTCTAGCTTCCTGGCCTTTATCGCTGTCCATCAAATGCCCGTCCGTGGTGCCCAAGCATCAAGTCCAGTCCTGTTCCGTATTGAAAACTGTCGTGTGTTGTGTGTGTCTCTGCTTTCTGTTGTCAGTATCCTTATTCTTGTCAGACCCCTTCTTTTTCCCTCCCCCCCCTTCCCTCCACTCCGGTTTAAGACCAGGACGCCGCTACGACAGCGCATGCAAACGCCAATGCCAATTGGGTTGTGTGTGTTTTTTTTTTTTGTTTTTTTTTTTGAACTTTTGATCTATTCTCTCTTCATCTTTCCTTCTTTCTGCGTCCAAATGCTCGTGCATCTATCAGCCTCTACTACTGGATACGTACGTTCGTTTGGCTGACCTGCAATCTTTCTTGACGCTTCACTTTGACTCCCTCGCCTCGTGCTCACATCTCGGAACTCTTCTCCACGTCTCTCGAGTCCGCCCCTCCCCCCAACACACACACCCCCTGCTGTACTTGGCCTCCCCTAGGTACCTTACCTCATCTTGCCCTGCGCGGCTATGCCAACGGAGGAGACGCCTACCTACCATATCCAACGACCGAGGACCCCTACCCTCTACCCGGTCGTACTCTTTCTTGCGTTGCAATGCGCTTAGCCTAACATAACACCCCTGCCGCACCTCACCTTAACTCACTTCGCCCCGTCTCGCCTGGGCTTGCCGGACCTGACCTCACCTAGACATTGCTTACCCAGTCTCCCTACCATCCAATTCTCCTGCTATTGTGTCGTCCTTCTACCTCGCATTCCCCCTCTTTCTGACTTGCCAATGTCTCTCGCCTCCATACTCAACAATTCTACCTTGTGCTGATGGCTTAGCGTCCGGATCGCACGGCATTGCACCGCAGCACCTAGACTCAACTTCGACCGCGGTCGTCATCCTCCCACTTCTGTCGATATATCCCTGGCAAACCATGACCCATCGCCGTCATGCCTTTTCTACGCCGTCGCGGCAACATGGTCAGCGAGACCGATATGAGGCGCCATACCATTCTTGAGACCGAAACTGCACCCCAGCTACCGCCGCTTCCCCAGCATTTCCCTCCTCAGCGGCCTCAATCCCACCATCAACAACAAGACCAGCTGCCGCCGCCGCCGCCGTCACCCTCCCGACCCCAATCACAGCAGCACAAGAAGCAAAAACTCGACGACCAGCCGAAAGCAATACCCGAACTCAAGCTGCCATTCCTACCGCCGCCGCCGCTGTCGCAGCTGGAACAGGGGCAGGAACAGGAACAGGAACATCAAGGGGAACAACCGCGACTATCCGTGTCTATTTCGATTCAGGAGCCTCTGCCCACGTCTTTGGCCGTACCTGGGCCATCCGACGCCGACAATGGCGCTCTCAGCCAGCGAAACCCTGACGACCAAGAGACGCGACCAGATACTCCTCCCATTCAAGAAGAAACACCGAAACACCGACGTTTCTCCATATTGAGGTTTCGCAATGCATCCGACTCGCAACTGTCTGTCAGGGCTAAACAACAGGCCGAGAAGCCCCCTCCTATACCTCGCCGTACGTTATTACTAACAGCCCCTTCAAACGGCTCTCACTCGAGCAAGGCCCGGTTCTTGTCAAGATCGCCCTGCTAATTAATTGCACTAGCCCCTGAGATTATCACGACTGCTCCTACCGCCGACTTTCAGGTTCCCCAGAAGAAGCAATCACGCATGCGACTCGCGGACCGCTTTCGACGTTCGGGCGAAATACCAAGACACAGCGAGGATGGCGGCGGCAGGGCCATGACGTGGAAATCGTCAAGAAGAAAGACGGGTTTGGATGAAATGGAATCAAGAAACCGACCAACCCTCGTGACGTTCGAAGAGCCCGACCGCCCAGCATCGTCGAGAGCGCCAACCAATGGAGAGCATCACGACGTCCCTAATCTATCTCTTCCCAGCAATCGAGCCTCAGAATCGTCACGGTCCGACGTTAGCTCAGGGGAACATTTGTATGTTACAAATGCCACAGGCAACTCGCCCCCGGTGCCTTCAGGATCCAACTTCTTTCGCCTACCTCGAAGGAAACCCAAGACTGCAGCGCCAATGTTCGACTTATCACATTTACCACAGAAGGGCAAACCTTCAATTGGGACTGACAACCCTGCCACTTCATCTTCATCTCTCGGCGGACCCCAGCCGACCGCTATTTCTACTTCTAGAGAGGGCACCCCGCGTCCTCAGCAAGGCTCGCGGCCGCAGTCGAGTCACAGTATGCGGGCCAATTCCGTAGCGTCCTCTGCGCATGAGCAATCAGCGAAGCCAAGTGCTTCACCCGCCACCGCTCTATTTAAACCAGGATCGACGAATTCGGGACAATCTTCCCCTACGCGTGCCCGCTTACAGCGCCGTGGCAGGTCTTCAACCTTGAGTTCTCTTGGAAGAGAATCGACAGATGGCCATCTAGATCCAGGAAATGGGCGAGCGTCGACATCGGTTGGTCGAAAAAGCTTTGGTGATTTGTTTGGGCTAAATCGACTGCGCCAGAACTCTGACCTCGGCCAGGGACGGCAAGGCAGCTTAACACCAGCAACACCTGGATCCAATACTTCGAAGAACAATTCTTTGCAGATTGCGCGAGAAGCCATTCCTCTACCCGACAGGCTTGAGGACGAAACTCCCGTCAAATACCTCGCTCGGATCGAGGAGATATTAAGTCGCGGAGTTATTGCCAGTGCGTTGTCTAAGGGAAGTGATCCATTCTCGATAGCAGTTTTGCGCAGCTACATGCGCCGCTTCAGCTTCTTTGAGTATCCAATGGATATGGCCATCCGAAAGCTACTCATGGAGGCTGAGCTACCAAAGGAGACACAGCAGATAGACAGATGTCTGCAAGCCTTTGCGAACCGTTACCACGAATGCAACCCCGGCATTTATGCCTCTCCAGATCAGGCGTATTTCGTCGCATTCTCTCTACTAATTTTACACACTGATGTTTTCAACAAAAACAACAAGCACAAAATGCAGCAACCCGATTACTTAAAGAACACCAAGGGAGAGGGTGTTTCAGATTCGGTCTTGAGCTGTTTCTACGACAACATTACGTATACCCCTTTCATTCATGTCGAGGACGACTTGGACCTCAACAGCGATCGACTCTTGGCAAACAGGGCCAAGCGGAAGACGATTTTCCCGGGAGGCACACCGGAAGCTACTGCCAGGCGGTCAAACCGAGAGCCTCTCGATCCTTACACACTTATAATAGACGGCAAGCTGGATATCTTGCGACCGAGCCTCAAGGATGTCATGGAACTCGAGGACCATTATAATTATTTAGGGACGGCAAAAGATCTCAACGTAAAGGAGCTTCAGAGGACGTTCTTTAGAACAGGCGTGTTGCAGATCGTGTCGGCCAGGTCTCGACCCGATGCCTTCCGTGACGACAAGGGCTCCAGCAACCCGGCTGAGGCGGCGCAGGGCGTTGTGGATATCAAGATCACCAAGGTCGGGCTCTTGTGGCGCAAAGATGTCAAGAAGAAGAAGACGAGGTCACCGTGGCAGGAATGGGGAGCCATTCTCACGGGCGCTCAACTCTACTTCTTCCGTAACACCACTTGGATTAAAAACTTGATGCATCAGTACGAGTCTCATGTCAAGCAGGGGTTCGATGGTGAGCCAATCACTTTCAAACCACCTCTTCCGGAATTCAAACCAGACGGGTATCTGCCGACTAAGGAGGCCGTTGCCCTCGTCGATTCTACCTACAAGAAGCATAAGAATGCCTTCAAATACGCTCAGCCCAGCGGCTATGTGGAGGAAGTTCTTCTGGCCGATAATGAGGAGGAGATGAATGATTGGCTAGCGAAGCTGAACTACGCGGCTGCCTTCACGACGTCAGGTGTTCGTATGAGGGGCGTCGTGGGAGGCAATTATGAGGGCCAAAGTCGGCGCGGCATTAGGAGACTCGGCAGCTCAGCCTCTGCCCAGGTCATTCAGACTCCAACTGGCGATGTTAGCATTGTTCGAGGCAAGATTGATCACAAAGAGGCCGAATCCATTCACGCGCAACGGCGGCAGACTATGATGGACGCAGTTGCCAAAGCCGATGAAGAAATTGCTCTGAAGGAGCAAGAATTAGAAGGGCACTTAAGGAACGCCCGGCACCTTCAGATCTTGTCGCCCATCCAAGGCAAAACCAGAGATCAGATCCTATCAGCTGCAGCTCACATGGACGTCAAGATCAAATGGACTCGCATGGACATGTGGAAATCAATGTGCCATCGCGATGTTTTATTGAAGGACCTGGCCGAGGAACAGAGTCTTCGGGGTCTGACACCTACCACAACTCCAAACGGCCGGGAGCCCCGTGAGACATCACCTTCTTCTAGAGAAAGACCCTCCATTCCTGATGCTGTCTCGTCAAATAGCGTGGGACGGAGGCGCAGGCGGTCATCTGCTGCAGTCTCTACAAACCAGCCGTTGAGAACGCCGCAGGCAGAGCCCGACTCTCCTGTTACTGAAGCTTATCAAACACCGCCGACCAGTGCTACTTTTAGCCCGCACAAATATCAAAACTCTTGGGACTCCAAGCTTTCCAAGTCGACGGAGCATGCACAGCGTCAGAGACCCGGTTCCAGTTCCAGTCAGTCATCTGGCGAGCCGACTTTTTACAGCCCGCAACAACATTCAACGCAGAAGAAGGGCAACACCGCTGAGCAGCCTGCAGACAACGACCGACATGACGACGTTGATGCAAATGAGCGGGCGCTACTACAGCAAGCCGGCCTGCTCGAGTCAGGTTCTCGCGGACGAATTCCCCCGCCGGAACGGAAGCGCACGGGGTCATTCTCTGAGCCAGGAGATGCCTCGGAGTCTCGAGATACGCCAGGCTCAATCGATAAGCAGGACAAGACCAAGATCCGACGAAGCCTTCAACGCACACTCAGAGAAAGTGCTGGCCATCTTTCACACCATCGCAGCAGGAAAGGCAAAGATGTCATTTCCAGTGGCGGTGCGGACGAAACAAGCCGCGAGGACGTGCTCACCAGGGGCTCCGGTAGTTTTGTCGTACATGGAAAGAAGGCGTCCGTCATCAACTTTGGCTCTGAGCTACAGCAACTAACTCCGGAGGAGCGCATGAGGCAGCGAAAGCAGGACGAACCCGCATCTCCCGTCAGTATCGCGGAAGACTATCACGATGCGTTGAATAGTTCGCTGGAACCAAAGGAAAGAAGAGGATCAGCAGCCAGCGCCAGCACTGCCACGGCTAGGAGCTTCCGTGAACTTCACCGCAAGTATTCTTCAGCACACGCGTCCAAAGCACCCATCTTTGGCGGGCGGCTTTCGGTGCCATCCGATGGCGAGAGTGAGGCAGCAGTCAGTTTTTCCGAGGGACGAAGGACACCACTTCCTCCAATTGAGAATGAGTCCGGGGACGAAGCAGAGAACGAGATTGCTGCAGACAGTCCGCATGTTGCCAGCCCGCGGCCCACAACTAGCCCGCAGCTGATTATAAGTCCACAGCCCATATCTGCTGCGCTGGCAACTCCACTAGCAACCCCATCTGAGCCTACGACGCCTCTGGAAGCGCAAGTGGACGAGGAGGGCGAGAGGGGTGCTGAGATGCAGCGACTGCCTAGCCCACCTGTGCAAGCAGTCAAAGCCTAGGTCTCCAAGATGCGCCGGAATCTAGGTGAGAGACAAATTTTCGAAAACGGCAACTTTTCATGTCGAAAAATACCATGCCGACATCATAAGGTAGAACTGTTGACCTCGGAGATGCAGATCTGGAGATGCGTCTGGAGAAATGAAGATACCAGCGGGCGAGAAAAGGGTAGCTAGCGTTTGAGAGAGTGAAAAGCGAGAGGGGCCATACATAGGACAGCATCATCAAGAAGGATTCGCGGAATGGAGATCTGCGCTCCTTGGCTGTCATTCGCAATTATTTTTTTCTGGTGTCAACGACATTCTGAAAGGCGAGGTGTAGTCGATCTATAATGGTAGATGTGTACATATGGATGGCTTCGCGGCTGAGCGGGGAAGGGACTCTGGACTTTGGGCATAGCATTGGGACAACGATTGGGGTGCTAACCAAAAAGAAAGGGCAATGTTCGTACGTACGTGGCAACTTTTGTAGTGTAGAGGGCGTATACAACAAGCAATGTCCCCCCCCCCCCCTTCTCCCAACGTTCATCGTTCAACCACTCCTTTTTGCTTAATCCTGTTCGTGTCGGTCATAACTGTCTATAAAAAGGATCAGGAGAAAAATTTTTTATTTTGGTATCTGCAACCATCGCAGAACAAGCGTGACCGCCAGGGATAGGGATAGGGTAATTAAGGCCTAGCGCAATTCCTCATTTCTTGCCCTTCTTCTTCTTCTTATTCGATGTTGTCGTCGGTGCCTTTTCGACTTTGACAGATCCCGCGCCACCCGCCAACTCCAAAGTCTCTTCCTCCTTGACGAAGCCACCTTGGGTGGCCTCCTGAGCCTTCTTCTTGCCCTTCTTACCCTTGGGCCGGTAGTAGGATCGGTCGCGGAGGGGCAACCAGCGCTCCGGATCCATCCTCTTGCCCTCGACGTAGTCCTTGGGCAGCTTTCTTCTCCTCTTCTTCTTGTTGCCTGTATCGGCGGGCTGGTCAAGTCGGCGCTTCTTGGCCTGGCTGGCCGGAGTCTCGATGGTGGTGACGCCGCCGCTGACTAGCTGGTCGACATTGACGCCTTGGAGGAGGTCGTCGATGTGGGGCAGGCCAGCGAGGTGGGGGGTGACCTTTGCTCTGTCCGACGTGGCGAAGGATGCCACGAGGCCAGCGGCGGCAACTTGATCCGCGCTGGGCTTTTGGCAGAGCTTCTCAAACGCAGCGCCGGCGGCAGCTAGGTCGGTGGGTTCAGATGACTTGAGGAGTTCCGAACCGGCGCCGCGTAGGAGGGAATCGACGTGGCGGCCGTCGCGCTTCTCCCAGAATGACGATGCCTTTGCCAACTCCGATCTTATGCTGCCGTGACGGCCCTGCTGTCTGTAAAGAGAGACAGTCAAGGCGACCAGTCCCGGAGAAAAGCGCAGTTCTGATGGGCCCTGTTTCTCCAGGTTCTGCAAGAAGCGCTCAAGGATGGATAGCGCGGCACCGGGGTTGTTTGCTGCGAGGTAGAGCTGTGTTATTGTGAGGAGTAGGCCGACATCCGTGGGGCGCTTCTCGATCAAGGTGAGAACCTCTTTCACATCAACTGTTTTGGAACGACGGAGGGCATAGGCCGTGGCATTGATGGCTGAAAGGCTGTTGGTGTCGACAGACACCGTTGGCGAGGCCTCCGCAAGTGCTTTTGACGACTTCTCGTACACACCGTCAAATTTTTGAGCTTGCAGGCCAAGAACGTACTTGTTCCGCTCCAACTGGCTTTCTTGGTACTTGAATAGTTTCGCCTGTTTGCTAAGGGTTGCTGAGGTGTCGAACTTGCGCTGAGCAAGATACGGGTTGTCCACCTCAGTCGTGAGAGCCGATATGTTATTCAGCGCAATCAGTCGAGACTCGGCATCCGAATCACTGCGCGACATGGATCAGCAAGAACTCCCTTGTTAAAGAATTCGAGGTCAACGTACTCTGAAATGGATAGGCGCTTCTGGATCGCGAGAGCTTCCTCGGCCTTGCCTAATCTAGTGTAGACATATACCTGCTGGACCATGATGGGAGTCATCTCGGCTTTCTTGTCATCCTCGGAGAGCTCTTCGGATTCGTCGCAGAGCCGCAGGGCTGTCTGGAGCAGTTCCGTAGCCTTGGACAGCTCGCCGCGAGCAATCATGCCACAGGCAATGTTGTAGGCAAGCTCAAAGGTGTCGGCGTCTTCGACAGTCGGAATGGGTGAGTCATCGCCTTCGAGGTTGTTGGGAAACTTCCAATCCAGCTGAGCGGCGGAAGCCAACTGATTGATCTTGAGATCGCTCTCCTCTCCTTGTTGGTCCTCCATCAGACTGCTGTAGGCCTCGAGCGCCTCCTTGAAATCTTCGGCGCGGTAGGCCACCTGGGCGACAAGATGGCGGAAACTCCGCTGGGGCTTGGAGTTGGCAACCTCGCGAGCCTCTCTCAGCTTACCCATCTTGTAAAGCGCATAGGCCTTTTCCAAAAGGCTGGCGTCCTCGAGTTTGGCGCCGCCATCGGCAATCGCACGGAGGGCGTCGTCGAAGCGGTCGAGCTTAAGGAGGGCAACAACGCGGGTACGTTGGGCAACGATGTTCGTCTTGGAGGCTTTCAAAGAAGCATTAGCGGCCTTGAGGACTTCTTCGTGGTCTTCAATGGAAGCTGCATGCAGCAGGGCGCTGAGGTTGGCAGCAGGATCCGAAGACATCGTGAGGTGAGGGGCCGGCGGCGAGGAAAGTGTAATGATGGCCTTTAGTAGGGATGGTGCTGCATGTTCTGCCCCTCGGTTGTGGGTGCAGTCGGCAGTTGAATAGCGGGAAAACTCAGACGACTACCAACGATGAAGTTGACGTGTTCGGCCGTCGTCCCAGGCTTCGTCGTGTGAGCACGTTGCGAAGGACGATGTGAAGGTGCAGACACGCTTGGGCCCATATGAGGTGGATGGGGAATTGACATCGATGTGGATGGTGGGGCAGAGCCAGTGACGTTCAGCGCTGTCATCTCATGTGTTCCACTTGTAGCCTTTCACACAGATTACGTGCATTAATACTCGAAGGCTACTTTGGGGTTGGGAGTGCCCTGAAATGTAGCAATCTTTGTTTTATTTTTATTTTACTCTATGCTTGATTTCCATTTTTCTCTCCCCCAGCGGCACTGACAGACTAATTCCCTTCCGAAAACCGAGATCTCTCAATGCGAGGTTCACTCGAGTGGAGCAATCAAGTAGGTATGGCAAGTTTTAAGGGTTGGCGGATGTCGCACGACTTTGCCATCTCTGGTTCATGCCTACCCCCTGATGTATGCTGCTGCTTCGAGTCGAGGGCACCTTACCATACCTATCTCTAACCCCGCGATTGAATCGCAAAATATGTGTGTTTGTGGTGTCCACCCCTGGCCAACCCATCCGCCTTCATCAACATCGCAAATTGAGTAACTCGCTACTCCCATGAATCCCGCCTCAAACGCTCATTTTCCGCACAATATTGTCAGATTTCCTTCTTTTTGTACGCTCCCTGGTCGCTTGCCTTCTGTCAACCCTCCGGCGGCTCCCAGAGCAACTGTATTGAGCAAACGCGGCCATTTGAGATGCTGGTTCATCGTCGCCCAAATAGCCCCCACAGCCTGTTGCGTTTGACATCGGGTTGGTGGTAAGGCCTTAACGGGTATGTTGGCTGTACGCTGAACTGGTCTACTGGTGCTGACTTGTTCGACGGCCATCGCCGCAGCTTATTGGGACCAATCTCACCCAGCTTTGTGCTCCCTGATGATATTGTCGCCATCGACATGCGTTTCTCTGCTTTCAGTTGTTGTGTGTGGACAGGGTCTGCCTCTGGCTCTGGCTCCTCCGCTGTGCCTTTGAGAAGCTTGCACCTCGGGGCTTCCTTGTCCTTCGACTTTGACCTATTGTCTGCCACGAGGGTCCTCCTTGGACTTTTGCTCTTCTTGCTTGACCCGGACGAGCTGGGTTCCAAGGACGATGTACTGAGTCGCCGTGATAGATCATTGATTGCCTTGACGGCATCAATGCGCGATGAGTTGGAGAGAGTCTTGAGTGACTGGTAGTCAATGACGGGGTTCTGGCCCCTCGTCATAAGATGAAGTAACCTAGTCGCGGCCGTTGTAAGACGCTTGGTGAGTTTTCGCACAGAAGATCGAGCCACAGCTGCTGCAATACATAAGCACAAGAGTCCGCAAGGTGTCTGCCCGCAGGCATACGCACCGTCGCCCTTTTCAAAATGAATGCCAGCCACGGACAGTTGCGAAGAGTATACACTTTGAACCTTGGACCTGTCGGAGCGAATGCTCTTCCGAAGTTGCCGAGGTTGCTTGCTGTGGCGAGGTCCCTTCAGATTCTTGAGTATAGACAGACACATGGAATATGTCTCCAAGAGTGAGTCGATGGTGTCGCCGAAGCAGGCCATTTCGAGGGACTGGCTGATGACCAAGTCGGGCTTGCTTTAGGTTCAATTTGCGACTTAGCGATAGCGAGCGATGCGTTTCGGTACATCCTATTTTAAATCCATTTCCTCACGGTCTGGACGTGGGCAGGCTGGGTATTTTCGACGACTGGCGAGGCCGGGCCATTGGTTGAGGATGCTGTCACGAACCACGGAAGACGAAGCGTTTTGGTTGGTTCTGTAACCGCCGCTGCAGACCATCCCGCTGCATCATCGGCGAACTGGCCGGTAATGCCGTGAATTGGCTAGCAGGAGAACTCTCCCTTCTCTTGCGAAATCGGGTGAAACTTGGACGAGCCATGAGTACAGAATCAAATACCAATGATGGAGGTGAGTGAGGAGACCAAAGAATGATCATAGCCAATGCAAGCGACTCTGCCGACGATGACATTCAGGCGTCGATTGGATAGCAACAGAGACAACGCGCGATTACATTTCGCAGAGATAACGATGGGCAGAGACAGGTAGCAACCTGTAGCCCATCTCTGGTGCATGTATGATGGAAAGGCGCCTGATTGCCACGGGCCCCCGCCTCCGCCGAGGAGTTATACGGTCTGTCAGAACTATCTTGTTCGCATTTCCGGTTGGCGAATGAATATGGTTCAAACTAACCACGCCTATCTCGCTGGCACGGGCGGCCTCGCTCAGCGCTGCAGCGGTGAGTTGATCGAACATATCGGGTTGCTATCCGTAGACTACCAATAGAAAAGGCGTTGAATTGTTGGTAATGATAAGGCAGACGGGGCGGGCGGGTCAGGGACAAAGCAGGGCTTCCAGGGTTCTAGTGCGAGCACCGACTGGGGTGGGTTCGGGAATGGACAATGAAGCCCGAGTCGAATATGGGTCGGGATCGGATGGCGTTTCCGCAAGGAAGCCAGTCGCTATGGCGGGCAGCGGACCAATGGAATGCTCGGAAGGTCTCACCGAGTCTCACGACTCTGTCCGACTTTCGGTGAAGTACTTTGTATCTTGGTCCCTGACGAATGAGGTCAAGATGGGTCAATGATAGTAATCGTTTTTTGACTTTGCCAAAGCGGCAGGAAGCGACGTCGGTAGCTCATAGCGGTCCCGTTGATACCGGCGATGCAAGAGATGCAAATATGATGGCGGCATCTGTATCACAGCAGGGTTTGAATGCGCATCGATACTCTGTATGCCTCGATGTAATGGAAAGACGGCGGGGCGGTGCATCGTCGCAATACGGGTGTCTCATTGTCCCATTGCCTAGGTGGGCATGCTGTGGTGGGTAGCTGACATGGGTACCTATCACTTGAGTCACCTGCGCATGTGAGGCTGTATTGTCCCAGGATCTTTATCTGAACCGCATGGCCGCAAGTCGTTGATCAGCAGTGCAACGGGCACTGCGGCAGTATCTATCTTGAAGGAAAGGAAAGGACGTGGAGGGGCTGAGGGGCTGAGAGGCACCGGGGATTGACAGTCGGCGGGCGCGACCCACGCGGCTCTGGGGTCTCTTGGGCGCGCGTTCCTGAGCGAAGTCATCAATACCGAACAAACGTCGGTGCACCCACCGTCCAATGTCACGAGATGCTGCTGGCAGGTGGGTGTCAGGAGTCAGGACGGGACAGACCCGACGACTGAACGGTTCCATGAGGTTTTTTCTTGCTCCATTGACAGCAAAAAGTCAAGGTGCTCGTGGCCTCGTGCTATGTACCTCAGACTCTACGTTCCGCAAGGTATCCGTATCTATGCACTGAACCGGCCGGCAATCGAACCCCTGCTCATCAGCGCCCGCAGCAGTTCCATCCTACGGAACACACGCGAGGAGGTGAAGACGCGATTGCACATGTGAATATCCGTCAGGTAGTCGAAACCCGTAACCCAGCAGCATGAGGAACTCAGTGTGCAAGCACGCGAGGTGGGACGTGCATTAGATACAGAGCACTGCGCAGGGCAATTATCTGTGCCTTCCATTGGGTTGGTAAGATTCTGATGGTTGCAGTGCGTCTTATCTGGTTGGTCCCCCACATCCACCACTCCGAGGCCGTTTCTCGGCCATCTGACGGGCGCAAATGGGTGGGCGTCGACGGGAGAGCGTGGGAGGGCTTTTCCACGGTCCACCTTGTGTTGTCCTAGAAGGTACGGATACCTGGACGAAATCAGGAATAGCTTTCTAACACCACATGGCAACTTTCTGGCACGATTAAACATATAGGCACGATGGCGAACTGCGGGCGTCGGTGTACTCTCTCTCTCTGCCTATCCCTTTTCCCTCTCGTCCAAGCCACGTCTGCATAGGCACTATGCACAATACCTCGCCACTGTGTCGCCGGTGTTGACGGTCTGGCCCTGCTGGGAGGTTGGTTGAGCTGATTGATAACCTGAACTGTCATTGTTGAAAACGGTGCGGCGGCATGCCACGCATGGCGTGGGATCCCTTCCTTACCTTCCGTACCTGTGCCTACTGTGCAGGCCTAAAGTGCGGAATATTTGCCTTGGGTATCGCTGATTATGGAAGATACTTGGAGTTCCTTTTGCCTTCCGGCCAAACCTGGGTCCCTTTACAGGTAGATTAGGATTATGGGGAAGGGCCAGTGCGAGTGGAATGGCCGTACCCAGATTAGGTAAGCTCCCAACCTCCACGTCTCCCCTGCGAATGAAAGCGTCCCCTAGGCCCTCCCCCTTGCCCCCCTCACCCCCAATCCCGCGCGAGAAATCCACTTTCCCGCCCGCCGCTTCCCGCTTCCCCGTATGATGTAGTACCGGTAGACTAAGGTAGTAGCGGCTACCCATTGACAGTCAAAACCTGGAAAGAGAATGAGAGAGGAGAGAATTTGGAGAAGAACTACGGATACTTGGGTAAATGACCCAACTTAGCAGCAGCCATCTCAGGTACGGACACCCGGTACAGAGTACCTAACTCGGCCAGCCTCACGCTCTCGCATTTTGCGCACTTTGTGACGAACCCTACCGGTTTCCAATTCCCTCATCCTTCCCGGCCCTGACGAATCCGGCCCTCGAATCATCTCCATCTACCATCTGCATCGCAATGCACCGCATCGCTCCTATCCCTCCCATCCAAACGTACCTTACGGATACCTCACCGAAGTTACCTCCTCTGCCTTGCAGGTAGGTAGGTACCTACCTACCTCACTATCTTCTGCCGTTATGTCTTTCCTCACTCTTCCCAAGCAAGAAGAGTCTGTTTTGCTCGCCAACCCATTCCTTCCCCCCAGTGCAGACGGTTTACTGTCAGAATGGCAGTGTGTGTATTCTTACGAATAGGTGCTGCAAAACTTGACAAACATCTCCTCTTCCCGGCTTCTCTCCCCTAGCCTCCCACCGGACCCCTGCCACCCTGCCCACCCCCTTACCCCTTCGACACGACACGCCTTTTTATCTCCATCCAATGCCACTTCTTTTCCGCTCCGCCCACGTCTGCATATTTTCCCCGTCCATCACTCGGGGCCAACTACCTTCACCCTCGCCCTCGCCATCCCAACCTGAATCGCCGCCTTTCATGTACCACAATCGCCTCGTCTACGAATATCTTACGATACCATGACTCTACCGACCTTATCCTTTCCATTCACAGCCCCAGTCATCTCTATCAATCTTCGTCACTCAGACTAAATAGTGTATAGAGAGTACAGTCACTGTCTTCAAGCACCGACAGACAACCACCTCCACGTCCACAACACATGCTACCCGCGCAAGTCCTGCCAACGCCATCTCACTCCTTTGACCCCCTAACCCCGTCATCCCCTTCGTCGTCTTCTTCTTCTTCTTTACGGAGTACCGTGCGACGAGATACTAATCTCGCCGCGTTTCGCACGTCCCAGCTCGGTTCCTTGTGTTCTACCCTAGACAACGAACCCCCGAATCTGGGCACTTCGCCCAGACCCACGCCTTGATCTTCCCGGTCCCGGTCCACCTCCCGGTTTTTCGCCTGCTATCTAAAAAGCCGTCCCCGCCAATCCTCATAGCAGCCCGGTTTCCTTCCTGCTCACTCACCGTTGGCTGCCTTACCAAGTCCATGTGTCTTAGCTACTCTTCAACATTTTCAACCATCATCGCCGGCCCTCGAGTTTTTAAACCTCGGTCGTCCATTCCATCATTCCATGGCCCAATCATTCACCTGCATTGAACCGAATTCAGATTCGCCCGCTCACCTCTGAGATTCTGTCATCCGCTCCATCAGTAACCAGCACCCTCGATTCTAGTCACCCCAGACTCAACCCCTGCTGTTTTAGCGGCCGCCGGTCTACTCTGAAGAAGGCTCGCCATCTGGTATACCACGCTCAACTCGCCCTCCATGTCGACGACTTCATCTCCCTCGCCGATGCAAAGCCCAGCTGGCCGCGTCGATGATCAATCGCTTCCCCAAGGCCAATGCCGCTACATACTGTTAGTACCCGGCATCAAAGGCCAACGATGCGCTTGTGTCCATTTTTCTCTCAACCGATCCACACCCGGGGCTAGCTGTGATTGTGGACATATGTCATGCTATCATGTCAAGACCCCAGAGCCATCCTCGACCAGAGAGGAGGTTGAGCTCCTGAAGCAACGACTTCAAGCCCTCGAAGTACAACTTGTCCAACAGAAGTATGGCGGCCTTGGAGCTGTTGTTGCCCGAGTGAGTGAGCTGGAGGACCTCGTCGACAAAAGCCGTGAAGAGATTGGCCAGGAGATCAAAGGGTCTTATCGCAATATCAACAGAGTTTGGCAATCCGTAGAGCAGCTTGAGCGGCAAACCTCTCAACTAAGGGAAACTCTGTGTTCTCAGTCAGAACATATGGACCGTGTCAACGGAGATTTGAAGAACATTAGCAATCGACAGATGGAGCTATTCGACGCCGACGAGAGCATAGAAGAGAGGTTGGAACAGTTGGAGTCGGATCATGATTCTTTGGCCAGTCAAGGAGGTCAGCACCCGGATATGACAGAGGAAACCACCTCGTTGGGTTCCGACACCCTGGTGGCCCTCAAGTTGCAACAGCCGTCGTCAGCCACGCAGCACATCCCGCCCGAGGCTGAGGTCCATCCAGGAGACACGTGCGTAGCTTCCCGTACCTCGCCAGCTCTGAGCGCCACTGAATCCAACATGAGCTCGAGTAGCTGCGGGGCCTGGACAGTTCATATCTCACTTCTGCCGACACCCTCTCAGCCCTTCCCATTCGAAAGAGACACCAACGCCTACAAGCGCTGCTTATCCCGGGGGCTTCATCGGACTGTGGTAGTTGGCGGCCCTGACAGCGAGTCTTTCGTAGAGGCTGTTACAAAGTCGTTTGGTAGCCTACTCAGAGGAAGGTCCTGGATGCCCCTACAGGCCAAGCTTTGCGACGCAGAGAAGCTCCAAGGGCTACCCATGCTCAGACCACTAGACTCCAAACTTGTCGACAGCGATTATGATCTCGGTTTCCTCAGAAAACATTGCGGCGTCTGTGAGGCCAACGGCAAGATCGAGTCTTTATATATCGCCATGCGCCAGGACAAGTTTTCATGGCACTTTCTCCGAAACTCTCCGATATTCATAGAAGGTCTCGAGAATTGCTGGATTTACGATCATTTCTTGGATCCGAGCGACCCAGTTGAAGACGACCGTATGGAAGAGCACGATCGACCCTCAGCCGGAGATATCGTTCCGAGTCTCCCAAATCTGAAGCGAGCGGCATCCGAGATGTCACGAACAGCCGGTTTAGCAACTGCAACGACAGGCGGCGATTCCGATGGATCTCGGACTAAGACCCCGCGGACCACTTGCCTGCCTAGTATAGTTGAATCACGCAGACGTTTGGAAACCGTGTGAGACATTTGCGTCCCCAATTTTTCCCCTTTCCAGATTTTCCACCTTTCTTTGCTTGGCTCCGGCCTTGCCGAAGCTGTTTTCACTGCGATTTAGACGCGTGGCTGGCATCCAGGACCCGTCTTTCCGAAGCAGCAGTGGTGAATGTTGCGCGCTGCGCGCTGCACTGGCGCTGACGCCTTACTAATCATGTCTCACAAGACGATAGAAGGTCGATCCAACTGATAGAGGATATTTATACCCATTTCATTTGTCTACGCCTTGAGGGCACAAAGAAGCAACTGTGGTTGTTATTTCCTCGTACATGTACAGGATTTGTGGGGATGCAGAAAGAGACAAAAGTTCTTGAGGCAAGGAGGTAGTGAAGGCTTTTTGAGAAGAAAAAATGTATTCTGTCACACCCTTTGCTTACTTCGAGGTATTAGGCAGCTGTAGAGTTGTGCAGAGTTGCAGCATAATAGACTTGTGTGTTGGGTTACTCGATGTGCAATAGCTCCCGCCCTTTCACAGCAAATTACCTTAGTTGGCCGGAAAAAGAAGACCGGACCGGAGGAAGATTCGGACCAAGGTTGCCTTCGCAGTGGAGGACTCGGAGTCGATGAAATCCGGCAGGTGCCGAAAAAGTGTCTGCCACCTAATAAGTTACTTACATAATTACCCCGTAGCCACTGATCCCAGATTGGAAAAGGAGCCGCTCAGCATGGTCAGCCTCAGTCTCCAAAGGCACTAAGCGGCCGAAGCTCCTTCGGTCTCTAAGCACCGACGAGTAGACGTCTGGTTTATCTATTGCACTTTCACCATGGACTTCAATTTGTCCATCAAATCTTGACCAATCCTCTTCAGTCGAGGAACCTGCAACGCCTGAGACTAGGCAACAGCTATCGCAGCTCCTCTTTGCCTTTTGGATCACTGAACCCCAATAGGCCGAAAGTGCTTCTCCTCCTCGCGCGCGCGTCGAGCATCTCGTGAGCTGCCTCCTCCACATTATCAACCCTCCACAACACAAGCATACGCCGTCGCAGCTCAAGTGCAGCAAGGAATCGCCATGGACTTCGATATCAGTATGGACGATGTTGCCGACGGCTTTGCTCCTCCAACGGTGACAATTGGTGACGGCACAGTACGTAGCTTATTGAAGGGGGTTTCTCGCAATTTGTCTGCTTGCTTGCTAACCCCCAACGTCAACAGAGCATCACAATACCCGCCACAGCGCCTTCTCCGTCAAACGAACGCGATATAGGAGGCTCGATCTTGGTGCGGAACAAGGTACACATTCGGGGACTGGAAACATTGACCACGGACGACATCAAAACATACGTCAAGAGTCATTATGGTCTCCCAGACAGAGTCGAGTGGATCGACGATGAATCCGCAAACCTGCTCTTTGGGTCCGAAAGCACGGCACAGGAAGCCCTGAGGGCATTGAGCGCCATCGATATTGCCGACGTGACTCAATTGCCTCCCAGGGAAACGATTCCAGCCAAGGCTGTCACATCCCACCCAGATCTCAATATTCAAATCCGGTTCGCTGTGGTGTCCGACAGGAAGGTTCGAGGCGCCGCTGAGCGAAGTCGATTTTACCTGCTGCATCCCGAATTCGACCCAGAGGAGAGAAGGCGACGTGAGGGAACCAGAAACAGATATCGCAATCGGGATGGAGATGACCGCCGCCGCAATGGCCGTGGAAGAAATCAGCGGGACCGCGACTCGAGCCCGGAGGTGTTTCATGCGAGCATGTACGATGATGACGAGGAGACGCTGGCAGACCACAGGCCAGCGCACCATCGGAGATCTCGCTCGAGAGACTCAACTACACGTGGAGAGCGGTCTTATTCGTCTCGCAATCAGGAAAGGGAGCTGTTCCCGGGTCGCGTATCAGGGGCAGGAAAGCGGCAACGAAATCGCTCGGCTTCACCCCTACGGGATGTCGATGGAGACGCAGCAATGGATGTGGAGGCAGCACGCGCGCCGAGAGCCAGCAATCAAGACAACAGAGAGAGAGCATCTGGTATCAGGGATCGTCTGGCCATGGACAATACATCCAAGGAATTGTTTCCCGCCAAGAGCTCGTCGGCGGGGAAGACGCATATGGATAGGGTTATAGACGGCGCAGACGAAGCCACGCGAATTATGCAGCACAAAATGTCCGTGAGCAACGAAGACGACGGCAAGAAGGCCCTGTTTGATATGCGAGGTCGAGCAAACAATCAAAGCTCTGGTACTGGATTCGCCATCAAGGGCGCCGCGGGCGCGAACGTCAAGGAGCTGTTCCCGAGCCGCTTTGGAGGTGGCGGCAATGCCGGGAAGGAGCTCTTCGCCGGCAAATTGGAAGGCCGTGGCCGTCGACGGCAGAAAGCCGAGGACCTGTTTTCGTAGCGCTTCAGCGTCTGGAGCGTCTGCACAAACATTTCACTGGCAAAACCAGTTGGGCCTGCTATACGACGACTTTAGGAGAACAGCAAATAGTACGCGCTGTTACTTTAGATACCATCGAGGTCAGAAATTTTTGGCCATGGGTTACCGCGGTAGACATTGGAACTCCATTGAAGCAACTGGTGTGTTCCTGGATTGGGGGTTATGTGGTGCGAATTAATTGATGTTGGCGGCGTGCATGATGCATCGCCAGAGTTCCTACAGTCCCCAGAGGGGGCTGTGAAGACGCCGGGATAACTATCCAACTGTGATGTGTCTACGGCTGGAGGCGAGGCCAAAATACACTTTCAGCCCTTTGAATATCGATGGGCAGCGCCTCTTGTGCATACAGGCCCGAGGTCCCATCCGGAGAACAGCGTGTCGGGACCAGATCGATTGGGACCAGCCGTCAGGTGCGGCGAAATAAGCTCCTGGCTTCGCTCGAAGTTCTGTTATATTTGGTGTTGCGAAGAAGGAAGGCACGCTTCGTCTTATGCACTCGCAACTGCCAATCGGTTGAACACGTCTGGCTTCGACCAGGGCAAGACTGTCCTCTGCTCTTGCCTGTTCCCTCCTCCCAGTTGCTTTCTTCGCGGTGCCTCCTTCAATCTTCATCATCACTGCATCTCGCTCTGTGTTTCACCCACCTACTTACCTCTGTCGTTTTCCAGAGTAGCCAAATTCTCTCCTCCGTCCCCTCGTCTTGACAGGACATTCACCTAGGAAGAAAGCAAGGGTGTATTGTCAATATCTGCCGAGATGAGTACCACATAGTCACAAAGCACCATCACGGCTTTCACGTCTCTTGTCAGCCACGCAACAGCTTACCCATGCCCATTGCACTCCAACGAGTTTTGTTGCTACCCTATTTGACGCCGATTCTCTAATACGCCTCGATTCTAGCACTACCCAGGTATCGAACAATTTCCGCCTTCAACCGACATGGCGGACTTCACATGGTCAAAGCCATTGCCTCCTCGGCGAAGAAGATCAGAGCTGACACTAAGCCATCCGCACCCCGATGAAGACGACTCTCTTACAAACCTCGGTGTTCCATCTGTCAGATCGCGCCAGTGGAGGCCCATCCCCCGCATTGCGAGTCTTGATGTTCTCAGTGCTGCGAGCATCAGGTCAGACGGCTCGCAGTCGTCCTCTCATAGGCTGTCGCCATCGTCATCGCCATCGCCAGCAGAACCAGCAGAGGCAATCTGGTACCAAGAACGAGACGAAACAGAGCGTGCTCTATCTCTGGAGCAGATGATTAATGCTTTACACTATACGATGATGACCAAGCCCGTCCTCGATCCGGTGCCCAGAGAGTACAACTCTTACATCCTGCATTTACTGGAAGGCTATTGGGACGTCCAAGAGCGGCTGAAGAAGACCGAGCAGGAGCTGGTAGAGGAGAAGGAGACAAAGCAGCGCAGTTTTGAGGAATTCACCAAGATATCCGAGGAGTGGGCGACGAAGGAGGCCGACTTCCGCGCCGAGATCAAACGCATGGAACTGGTCCTCGTCGATGTCGCCCCTGGAGGCGTTGGTGCGGTGGTCCTGGCCAGGTCTGGCAGTCTCGTTGACAGAAGCGCCAGATCCTCACAACTTTTCAAGGCCAAGGTCGAGAAGGCTAAGGAAAGTCCCACCAAAGGTGAATTTCCACTTCAACAGCGGCGAGCGTTCGTGTCCCACATGCTGACTGGGTACGCGCAGATAATCGTAGCCCCAACAAGACCGATAGCCTGGAGAAGCGGCCGGTCTCTGGCGGCTCAGGAAGCCCCCGTCTAAACCATCGAACGTTCTGTAAGTACAGATATTAACCTAAATCCTCGCCGTCTGCTGTTGATACGCTAACATCTCAGTGTCTATGCAACCAAATCTTGATGACAATGCTGATATTGAACTGAGCAAGGGCCTCAGAAGGGCTCAGCAACGACAGCAACGGGCCTCGAAACATGGAAAAAAGAAGCGCAGAGCTACGCCGGTAGAAATGGTATGGAATATCGGAATAGATTCGTCAGAAGAAGAAGAAAACCAGCCAGCGTCGGCAGAGAAGACAGCCAGGTTGCCTGGCTTGGGGTCCCCGAAGCTTAAACTTCCGCGTCCAGCGGCACATACGCAGACTACCCCAGAATCGCCCGCAACAAAAGCCGCCATCTACACCAGCAGTGAGTCTGACAATAGGCATTACTGGCCTGGCGCCACCCCTCTCATCGGCGTGGGCTCGGTCGAATACGCAGCGGCCGCAACGGATATGCCGATAGATGAACGGCCGTTAAGTGCTCACCCGGATGTCATGACGGCCACAAATGGTTACCGAACGGCCTTGGCTGCCCGTAGAAGCTCAGGGTTCCACCGCCACAGAAGAGACTTCTCCTTCGATGCTGTAGAAGATGGCATGCCTCAACAGGCTCTGGCAGGCAGTGCTTGTTCTTCTCAAGATAAAGACGCCCAACCGTCTTGCACCGAGACTAACACTCAGGGGCACGCCCTCTCGTCAGAAAAACATGCTCCAATGGCATCAATCACTGCAAAGCCTTCGGGCCAAGCACACATGGCGGCAAAGGATGTATCGCAACGGGTGGCTATCGAGGAGCGGGATCAAGGCTGGTCCAAAGGCTAGATCGAGATATGTTTGGCAGCGATGGTTGCGGGATTTTGCGCCCAAGGGGCGGGTCTTGGGAGGAAGTACTCGCTGAAGGTATTATGGCAACGGTATCGAGCTCACGTTAGCATGTCCCTCCTTGCTTGGCATAAATGCCGAGATTTGTCTCAATACTTTTATCTATCGTGCCCATCAAACAAGAAATACGGCCTGGGTCGAGTCGTCGTTGGCGTGACGTGGTCCACCGAGAGGTGGGTTTATGCCTCTCGTCGGACCCTTACTCGCACTTGCATGACGCCGTTTTTTTCTGGGAAGCTGGCGTTTAGCAGGCCAGAATAGATTGTAAAGTTCCGCAATAGACTCGGACGACTGGCTTAGGATGCCCTTAGGTTCGGATACTACCTTTTGTCTTGCCACAGCATGAGCCTTGCTCGACAACCCTCTGGGTTTCACGGGAGCTCGCGAGGGAAAGTAATCCCTGGACAGATCAGCAGGCCGTGGATGAGGACTCGGGGAGTGGCCTAAGGGCCGCATGCAACAGGCCGAAAGCGGATCGGTGCAGGCTCATTGCTAGAATATCTGTGCAACGTTAGGAGGCTTTACATCACCTCTCGTGTATCATATGTTCAGAACATCTGTCCTATGTGTCGCCAGATCAGATGTTATGTGCCATGATTTCGCTTGATAGCGGCATCATGCCATCCTTGAATTCTGCTAACGAGGCACCGATTCCGAATATATCAACTGTGATGGAAAGAAGACAATGCGCTGGAATCAAGGCAAACTCTGCAACCCAGATCAGTAGCAATATCCGGCTCGGCCACGAAACGGATCAGGCATGGGGAGAAAGCAACTTCTACCACTATTAACGGCTAGTGAAAGGAAAGAAGACCAAATGAAGAACGGTCGCAAACAGTCCGGAGCGGGGCCCACGCCATCGACGGACGGAGAAGGCAGCGGAACCTACTAACTCGTCCCGCTAGTGCCCCCTGGCTCAATGTAGAATCAGAGTCTAGACCCGGCCTTGCCTCGCCATCTAAGGCGCCGGAGAAATGCTTTTCTGTTAGCGGAAGACCGAAGACAGAGGGTGAACAAACTTACACGGATGCGGTCACCTGCCCCAGGCCTGCCGTCAGCAAACGCCATCGTGTGCGCACTGCGGAGACGAACGGACACGGCCGGACGCGGGAGGCGGAATGGGGAGAGCAAAGGACGCTATGTGTTGAAGAATGAAGGAAGATGAAAACATATTTTACTTTTACGCCGGTCGATTAGCGAGGCGTTTGTTACCAGACCGCTGGGTCGGTCAGTAAGGTCCTCCTCCGGGACCAAGCCCAAGTCAAAGCCCTCTCCACCCTCTTGCTTTGCGCCAATCTAATACCTGAAATCTGCACAAGGTCGATTACAGACAAGTGTTGTGTGAGTTGACCGTTTCAGTGTCTCCGCGTCGTTGAAGCCTAATGAGGCCATATCGTCCTAGTTGCATGTTGTATAGCGCGATGGCGGATTCGGGAAGCCATTAGTGGTAAATCATCATCTTTTCAATGACTCACCTCTTGAGCGTCATCGCCAGAATCAAGTTTACTACTTTGGCCGTTTGACCGGGTAGTACTGCTTAGATTATCTTCTGGGTCCTTCTCATGAAAGCATAGCCTTGTACATCTGACTTTTAGTGTATCGATCCGTTGAACGGAGAAGGTGACATACCGATCATGGACTACAGCTTACATTTGCAGACTATCATCATCATGTGTCGATAACGATAAAGAACGCAAAATGGAAAGACGGCTCCTTGGAGACCAGGATGGCGTGTTCGCTGTCAAAAATTCTCCATCCAGCCCCAGATGCCCGATGAGGCGTCTGGAAGGCAGAGAGTCATAGCAACCCTCAACTATAGCATGTCGTAGACCTTGGGCGTGCAGTGGTCCTGTTTCCTCACGCGGGCTCTTGACGCCACACAGCCACCTGCAGTGACCCAGGGACAACCGTTTGCGTTCTTGCATATGCGAGAGGGTGAAGTGAAGACACCGTCGTGATAAAAGCAGTAGCTGGGCCGGCGGATGAAGTATAACGTCTCCCGCCTAGGGGCCTGACAAAGCCAAGAGCATCTTCAGCGGAGAAGGTTTCAGAGGCGTTGCGCGGACGTGTAAAGGAGGTTCAAGAGTGTGAATAGAGATGCAAAGGTAGACGCGAACATGGACGGCAGACTACACAAGGTGATGGATGTACATTGCCAAGCGCCCACAGACACCGCAGCCGAACAATCGCATTGTCTGTCTAGTTAGCGTCACCTACCTGTCTGTCCGTTGCCTGCTGCCGCGTCTGACGTCTGATCTATGTTATTCATACCGTGAGCCTAATGTTTCCACCATGAAGGATGTCGCCGTCCTAGGCGTCGTCGGCGTCGTCCTCGTCGTCCTCTATCCGAGTGTCGCCTGTACCTGTCCGTGCCTTCGGAAACCGGGTCGTTCAATCCGCAAGTGTCAATGCATGTAAAGTCCGTGTGAAGACGCCCGTTAATTAGACAGCAAGGGTCTTCTGAACTCTGAAAATATAATCAAGAAACCCTTTCTTCCAACATTTAAAAGGATGACAAATTTGGAAAATATGATAAAACACAAAGCCAAACAGATGCGGTCATGTTTTGCGGTTGACCGAGCGCCACCGAGTGATACTACTCAACCGTGGCTTACCCGGCTCCTCGATGTTCGTTCCCCTCAGATGCAGTGTTCAGTTCAATCGCACGAGGAGACGGTAGTGTTGAGGTAAGGTAGCAGCCAAAGAGATGCGACAATGTACCGCGTTGGAGGGCACCGTGGGATTCTGTATCCGTGCACAGCAGAAGGTAGGTGGAGACACGCGAGACCCTCTAGCGTTGTTGGCGACCTCTGGTGACGCGAAGCAAAGCGCGACAGCGGTAGGATAGGCTCCTCGGGGGAAGCATGAGCTGCGTTCGACCCGCCATCATATGGTGGTATCGTGTGGTTTCATTGTGATTGCGTCGCTATGCAGCCACTTTTCCCTTTCTCCCACACCCTCCCTCTCTCCCTCTCACTCAATCATCATCCGCTCAAGTTAATACTTCGCCATGATTTTCCTTCCCTCATCCGAGAAAGCGAATTCAACGGCATGGCCAGCTCAATGAGAGTCAAAATGAAGGGCGACTGGTAGAGGTTGTGATGGTAACCTGCGCTGACGATATGGCTAGTTGTGTTTGTGTGAGTTTGTCAACGGCAATGGAATGATGAGATGCGATGCTGTCGTTGCTTTTGGCACTGACCATCGTTTGGCAGCGCAATAAACAAGATACAGTGGAATGCCATAAGTCTGTGCACACCCCGCCATCAACCAGGCCAAGATCCAGTGTCTTATTGAGTCTTTACCGCGCCGCCTCCGCATAGTGATTAGAACATAGTGTCGATGTACATTATGCTAAATAGTAAATACCAGGCTTTCTTTTGACCATTTTTTCAATACACTCATCTTTATTTTAGTAGTATCATAGCTGGTTAAAGTGTGATTGCCAAAATGCAAGAGTTGGGCAATGGTGGGGTGTACACAGACTTATGGCATTCCACTGTACAAAGTACGTACCATGTGATTGACCTCACACGGGAGGGGCACTCACTGTTTGACTCGACACGGGTCCGAGGGGACCAGGGTGGGGCAATATTTGTCATTATGGAATTTGCGCCCAAGATACGGATAAGTTCACCAGACCTGTCTCGCTCTGTTCGCTCCACGAACACCACCTTCCACTTGGGCACCTTGTTTGCAGTCCAATTCGGGCTAGTGTGTGGGGTCCCTTTTGCACCGGAGCTTGGCTCCGTACAATGTGGCGTTGCTAGAGGCGCGTGGCTTCAACCAGCTGGAGTAAAACAATGACAAACTTTTACTCGCGACGTTCTAGCTGGCAAGGGTCTTGAGAGGTCATATTCGTAAGAAAAAAATCAGGTAGCATCTATCCGTATTATTAAGGTGCATTATTTGGATGATACGTCCGAGGGTGATTAATCACCAAGGGCAGTTTACCTGGGTAGCCGGCAAATGCTCAAGATTTCTGTGCGGGCTTGGACGAGGAGGCACAGATGCACGCGCCACCAGGCAAAGAATAAGCACACGAACACATCAAGAATAGCAACTTGGCCGAGGGAGAAACCGGGAAGTGAGGCTGAGACCGTGAGGCTTCTTCGAAACATGGGTATACTTGGACAACCAATGTCAGGGCGAGGTGCTTCATCCGCCAGCCAAGTGAATTGAGCGTACTACTATATACAGTACTCCCGTATTACGTAGGAGGGCGGCAAGTGTATTCTGAATGAAAGATTTGGCCCACTGTACAGTATTCGACTGTGACAAGTCGCGGTTTCTTTTTTCTTGTTGTCTGTCGCACGCCGAGATCGAATCGGGGTGAACCACAGCCGCGGATATGAGTAGTGATATCCGTCCTGCAGGCCTGGGACCGGTGAGAGACCAAACTTTGGAGACTGTTTTTGTCATCCCTGTCGTGGAACCATCGGGTCCGGGGGGGAGGGTGTGGTTTACCAATGCAGTCGAGGTTGCATTTACATTTGCAGTCGCATTCGATCTGGAACTTTGTGTTTGATGGGGATCGTGTTCCTTTACCATGGGATGGGGCCCGCTTGTTTGTCAGTCCTTGCACAACAAACAGACAAACATGTTGGGTGGCATCGTGTGTCTGGGACAGGGACACAGGGGTGTGTATTGCCAATCATCAGCATCCCGCCCTGAGTAGAAACCAGGCCGGGCTGAGCCGTATATGTACGCATGTCGGACGTACGTACTCGAGGAAAGACAACGGGTAACCTGTTGCCCTAAGTATGCATGCATCGTCACTCATCAACAATGTTCAGCAGGGACTAAGAAAAGAAAACAACGGTCGACGGACTGGTCAATCTTCTCTAGGCGCATGTACCATTATGTCCAGGTAAGTACTGTGTATACCCGTCTGCTCCGTATTTGTGGCTACCGCGTGCCGCACAGAAGAGCAACGGGCAGGCGACTGCAAGATGGAGAGGGCCGTCTGTTCGCACAGCTACCCAAGGAAGGAAAGGTCTTTTTTAGGTAAAGAAAGTCAAGAGCGGATATGACGTGCGGACATACGGTAAAACTCGTTGCAGATGCAGCCTGGGTCTTGGGAACCACAAGTGAAAGGCCACAGGAGCCCTGTCGTTGTCCATGGCGAGCCTGCGACGGCAGCGAGGGGAATATGACGAGTCCGACATGAGAGCGGTTGTCTGTTGTGAAAGACGCAAACGACGCGCACAGCAGCAACGGGAATCTCGCTTGACGTGTCAGGACCTTTGAGGTGCCTGGCCCGCACCTTACCTTACCTTACGTACGGGTCCTCAATTGCAAATACCTTACCCGCCTGGCCCTGGTCTAGCCTCTTGTCTCAGACACCCAAGAGACCCAGTCCAGGGGGAAGAGACAGCAGGCACCCGTATAACGGCTGAAGGGCTGAGTGGCTGGCCGGTGGGTTGGCACGTTGCAATCTCGATATCATGCTGCGGAGCACCGACAAGTACTATGTAATGCGGCCAAAGAGCGGTGGGGTTGGTTGGTGGACGATGGATTTTGTTTCTCTCCCCAGGCACTTCCCCCTGTTGTCGGGCTGAGATTAGAATGAAGCCTGCATGCTCCCACGCCTCTCCCCTCTCCCCTCTCCCCTCTCCCGTGTATCCCGTGTATCTGTATTCGTAGCTACGTCGGTGGGGCCTGAGATACAGAGAGCCATAGCTTCTGCGAATCCCACTCTCTTCATGGCCGTCAGGGGAAAGAGTACTTCAGTACTGTACATGGAAGACTCGGCTCTGCAGTACGTATCCGTCCACCTCATGCACACTGCTTACCCTTTGTAATTGATGAGGGTCTCGCTCATCCCTGCTCATGAGGCTTCCCGCTATGAGAGCTGGCACCATCCTTGTCATTTCCCACCCCCCTCCTCTGTTCCCATTCGCCTGCGCTGCTGCCGCTGGCCGACCGTTGATCGACGGGAGCCCATTGGCCCGGGACCCCGGAGATGGGGCGAACATGTCCCATAGGCGTGCCGACCCAGAGTTGTCTATCCGTACAAAGTACAAAGTATCCGTGTCCGTAAACAGCATTCCGTAGGAACTGTTCCCTTTAGAGCAATAGCCCGACCCAGGTGGAATTGCATCCAAGATCCAACCTCACATCGTTTATCCAGCTGTTGACCCCCGTGGTATTTGATGTGCCCCCCCCATGTCTCTCTGCTCGTCGGTTCCCACCTTGCATCAACCCCTCCCCCTTTTTCTCGCGAGCGCGGTCCCTCACTGACCACTAAAACCCGTCTAACCTTCTCGGGGATGATCACCAACTGCAACGGCACCCGTATTCTTACAGCGTCGCAGTGGCAGCCAAGAGCCGCCTAGATCACCCGCTTCCCCTCCATGACGCCCTCCACTGAATTCATGCCGACATGGGGCCCCATCATCCCAGTAACGCAGATGATCGCCGGGCATCCGACGTGATGTGGAATCATTTCGCCAAGAAGGTCTCTCAGCTGCTGAACCCCTGGTCTGCGGGTTCTCACAACTTGCGTGGGAGGGCAAAAAATTGCCGTGACCTTGCGCTTAGTAGTGTACGGCTTGGCTCTTACCATTGTACACTCGTCCGTACGAATACCTACTTTCCCCCCCCCCCCTCCCCCTCCCCTCTCGCCATGTGGAGACAGCAATGGTCTCCTTCACCCGTATGGTACGCACGTAATACAGGTACAATTACGACATCCAGGTCCAGGTGCATTTTTCTCCCGATGAAGGCCCAGAAATCACTTTTGTTTCTCCATCTTTCCTCCTTCGTATCACCACGGTGCAAGTGAAGAAACGCACCGGGATGTAGCTCGGCGGACGACGCTGGTGATGATGCAGGCCGAGGAAGGGCCTAATGATGCCGATGACAATGAAGAGGGCTGACGCAGTGGCCACGGTTGTAGAACGAGAGGAACAGGAAGAGCGGCTGCTGACATGCGCGTCCCCACTCCTCCTCCCTTCGAGAGGCCCGCTGGGCTGCGGGTGTCGGCTTGCCCGAACGGTCCAACGTCTTTTTTCTTGTGGTTGCAAACGGCCCGCATGGCTGGATCTAGTCCTCCTGGTGCATTCTGAAATGGGTCGCAGAGGACCAGGTCCTCACCCCCCTGGTAGCCATCGCGGTTCTTTCTGGACGGGTGTCTGAAACGGTCGATGGTGACTTGGTAGCTGCACCGGCGCTTCGGACGACAACGCCTCTCACCCTCCCTGGGCTCACGATTGGTCGAGTTGAGATGGAGGACTCGGCATTGTCCCTGTGTGTGTACAGTACCTGTGTGGTCTAATTACGGAGCCGGTGCCGCTGAGACAAGGGACCGGAATACTTGCAGATACTGTGCTTGGCACCTTGAGGAACGACTGGCTTGTTTTCCCTGCTTGCCGTTGGCCAATTTTGCTTCGTTCATTCGCCCTAGACGTGGTACGCGTCTGTTCGTAATCAACAAGGTTGGTTGACGACTGGTCCCTGATAAGCCTTCCAAGCCTTCCATATCCCTTTTTTTTTTTTTTTTTTTTTTACAAATAAAAAAATCTGGATTCTCTTTAATTTACGGATACCATGGCATCTGTCTGTTCGCGTGGTCGCGGGGCGGAGCTGAGATACATCATCTATACTTGGTAGATCTGAGGGGACGCAATGAAGTGCAGGCTTCAGGGTTGACTAGGGCGAGGCTGGATGGACAATCCCCGCTGGGATGTGTCTTTCTGGGGGAAAAGAGCCGCAGATCCTACCCAGTCCCGTCAGCACGGCCTGGTTTCCAATTCGCTGCCAGGTTGTTGCCATCCGCCGATTGTACCAGGGATCGCCAACGGGACACAAACATCCCGAGGGCGGGCGACCAGGGTCTGGCAGAGATCACGACGCACCGTGGCACATAGACTTTCTGGTGCTTGTCGTCCGCCATTGATAAGCAATTGAATGCGTGCTCGACTGCTGGTGCGCGCGTGCGCGTAAGTGCGGTGCGAATGCGTGGGTGAATGACGATGACGACGACGACGGTTGGTGGAGATGCAGTGGGCATTAGACATTAGACATTAGACATTAGACGATAATATTCCCCGGCCTCGGCAGCAGATGCGAGTAAGTGCTAAATGTCTGGCCGTGTGATTTTGATTGATATGATGGACGTCGCTGCCGCGTTGCCTTGGCCATGTCTGTGCTCCTCTCGATGGTTTCGGTTGTACCCTGTCTTTGTTGAAGGGGATGAGAGAGACATGTTGAGAGGGTCTCGTCGCCTTGTCCTTGCCTCGTTTAAGGAATTGTCAAATCAGGAACAAAAGCACTCGGGTTGATCATCTCGAGTCGAGGCCCTCTTTGACGTCGTCTCGTCTCCGGATTTAGGGATCGGTCTCAAAGAAGGAGGGGCGGTGGGGCCAGATGAAAATGTAAGAGAGCATGGGAAAGATCCATCGGGCAGAGGCCATTTGATCACTTTCTCGCTCCTTCTCTGTCGCGGGGACCCACGGGCATCATGGCACCTTGGAGAAGCTTTTGTGAGGTGCAGACAGAGGAAGGGAAGGTACGCATTTTTCTTGGGGGCATCCAGACCGACCCTCAGATCAGAGTTTCCAAGTCCTCCGTAGGGATTCGTATATCCCCATCTTTTAATCTTTTAACTCACCAACAGGGAAGACCGAGGGAGTCCTAGCCTGTTACCCCCCTTCTCTCCTCAGGGAAAAAAAAAAAAAAAACACTCCGGACAATCATGATGAGATGGCCGACATGTTTATTTGACTTTGCAGCGGGCAAGGGAAACAGGGAGGGTTTTCGGCCGTGCTTCGTCCCCCTCCCCCACTTCCTTCACCTCCAATAATAGATGGCTAAACCTTGATGTTGATTTCGATTCTGGAGCCACCTCGGATTGATTGAACAAGTCGTCCTGTCTTGGCACACGATCCGTGGACGAAAAGAACACGGGGCAAACGCATGCGTCAACCTGGTGTTGCAAAGAAATGAAGCCATCATGAGGTTGAAAAACTCCCCCCTGTCCAAGGTACCTACGCAACCAAGATGTGCCTGCCATCAGCAATTGCTCACCCAATCATGACGCTGCTCCAAACAAGACAATGCTTCCTCCTCTCGTCCAACACCCGAGGCTTTGTGAACGTATACTACGAATACACTATCCACCCTGCGATGCAATGCATGACGACCACCCCCATGTCGCTCCCCTTCTCCCTCGCTTCTTTGTCCCCGCCGCGCTCATCGCTCTCTCCCATCTGCCCCATCCGCTGCCATGATCCTCGTCATGATCGACACTGGTACTTGGTACACCCGCTCATCTGCAGCAGAATTCCCCCTCCCCCGATCTCGTGTTTGGCTGCGAGCGTTGGCCCTGACGGACGCTCTGTCCTACACGCCGCCTCATCTGCACCTCTTGTCCCTGTCTAGCGCGCTTGATAGCTACCTGAGCCATGGCAATCCTTACCTACCTGTCCACATTGAAGTCCTTCAGCCATCCGATGTGTCCAGAACCTCAGCAGAAGTAAGTTTGCACGCTCACTAACTCATTATCCGCTCTGTAGTATAATCGACCTCTAAGCTACAATGTAAGCTACCATGGCTACCTTGACATGGATGCCCTGATTATTACTGCGTTCCTCCTTGCGCCGTGGATTGCGCCGTGCCACACAGTCTCTCTTATTGAGCCACATTTGCACCTTTATTGCACCATGTCCGATCAAGGACCCATAGCAGCCGAACGGCGACGGGGGAACGATATTTTAAATAAAAAATAAAAAACTGATGCAAAGTCTAGCCGTTCCCGTTCATCGTCGCTGACGTGGCTACGATCGTGGGAGACCCCTCGTGTTTCGCCCAGGCACTGCCGACCTGGTCAAGGCGGTGATGGATCTTGTGTGGGAAACGTCTCTGAGTCCAGAGGAACTTGGGAATCGTAATCATGTTCTCGATTTTAAATCATAACGAGGTGCCAATTACGCAGATTTGTTGTGTAATGTTTCGATTATTGGTGACTTTGCACCTAATACAACTAGAATCAAGGGGCGTTAGTGAGATTCTTTTCCTGAATCCCCACCATCCTGCCGCCGTCCCATGCCAGACCATTTTTCTTTCTCAGGTCTCCCAGTTGCGCCGTTCCCTCGCTCGGGTTTCGATTTCAGGTATAAAGGTAACGAAGAAATACAAGGTAGATGGGTGGCGTTCCATGCCCAGATATACTGCCCACTATACATGGCTTGCGCCTTTGGAGGCCATACATTCTTTTGTGGTACACTGTAGCATACATAAGGATGGCAAAAATCAGATACGTTGTCTCTTCAACCGAGGAGCGCGGACACATCCATCCTTGAGTCCTTATCCGCGGCTGAAGGAGATGGTGGCGGCAAGGCTTCTTGGACTGTGCTTCTCACGGGCGAATTGGGTGCCGTGAGGAGATGCGAAGGGAGGGAGGGCAGGCGCATATGGCCGTTTTCTTTCCTATCGCCTGGAGCGTTGAGAAGGCTGCCAAAGGAGGGTAGCGAGCGGGGGGCTGAGTTCTCGTCCATGCGAAGCGGGGCCAGTTGGATAGACGGCGATGTACCCCGCGAGAGACATTGGGGGGACGTGGTGTAGCTTGAGGCAGCGTCGGACATGGTAGACGTCTCCATGTCGAGACCATCACTGCCGGGCGAAGAGGTAGAGTTGGGCGACGGAAGAGGTGACTCAAGTTGATAGTAAGAGTGGCTGTGAGCGTAGAAGGCGGGGGAGACGGGCGACGACATGCCGTGTCTGGCGAAAGGGAGAGAGGCGGCGTGGGAGTTGATAGTGAGAGTAGGTCGCTGGTAACCAGAAGGGTTATATCTGCGGTCGTCGTAGCCGGAGCTGCTCCCTTGGTTGGCTCTGCGACGATCGTGACGCTTTCTGCGGTTCTGGCTTCCATTCCACCAGTTCTTGACGGCGTTGTCACTGCGACCGTGCAGCCGTCTTGCGATCTCTGCCCACCTCTTACCAATCTCGTTGACGAGGAGCTCGATCTGAGCGCCCTCATCGGGGGTGATGGGTTCGTGGTTCAAAGTGGGCTTGAGGTTCTGGTGAAAACGTTCTCTGCATTGCTTTGGTGTCCTTGTTCCCAGGGCTTGGGCAATCCGTACCCAATTCAAGGGGCCCTGATCGTTGACAAGCTGCATGAGGTAGGCGTCTTCCTGTTGGGACCAAGGCCCTCTCCTTTGGGAAGCCAAAGACATGTTGAGTATGAAGAAGGCTACGAGGCAGTGGTGCTTGATAGCAGTGGTGGTGTGCGAGATCGATGTCGACAACGTGTAGGGGTCGGTAATGATCTGCGGAGATGCGTATAAATGTCTCTATATATGTACCAAGAGATTGAATTATAATGTAATAGATAGTAGTAGTATATAGTAAGAGGAATGATAGTTTGGTACTGGTAGTTTGGTAGTAAGTTGGTGATGGGAGTGAAGAGGCTGAACGTGGTTTTGGATGAGCGTGGGATGTCGGCGTATATATGTTGTTGAGCAGGTGGAAGCGGCGTGGTGGAGAAACTGAGCCAGAAGCAGAAGCGTTCAGGTTGGAGAGGCTGTGTGTTCAGGACGAGAGGTGTATGCGACCGACTCCAAGAATTAAATTGGAGGGCCTGGGGGGTCAACGAGGAAAGAATAAGAAAGGTTAAGGTTTGTGTCGAACCTGGTTAGAGGGTGGGAGAATAAGAACGGGGGGGGTTGTATGTGAAAGGAACTTGGCCCAGTCCAGACGAGAGTAGATCAAAATCAGGATCAGGATCAGAGTAGACGCACACGCAGATGCAGAAGAGACGGGTGATGGGTGATGATGGCAAGTGGAGCGACGGTTCATGAAAATCCCCCGGCGCACGCCCATACCTGCGACGTACCCACGCCCACGCCCATCTAATCCCAGGTGGGTGAGGCTTATGAGGTACTGGGACGAGTGCCAAAGGTAGCCCAGTAGCGGCAGCGGTATTTGGTCTGTCTCTTGCAGGGCCAGCCAGACGAGCACGATCCGAAAAAGCTGGGAAAGAACCAGCCGACTTCCCCGTCTGAGCTCGGGGAAAAGGGGTGAGTGCATCAGGAACTGCATAGCTACCTTGGAAAAGGCATGCGCGGTACGTACATCTTTTGAGATCGGGAACTGGAGGTGTGGAGGTGGGTGTGGACAGCAGCTATGGGAGGGCGTGTAGCCAGGAGAGATGTGGGAGGGAGCAAAGAGAAGAAGACGAAGAAGTGGGGGAGGGGGGGAGAGAGAGAGAGAGACGGGGGGTGCAGGTGCTCAGGTCTATCCGTACGTTCTACCTAGATCCGTCGTCTTCGTTGTTGTTGTCGTCGTCGTCTCTGAGCAATGAAAGAGACGAGTATCCGTACTGTACACACATGGGGAAGAGAGAAATGATCCAGGCCCAGATCCAGGCTCGAGTCGCTTTCACCAGCCAGTCATGTGAGTGGGTAACAAAGGTGGTAGCGTGGGAGATCACCTCAAATCGCGGTACGGAACGGGGCCGCTTGTCACGCATTTCGTACCTACCCAGCAGGGTGAGCCATCCGTCACCAACGTGCCTCCCACCACAACTACCACAACTGCCACCACAACTACCACCACCACCACCACCAACGACAACGAGCCTCAACTGTTTCCCCCTCCCACTCTCTTCTGTCCTCTGTTTCCCACTCTCCTAGTTCGAGGCAACAACAAGCAACGTCTTATCCAATCCAGGGCATTCCATCATCTCACCAATAACCTTAGTATAGTACCGATTTGACCCAAACAACCGTAGCAGTGCAATCGATACCATGCACTGGACAGAATGAGCATGGGAGGGAGCCTCAGAACCACGGCCGAAGCTGGAGCCACGGCCACAGGCGACGGGAAAGACTTCTTTCAATCGACGGGCCTGACTTCCGGCTTTCTCCTTTCGAGACACACGCCCCCTGGCCCTTGTCGTCCCGGCTGGTACCACCCAAGTCCCTGTCGACCATCCCTATCCCGGCTCCAGCTTCGCCGCTCACGACCATCCTTGTCCTACCACTAGTAGTGGGCCTGTCCCTGGCTCTCGTAGCGGCCCCGGCTCCAGCCATAGCCCAAAGCCAAGCCAACGCCATTGACCCAGTGGGACAGGATGCTCTCTGATCTGATGCCAGGATGATGCTAGGATGTTGCCAGGATGTGGCTCGCTGCTGGAATCGGCCGCTGCTCGACAGACGGATGAGGCATGGTGTGAACGACGAGGGTTCCGATCATCGAGGTCCAACTGCTCTTTGCCTATTCAAGAGCTGCCCAAGAAACGGCATATGCAGGCGCATTCGGAGCAGGCTAGGCACAGTTGATTCGTCTCCCCTACTCGTTCCTGGCTTATGGCTCCAGTGACATCTGGCCAACGGATGATCAAGCCCGCTGATATCGGAATCTCGCCTCACCTGCCTGTAGTTGAATTGAATCAACGTGATTTAGACTGACGGACGAGGGCGACATGGGCGGGTCCGTGTTGAGAGATTCGCGACCGATGGACTTTGTCAGGCACATTCGGATAACGTCAATAGTCCGTGGATCGTCGTCGGCTCGATGGTCAGGCTTCATTCATCTGACAATGGGTCGCGTAAGTGCCTCTGAGCCTATTCCTATCCTTCATAAGGGCCACATACTCCGTATTGCATATCCATACATAACACACTTACAGTATGTGTCACTTATGTACCTAACCTTATCAACTTGACTTCGCTGGAGAGACGAAGGTCAACGCACCTTGACTTGCCCGCTCTCAGTGAGCACAGACGACGGATGCACGAGCGATATGTCTACGAGGCTGAGGTTTGTTCGTCTATTTTGCCTCTTTGGTTCAATTTTTTTTTTTTCCTTCAGACTTTGGCCCCTATTGTGTGTTTTCTAATTTTGTAGACTGTTTTCTGCAAAGTTTGTACATGACGAACGTGTCCGAGATTCGGCTCCTTTTCAGCTGATGGTCTCGATTCTTACAGGGCGGCAACAAAGTCGAGCTACATATCTCATATCGAACCAGGCCAACAAGACAAGTGCGGGTCGCACAGTGCACAGACTCTGCATGTTAGGTAAGTAGGTGAAGGTTGCGGCGGCGGGCACTGGTGCAGAATCAGCGAGCTTTCTGGTGCGCTTCTCTATAGATGCAGAAGGAGATGGAGATGCAGTGCATGTATCCTACTTGGCTACCTTACATTGTGCGATGCTGATGCGAGTCGACACGATGCTCTGTGCAGCGTGCAGCGCATCTGTCTCATGCCGCAGACATTCTCCGTCGACCGACCCCTATGGCCAATCGCCGTTTCCGTTCCCGTTCACGTACCTGATCCAGTCCGCCTTCGGTTTGGCCAAGGAACGACAGAACGGATGGACTGGTCGAGATGAAATCGGAGGGCATCAGACCCTGTTTCGCTGGAAACGGCTGCATTAATTCAAGTTATCAACTCAGGCCGAGAATTATGAATGCGAAGTTGACGGAAGCAACAGCCATGCCAGTGCTATCCGTTCATCCATCGTCCGCCCATCCACCATCCCGGGAGGGCCGTGTTCAGCTGCCCGGGATGGGCAGTTGGTGGAATCTGACCGGTTGGGTGGCGGACCGGCGATCATGCCGGGGGGTTGGGATTGGATAGGTGGCGATGATGCTGTCTTCGTGAGGTAGGAAAAGTTGTTGACAAATGCAATCCATCCCTCGGTCTGCAACATCGCTAGGCAGTGTATATACGTGTGTACGTACGCATTCGTATGCATGCATTTATATCTAGGCCGTCATCAAGGAGGGTATGCGCGTGCACCCGCCCGTCACGAACATGGATCCCAAGCGGGTGCCTGACGGCGGCGATACGGTGGTCGTGAACGGCGAGACGGTGTACTTGCCCGGCGGGACCAA